TATCTCTGCTCTGGGCATTCCAAACGGTCATTTTTCAAAACGGTGTTGCTCTCAGCAGAACTGGTTAATCCCAGAGCCAGGCTCCAGCTCCTCGGCCTTCTCAACGGGATGCCTTTGTGCTGCCGGACCAGGACCAGCAGAGATGCGTAAGGGAAGAATGGACTCTTGTTTTTCCCTCAGGCTCATATTGAGTCAGCCCATTGGATGCCTTGCAACTGACAGCAAAGCTGATCAGCGAGTCTTGAGGGAGAGACAATGCTCCGGCCTGTTCTGAGAAGCGGAGCAGAATAGCCTCTACCTTCTCCATTCATGAAGATGCCACCCATCTCGAGGGACTGTTGGAGCAAGTGGATTCTTTAGAAGTCGGAACTGGAACTCTGGAAAATGCCCTTCTGCTCTGGGGCCTGAGCAGTTGCGAGTGTGGCAGGACGCTTTGGATTATGTCCCATCGCTCACCCTCTGGAGAGCAGGATCTCTGCCCACCCCACCCCTCCAGCCAGAAAGTTCAGCCAAGGCTTCTAGACTGAATGTTTTTATCTAGATGTTGATTCTTTCGTGCCTCTGGGAAGAGCAGGGGTGTCACCTTCAAAGGCTTCAGTGGCTGAACAAACTTAACCTAATTGTGGAGGGAAGTAGGATGTTGGCCAATCTCCTGAACATGTCTGAATTGACCGTATTTGGCATTTAATCCTGCTGTTGGTGTCTTAATCTGCCTAGCTCAAAAGAGCTGAGGGGTTTTGCTGCCTCACTTTCTCTAGAAAACCCCGTGCTTTTTAAGGAAGGGGCACTTTTCTCCAAATCTCTGAAGGAGCTGCTCCAGAGTGGGCAGGCTGCTTTCTGGAAGGACCAGCACATGCACTTCGTTTCATGGCTGAGGGTGAAGGAGGAAGTGGGGGGAGGAGCTGTGGGGAGGAAGCGGGTGGCAAGGGGCTGGGAGATCACGCTGAAGGTGTCCTAGAAGGGAAGCAGGAAGATGGAAGAGTTCACTCACACCCAGAAGGCCTAATGCAGCTTGCGCTGGAGCCCCAAAGGACCATGTGGCACATTCACAGAACGGAAAGGGAGCTGAATGCCCATCTGGTGTGCCAGATGTGTTGCATTGGTTAGTATGCCTCTGCCTGCCTTGTGCCTTTCTTGGGGGGAGGGGAGGAAGTGGAGCAAGTTTGAATCCAAACCAAGCCACGTTTATTCAAGGCTCTGGGCTGTTGAGTTCAGTTCATTTTGTTTGGGTGTAATGTTGGTATTGACCTCATTTTATCTTTCGAGTTCTGGATGGCCCAAACTATTATTTTGCCCTAGATGACTTTGCATCTTTAAATGTTGTTGGGAAGCTGGGCTGGGTGCTTATGGAAGTTCTCTGAGACTGGAAGGAGCCTTTTAAATTTACAGTCAGGAGGTTACACCCTGGGAGGACAATTTAGTTGGGTTTTACCGTTACAAAAAAGAGCCGAGGTGGTGCAGCAGTTAGAGCAGCAGTTAGAGTGCAGTACTGCAGGCCACTTTAGCTGACTGTGTTCAGCAGGTCAGCGGTTCAAATCTCACCGACTCAAGGTTGACTCAGCCTTCCATCCTTCCGAGGTAGGTAAAATGAGGACCCAGATTGTTGGGGGCAATGGAAATATATATATATATATATATACATTGCTTACTGGTGTACACCGCTTAGAGAGTGCTTGCACTTAAAGCGGTATATAAGTCTCATAAATAAATAAATAAATAAAATACAAGGTGAGTTGGCTGCCTTGAGCAGTTTATCCCAGGTACTTGTAGAAGAAATTAGATAGAGAAGGTAGGCAGAACTGATTGGGAGTTTGGCTGCAACCAGGAAGCTTTTCCATCTCAGCCAGATGGACCAGGAGGGAAGTCTCAGAGCTCCAGTTCAGTTGATGGGGCTGGCACAGATGAGGTTCCATGGCAATCAGTGGAAGAGCAGAGCTCTGTTGGGATGGCTCTTCCTAACCCCTGAATAGTGGAGTCTCCGCGGCGGCTGCTACTTCCTCCTTAAAATGGCCATTCTGTCCGAGCCACAAAGGGTTTGCTGCTTCCGTCTGCTTTATTTGCACCGCCTGGGTCGGTGAGGCAGCTGACTACAGTGTCTTCTGTTGATTGTCCCTGCTTTCTGCACCCTTAGTAGAAATGGTGTGGTAGATAGTTTTTTTAAAGGCATCTTGACTTGAGAGGTGACCCGGGGCAAAAATAGGGAGCCTCTGCTCCTCCAGATCCTCCAGCAATAAATATTTCTTCAAATATTTAGCTAAGAATGGAATAGATACACAAATACTGAAGCAAAATAATTTTTAGCCTGTTTATGTCTCACACCCCAGGTGTGTTAGCTGGCCAGACATTACCCTCAGCTGTAGGGCAGTAATATCCAGCCTACCTGAAGAGCATTTGATTGAAGAGAAGTTGCTCTAGGGATAGATCTCGTTTTTGTTGAACATATAAAGACAAAAGCTTCATGGAGCAGGATTTGGGGGAGTAGATTATTGTCAGAAAAGATAAACATTTCAAGAATTACCTAATACCAGTGGCTTACGGTCCCCACACCTAGCTTGCCCTCTGGCAAAATGTGACCTTTTGAGCATGGCATCTCTGGCTCTGCTGAGAACACTCGGCTATTTAGCCCTTGAGGGGTGGGCTACCAAACTTTCTTCTGTGTTTCAGTCCCATTTGCCCCTGGAACATTGAACATTAGTGCCATTGGGATGGACTGTGTTTTAAAATTGGACAGAACAGCTCAAAATGCCCCCACCTTGAAAACAGTGGAATGGCAGTGAGGCATTGTAATTAAGGTGATGTAAAGGAAGTGATTTGAGACTTCTTTACAGATGGTGGAAATGTTTTTGTCATGGGAAATAATTCTGAGAAGAATTTTTTTAACAAGATGTCAGTGGGGATATTCCTGGACATTGACTGCAAGTGGTGTTGTGGATGGAAGGTGTGGAAGCTCTTTTGAATCTGCGGATGCTCAGAAATCAGTGCAAACATGCCTGAGAAAAGAAGCTTTCTCAAGGTTTCACTGAAGGAAAGTCCTTGAGCACAGAACGGTACACAATTTACAGTTGATCCTTGTTCCTGGAGGAGGATGACAGGGAGCTGGAGGCCAGGAACCAGGCTGAGCGATCCCCCCAACGTATACCAGAGGTGGGGATGAAAAGGGATGTGTTTAAAAGAATGAAGAACTGGAAAAGGACGTGTGTATGATGGGACTTGATGGAAGGGTGAGCGGAGGCTGGGTATGGGGATTGCCGATGGCTCCGCAGAAGCTCTGCACTGTCCTGCTGTTGTGCGTGCCTACGGCTGAATCCCAAGGATTCTGCTCAGCAGCAGAGTAGAGGTCTGCCCTTTCCTGGAATAGGGCATCGGTGACCGTGAAGCTGAAGAGAGTTTGCAGTTTAAATGTTGACAGTGAAGAGAGGAGGAATAAAAAGGGGGGGGGACGTTCATGATGAGGAATTTATTGGTACTTCATTGCAAGCTCTCTGCATGGTTCACTTCCAGCAAGCAGGTTGTCCTGGACCAATATGGTTTTTATGTTGGCATAAGAAACAGTCCATGCCAATTGTTTCTCATGCCAAGCTATTCTCCTATCGCTCTGGGCTTCTGCTGTACTAGTTCAGAACTTTCCAAATATTCTCTGGTGTAGATGAGCAAGCTGAGATTTGAATGTGGGCTTTTGGTGAGATTTCTCTTATCTCTTGTTTCATTAATGCTGGCTCTGTGATTAGCAGACATTAGGCAGCATAAAGACATATATATTTGCCTAAGTGAATCTAAAGGTGTGATGTTTCATGGAATATATCGGGAAGGTACTACCTGCTCAGAGGACATTCGTAGAAACCTGCTGGAAGCCTTTCATGTGTGATGTTATCAGTTGGTTCCGGTGCTCATGGAGTGAGTAAACAGGGAGGCCGACAGGCACTTGCCAAAGGGGTTCCCGAGGAGGAAGCACTGAAAATGAACAAAGGAGTAATTTCTTGAGTAGCTGCCAGCTGCAGTATGACCTAAAAGCTGCCAGATGTCCTATGCAGGTGATTGTTTCCCCTGGAGAAACACAGACAGTAGGGGGAATATAAGGTAGCAAGTTTCCTGCTCACTAAATGAAGGAATAGGGAGAGGAAATGGTCATCTTCCGGGACAAATGGGAAGAGGAGTTCCTAACAGATTTTCCTTACAAGTCAGGTGATAACTAGTCTGAGAAGAGAAGGAAAAGCAACATTTTCCCCCCCTACTGGTGGAGGGCTTTCCTTTCCTTTGTTTTTTTTAAATGATCTTGGGGTTTACATGATAGCTTTTGTATATCTCCCACCTTGAAATATACCTCAGTTTTGGGGGAATTGCAATCTGAGGCTTGCCTAAGGCGTGCAGGTTGTCTCCTTGATTTAAAGAAACATTAATGGATCAGTTTGCTTGTTTGTTTGCTATTTTTATATTTATAGAAATGTAAAATTTGTATCCTTGAGACAGGAACTCTTTGGAATATCTCCCCTGATATGGTTTGTACCCTTTTGCACTCGTTTATAATCCCATTGCTAAAAATGTGCTCGTAGGAAAGTTGAATTCTCCTCTGTACCCTGAGAGCATATTCTATGATACAGGAAGCACTTTGTGGTGTATTACAGGACTTCACAGCTGCATTTGCTGAGCTCCTGACTTTGCAAATGACTTTTTCAAACATGGCCTTGCCTTGCTGTTCTTTGATTCTGTCTTTCCCGATATGGTGAAACAAAAGGCAGAGCCATCTAGTAAAAATAAATACATATTAAAAAAAGATAAAAGTATCTCTGTTGAGAAAACAGCCCCAAATCCTCTATTGATTGCAAATAGGCCTATATAACTGCAGCTCTCTGGGAAGGGGCCCGGGGGCTGGAGGGGGGCCTAAACTACCTGTAAAAGAGGCTTTGCTTGCAACCTACAATAGGGGAGCTTGTGGCTTTGTTTATTTTCTCAGATGACCGAAAAGCTAATTTGTTTGCATTTTCTCTCTTCTCATTTTGCAGATGAACGGGACCGGGTCCAGAAAAAGACCTTCACAAAATGGGTGAATAAGCACCTGATGAAGGTAGGCGCTATACACCTTGGATTCCACTAGATCTGCTCTTTTTTTTCCCCTTCCCCCACCCACGGTATTCATTTTCAAAGCTGACACAGAAGAATGTTGGCATTCTGCTGCTGGATGCTTTTCGTGCAAGTCCAGGAGAAGATTTAATACTGTGAGTTAATTCTTTAACGTGTGCATGCTCCCAGCTTTGGATATAGTGTTGTGTGAATGAAGATTGATCAACACGCTAAATCAGGGGTCCCCAACCCCCGGTCCGTAGACTGGCACCAGGCCGCAGCATGCCAGCATCCGGGCCGCACAAACAAGTGAAGCCCCATCCGCGGGATGCAGGCAGCGCACGAAACCCGGCCCCCTCTGGTCCGTGGAAAAATCTTTCTCCTGGTGCCCAGCAGGTTGGGGGCCTCTGCGCTAAGTAATCAGATGGCTGGTCTTCAGTTCTTGCATAGCAGATTTCCCTCCTCCAGTGAGAATCACTCCACACTCATGTTTCCCAACCATGGCAGCTTTCAGAGGGGTGGACTTCAACTCCCAGAATTCTCTAGCCAGTTTTGCTGGCTGGAGAATTCTGGGAATTGAAATCCACCCCTCTGGAAAGCTGCCATGGTTGAGAAAGATTGCTTTACACATTTTCTTTCTCCATGCAGTCCTCAGCATCTGCATAGCTTTGTCTCTCTGCTCTGCTCCCACAGGTGCGCAAGCACGTCAATGACCTCTACGAGGATCTGCGAGATGGTCACAACCTCATCTCCCTGCTGGAGGTCCTTTCGGGCGTCAAGCTGGTGAGTTTCCAAGATGCCACAGTGGAAACAATGGGCCAGATTAAGGCTAAGACATGCCCATGAAGAGAAACAAAACCCTCACACCAGGAGATTGAAACAAATGCAGTTTCTGACAACCCCTTCAAACGCGACCCTCAAACTTTAACACCAAAGAAAATATTTTTAAAATAATGTTGATTAAAACCAAAGATGGCAGATAAGAAAAATTATTTAAAAAACAAACTAAACTTGAGTGTAGCAGTGAAAAAGCAATGTTTCCCAACCTTCTGGGCATATGGACTTCAACTGCCAGAATTCTTACCAATTGCCTTTTGGCTAAGCTCAAGTGTAGTATCTTATCAATGGCCATACTGGCAGTGGAGTTCTGGGAGTTGAAGTCCACATACCTAGAAATGGCCAAGGTGGGGAAACACTGAGCGAAAGGCATGATAGGGGGAAAAAAATCTGGACTGCCCCCCTTCTCTTGGCGTCTTAAGCATGTCCTTATATTTTTTAATGGTTGATCCTGGATTGAGTTGCCATGTCTCTGCTCACCCTTAGTTTCTAACCATAAAATTATTGTTAACTGGTTTTAATTTCAGTGAGTCTTTCATTTGGAAAAGGGCTTTGAGGCCATTGAGCCTTACTCCTGGTTATGCAGAAATCCAGATGGAAGATTCCCAGGCAGAGGGTTGCCCTGCTACCTCGACTCTCCCTTCCATTGTGTTGACTGCCAAATTGTTATTAAGATTTTTTTCTACTCCCACTTGGAATCTGCAGCTTTGAATCCATGTCCTTAGTGAAAGAAAATGGATATATGGGGATCTTTCACATGTTTGAAACATGCCATCATATTCCAACTCCCTTTTCCTCTTCTGAGGGATAAACGCTTCGAATCTCTCCTCACAAGGTTTTGTTTTTAGTTCCCTGGTATCCTTGTTGCCTTATTTTCTGATTTGTCTGAATGTGTGAAGCCAGAACTGGACCCAGAGAAGTCTGACCAAAGCAGAATGAAATGAAACAGTGACTTTCCATCCTAGCACATGATGTCATAGCTAGGGTTAGGGTTACATCACCATGAACTCAGAGAGCAAAATGGACATTACCAACAAACTCGGAGTGCTTGGGTATAGTTAGGAGGGCACTGACTTTTCTAGGCTGCCCTATCTATGTTTCCTGGTAAAATACATGGGAAAATCCCATTGGAAGAAAATTCCACTTAGGGTTAGGGTTAGGTCACCATGAAGTCATAGAGCAAAATGGACATCACCAACAAACTCGGAGTGCTTGGGTATGGTTAGGAGGGCACTGACTTTTCTAGGCTGCCCTATATGTTTCCTGGTAAAATACATGGGAAAATCCCATTGGAAGAAAATTCCACTTAGGGTTAGGGTTAGGTCACCATGAAGTCATAGAGCAAAATGGACATCGCCAACAAATTCGGAGTGCTTGAGTATGGTTAGGAGGGCACTGACTTTCTAGGCTGCCCTATCTATGTGTCCTGGTAAAATACATGAGAAAATCCCATTGGGGGAAAATTCAGCTTAGGGTTAGGGTTAGGTCACCATGAAGTTGGAGAACAAAATGGACATCACCAGCAAACTCGGAGTGCTTGGGTATGGTTAGGAGGGCACTGACTTTTCTAGGCTGCCCTATCTATGTTTCCTGGTAAAATACATGGGAAAATCCCATTGGAAGAAAATTCCACTTAGGGTTAGGGTTAGGTCACCATGAAGTCATAGAGCAAAATTGACATTGCCAACAAACTTGGAGTGCTTGGGTATGGTTAGGAGGGCACTGACTTTTCTAGGCTGCCCTATCTTTGTTTCCTGGTTAAATACATGGGAAAATCCCATTGCAGGAAAATTCAGCTTAGGGTTAGGGTTAGGTCACCATGAAGTTGGAGAACAAAATGGACATCACCAACAAACTCAGAGTGCTTGGGTATAGTTAGGAGGGCACTGACTTTTCTAGGCTGCCCTATGTATGTTTCCTGGTAAAATACATGGGAAAATCCCATTGCAGGAAAATTCAACTTAGGCTTAGGGTTAGGTTACCATGAAGTCATAGAGCAAAATGGACATGTCCAACAAATTCGGAGTGCTTGGGTATGGTTAAGAGGGCACTTACTTTTCTAGGCTGCCGTATCTAAGTTGCCTGGGAAAATACATGGGAAAATCCCATTGCAGGAAAATTCAATTTAGGATTAGGGTTAGGTCACCATGAAGTCATAGAGCAAAATTCGGAGTGCTTGGGTATGCTTAGGAGAGCACTTACTTTTCTAGGCTGCCCTATCTATGTTGCCTGGTAAAATACATGGGAAAATCCCATTGCAGGAAAATTCAGCTTAGGGTTAGGGTTAGGTCACCATGAAGACATAGAGCAAAATGGACATTGCCAACAAACCCGGAGTGCTTGGGTATGGTTAGGAGGGCACTGACTTTTCTAGGCTGCCCTATCTGTTTCCTGGTAAAATACATGGGAAAATCCCATTGGGGGAAAATTCAGCTTAGGGTTAGGGTTAGGTCACCATGAAGTTGGAGAACAAAATGGACATCACCAACAAACTCAGAGTGCTTGGGTATAGTTAGGAGGGCACTGACTTTTCTAGGCTGCCCTATGTATGTTTCCTGGTAAAATACATGGGAAAATCCCATTGCAGGAAAATTCTACTTAGGCTTAGGGTTAGGTTACCATGAAGTCATAGAGCAAAATGGACATGTCCAACAAATTCGGAGTGCTTGGGTATGGTTAAGAGGGCACTTACTTTTCTAGGCTGCCGTATCTATGTTGCCTGGGAAAATACATGGGAAAATCCCATTGCAGGAAAATTCAATTTAGGATTAGGGTTAGGTCACCATGAAGTCATAGAGCAAAATTCAGAGTGCTTGGGTATGCTTAGGAGAGCACTTACTTTTCTAGGCTGCCCTATCTATGTTGCCTGGTAAAATACATGGGAAAATCCCATTGCAGGAAAATTCAGCTTAGGGTTAGGGTTAGGTCACCATGAAGACATAGAGCAAAATGGACATTGCCAACAAACCCGGAGTGCTTGGGTATGGTTAGGAGGGCACTGACTTTTCTAGGTTGCCCTATCTATGTTTCCTGGTAAAATACATGGGAAAATCCCATTGGGGGAAAATTCAGCTTAGGGTTAGGGTTAGGTCACCATGAAGTTGGAGAACAAAATGGACATCACCAGCAAACTCGGAGTGCTTGGGTATGGTTAGGAGAGCACTTACTTTTCTAGGCTGCCCTATCTATGTTTCCTGGTAAAATACATGGGAAAATCCCATTGGAGGAAAATTCCACTTAGGGTTAGGGTTAGGTCACCATGAACACATAGAGCAAAATGGACCTCGCCAACAAATTGGGAGTGCTTGGATATGGTTAGGAGGGCACTGACTTTTCTAGGCTGCCCTATCTATGTTTCCTGGTAAAATACATGGGAAAATCCCATTTCAGGAAAATTCAGCTTAGGGTTAGGGTTAGGTCACCATGAAGTTGGAGAGAAAAATGGACATCACCAAGAAACTCGGAGTGCTTGGGTATGGTTAGGAGGACACTGATTTTTCTAGGCTGCCCATAGCATTTATTTTGATCTGTGTCCTTTGAAAAGATAACATTTCTGCTTACTGCTGACTTGGGGTGGCATGGCTAGGGGATGGGTCACACAAGTGGTAGAGCAAGGGTGATTTCAGGTCCCTCCAGAAGACTCCCCCCCCATAGGTATTTTGGCTTCCTGAACAGATGCATTAAAGAGCTTAAACAAAAGTGGGACGATGTAACTTTTACTTCTAACAGGATAGATAGTCCTTTTCCCATGCTCCCAGTCTGATTCTGTTCAATGTTGGAGTATTATTTTCACTGTCAGGGAATTTCTCCTTAGTTCTAGGTTGCTAAGGAGAAATTTCCTGACAGTGAGAACAATCACTCAGTGGAACAGCTTGCCTCCAGAAGTTGTGGGTGCTCCATCATGGGAGGTTTTTAAGAAGAGATTGAACAGCCATTTGTCTGAAATGGTATAGGGTCTCCTGCTTGAGCAGGGAATTGGACTAGATGACCTCCAAGTTCCCTTCCAACTCTGATGATGACGACGATAGTTTCAGTAGGGCCTAAGTGGTCCCTGTCAGTGTGCTGTGAGAAGTCTTCCAGGAGGGCAGAGAGAGTTGTCTCTTTACTTGTGTTTGGAAGTTGTTTAGTTGCCTGACAAATCAAGCTTCCCATTTTCTCAGCAAGTCTCTCCAGTTCTGAAGAAGTTTCTTCCTCAGAGGTTGGACTGCCGGCATTGAGTCTCTTGCTCTTTTCTCTTTGCAGAGAAGTCTTTGGCGCTCTTCTAGCAGGTCCTTCTTGTCCAGGCTTCACTGTTAGGAGAGCAATTATGGGGGTCAATAGTGAGAGTTCTCAAGTCTGTGAATTGCGTTTGTTGAACTGGGAAAAAAAAGGGACAAAATGTCCATTTGTGGAATCGGCCTTGAAATTCAGTGTTTTGCTGAGGAAAGGAGAAGACGCTCTCTCTTTCTGCTGCATAGATTTATTGTTAATATTTATCCTTTTGTTTGGTGTGTGGAGAGGAGCCCCCTTCCGAAGAAAAGATGCAGAGAAGGTCTGAGGTAGAATCTCCAAGGTGTCTGCAGCAACCGATTGACTCTGGGAAATCAACTGAATTGTTGGGAAATGGCTCGCTGCACTCAACTCACTTGTCCACACAACTCAGTTCTTTTTGTTTCATAATAATTTTATTAAATTTTACAAAACGTAAAAACTAAGATTAATAGTCAAGAAATTCTTATATTTTTTACTGACTCCCAAGGAAAGTTCTTTGCCTCTCAATCCTTTCCTTTTTTTCCTTTGCACACAAAGCATGTTTTCTGCCATCCAAAAGGTTTGATCCTAAACTGTTGCAGCAGCAGCAGCAGCAGCAGCCCTAAGGGCTGTAACTTTTGGATCTGACCAAACATTTTCCCCTCCCTGATGGCTCCCTTCTGGAGGCTCTGGTGAAGAGTGGCTGCGGAAGACCTTGGAGGAGCTGTGCATTTGAAAATTCATTTTTAGTCAGCTCTTCTTGTGTATTTGTGGAGTGTGGCATTTTTCTTTCTTTGGTGTGTGTCGTTTAGTACTGTATTGTCCATCCTATTTACTAGCACAAGGAAACCGCAGGGCAGAAGACTCTTTGCTTGCTGAAAGTCCCACCCTGGAGTCACTTGGGCAGTGAAGAGTGTGAGGAGGAGGAGGAGGAGGATACAGTAGGTCAAGGCCCATCCTGGAGCAACAGTAGCAACTGGGACACATTCCGATAATCCAGAAATACCTCAGATTTCAGGCAGGACTTCCAGCATCTTCTAAGAAGCAGGGAAATGACCAAATGAGCCTGTGTGACGGCATCTTTTCCAGGGCCTTCTGGTTGAATTTGTGGGATGAAGACAGGTGGTTCCCTCCCCCCCCCCAGGATTCTACTCTGGAGCTGCCTTTGTAGCTCTGTGTATGGGTAGATCACCTGCCCAGAAGCTGGATGTCTCCAAATGCTGCAACCAAAGGAAGGGAAGGATCCAGTGGAAATGGGGGAACAAAGGGAAGGAGTGGCCACCCACATTTCATACCCTGAGAACCCCACACAGTTGGCCACGTGTTAGGCTACCCCGGAGACTCCAAGGCCCACCACTCTGAGGCATCCAACAAAGCAAGGGAGAAGAGCGTTTTTTCTTTGCTTCCCTTTTACAAGGTCACCCTTGGCGGCTTGAATCAATGTTGATGTTGCCAAGGATAAAGCAGGCAGGCTGCTTCTCCTTCAGAGGGACCACAGACTCCCTTTTCCCCTCCCAGAGGCTGGAGTGGGATTTCACTGAGGACTTGAGGGCTGTGAGGAAATCACTGGATTATCTGGATGTGTTTCTGGTGTCGGTAGGTGGAGATGTGTGAAGAATACTAACTCACGGAGTGTGAGCGCACAACGGTTTGCCCTTTTTGCAGGTCTTGCACACTTCCACAATCTTCTTTTGTTCCCAGATTTGTAACCGTAGGCCAGCCCTCCTGAGGCTTCCAGGTGTGTTGGGAACGGGGTTCCAAAATTACTAGTCGTGTGTTTGGGAAGGGAACGCCAGTAGGTAGCCACCTGTCAGAGTGAAGATTGTGGGGAAATGTCAGGAGACAAATCAGGCAGAATGTTTTCCTCCATGTGGAGAAACAGACCCGGATCCTTCCCAGGAGAGTCTCGTGCTCTGCTGAAGGAACATTTTGCTCTGCAGACTGCCCGCTCGCCTGCCTTTCACACCAGTTTGCCCCCTTGGTGCTCCTGAGAGAGAGAGAAGCGTGAGAAGGCAGAAGAAGTGTAAGGCCGGGCAGAAAGGAACTTCACAGGATCCCCAGGTCCTGCCATTCCACTTAGTCCTGTCCTGTAAAGAGCACCCCGTGCCTGTTTCTTGACCTCAGCTGCCACTTTGCGCCAAAGAAAATCAGGGTGCAGTTATTCTGAGTTTCTTTCTCGTGCTTCCCTTTTCTCAGGAAATCAGGGTGCAGGTAGCACCTTTTTTGACTCCATAAATGAGCAGGACTCTCCTCCCCTGGACTGCAAGAGCAGGAGGCGTTTGCCTTCCTCTGAGAAGGGCTAAGCTCCTTTGTCTCTTTTCCAGCCTCGAGAAAAGGGGAGGATGCGCTTCCATCGCCTGCAGAACGTGCAGATTGCGCTCGACTTCCTCAAACAGCGACAGGTAAGCCCTGTGCCCCCCCCAGGAGAGGAGACTGTGGTGCCTCCCCCCCCCCCGTTCTTAACCTTTCCTCCATTAGTGTCCTGCAAAAGACGGGATTCCCTTTGCTTGTTACACTTGAGGGAGGGGAGAAGTTAACTGAGTTTGCCTTTTGACATGGAGCCACCTTACATGCTTAGTTGAGCTTGGGAATGAGGGCCTCACTTCTTCCCCTTTTTGTCCCCCCAGCAGTGCTGTGAGGGAGGCCAGGCTGAGAGAGAATGGCCATCTGAAGCTCCAGAGTGATAGGAAGGGATTCAGACCTGTCTCACTTCTAATTTGTCCACCATCACACCACCTGCCTACTACATCCACACCTCCCCAACCTAGGGACCCAGACAAAATAGTCATTTCTGGATAGTCTTCAAAACAAAATTAGAGGGGCCTGTTAGGCAAAGAAGGATGTCTATATTGAGGAAATGAACATATAAATGCACCCAGAGACAGAAATGTTGTGTGCAAAAATTGAGTAATTTGGAAAACCACACAGGAATATGGACCATTTGAGAATCCAGATTTAGTCATTACAAAAAGAAATGTTAGAAGATGCATGAACAAGAACAAGTTGAGAGAGAGAGACAGAGAGAGAGGAGGCTTCCGCTAAAGATTGTGATCCTGAGGAGGAATGCAGGCCTGACTGCTTGGCAGGGGGCTCTCCTTAAGCAAGCCAGCTGCCACTGCCCGAGAAAGCTGTCCGCATGGCCAGTCCACAATACAGCCAGCCCTGACTGGGAGAGCCTGAGGAGATGACAACCTGTGCAGGCCAATTTCAGAAAGTGTCACAGCATCTATCTGCTCCCAGTAGTCTCTGACATACAGCTGTAGTGGAGCCTGCCCATTACAGTTAGATGTCACAGTGGTTGTAAAATGGATCGGTCATGAGACCGACCCAGAGTGGCCTTTTAGTAAAGGCAGGGGTTGTAAAGTTCATAAAGAGAATGCTGTAGTCATTAAGTGAGGAACTGCCCTAACTACGGCTGGGTTGCCGATTGCCTGAGGTTTGGCCGTGTTATTACAGGAGGGAGCCGACCATTGGAACTTCGATTCCGCCTTGTAAGTCAAGGTCTGTCTGTGTGGCCAAAGGCTCCTCGTCTCTCCAGGGAGAGATCCCGGACCTTCTGGGCCCTGCACTGCTGCCCTTCCAGACAGACCCCTCAGCCGAGGGATGTGCTCGGAAGGCCTCTTGATGGACAGCAGAGTGAGGTGGAGCGAGGGATGTTCCAGGTTCCATTCCAATCCGGGCCCAAGTCGCTTCCCCTCCCTGTTTGCCTCTTTGCAGCACGATCCAGGTGGGGAGGTTCTCACGAACACAAGACCCCATAAGCTTCTGGTTCAGATTTGTGAGAAACCTTGGCAAAATGTGTTGGGTGTGCTCTGTATACATAGGAGAGCATTATGTGGCTACGTGCAGCATATTTGTGTGAATCGTTCTATCTAAAAAATATTTTACTTACAAGCGGTATCCTTCCCCCAATTCCATTAAAATGAGGCACTGTGTTCTTTCCAATGGTTGGCTGTGTAGGATGTGTGTCCAGCACATGCAGGTTTGCATTCTATAAGGTCTGCAGGTTACTTCTTGGAAAGATAATCCTTGGGATGGAAATGGGATAAGAAATCTTTGTGACCTCATTTGCATGCTGAGAGATACAGCAGAGATTAGTTCTTGGGAAAATTAATGTTTAAAAGCTGTAGGGCCTGAATGTTTGAAAAGTGTCACAGTGGAAGCTTTGTAGGAACGTGACTGTTTGGAGCATCTAAAGTATGTTGTGAAATTAAAACTCAGGTGCATAATGAACAATGAATATATTTCAGTATTTTACATGGCACAGCTGTCGGAGCGGTCCCTGTGGCTCTGCCTGATCTTCCTCTTTGGTCCCATTTCCAGGTGAAACTGGTGAACATTCGTAACGATGACATCACCGACGGGAACCCGAAACTCACCCTGGGTCTGATCTGGACGATTATCCTTCATTTCCAGGTAAGAGCCTGGCTTTGTTCGGGAGGGGGGGGGAGGAGGAGGAGGCCTGAGGTGGATTCTCTGGCCAGTTAATCGCCTTTCCCGTCAGGGAGAATAAACAGCTTTCCCGTTGGTGGTTTCCGTGATTCACTCATTACCTCTGCTTCTGTTAGGAGCTCCCAGATCATCCCTGAGGTGGTCGGGAAGGGGTCTTTCCTTTAGGCGAAGTTGCCTGGCTGTGTGCAGTGGGTGAACAATGGGCATGCTGTGTTTTGGGGAAGGGGTGGCTGCAGTCCCACATTGCAAAGTAATTACCTTCTTACTACATTTAAAGGCTCAGAGAGGAACCTTTGATTCCATGTTGGCTCCTGGCAACTTCCTGGATTAGCAGTTTTTTTGGCAAGAGGTTCAGAAGTTGGTTTACCATTGCCTCCTTCCTAGGGCTGAGAGAGAGTGACTGGCCCAAGGTCTGGCTTCATGCCTAAGGCAGGACTAGAATTCAGGGTTTCCCAGTTTCTAGCCTCGTGTCTTAATCGCTACACCAAACTGGCCTTTTAACAATAGAAGCACACTGAATATCAAGGCAGAGATTAGTAGTTAAATTGCTCCTAAACACGGAAAGATGCCTGAAAATCTGAGAGTTTCAAATAATTGGAGCAGAGTCTTGCTGCTCAGCAAAGAGTCGTGTGATTGTAAGCTTGCAGGCAGTCCCTTTCTCCCTGAATCCTCATTAGCTAGAGCTGCAGTAGGAGATTTAACAGAATAACAGAAGAGATGACACCAGTCTCTATTTTTCATGAATTTCTTGGTGAGTTACAGCCTCAGAAGCCGTGGATCTCCGCCTAAAAAAGGAAGAGTAAAGGGTCCACCTCTTTCTTCTCCTCACCAGGCGTTGTTTGCGAGATCTTTCCATCCTGTCAAACATTTCCCTGGGTCGACTTCTCTGCTACGGAAGGGACAAGGGATGGAGAGACGGGTGGCTGGCAAGGAGCTTGGGCAAGCAGGGTGGACATTCTGGGTGATCTCTCAGCTGGGTTATTTGCTTGACAATTTTTCATTACCCAAGTAGGTAACATCCTCAGTGCATCTGCAAGAAAACAACCCAGCTCAGAGAGCACCGGAACTCCACAGAGCAACCCTGAGCTAGAGAGGTCTCTTCTGTTGGGATGTGCTTCCGAGGGGAGGGGAGGGTAGCTTCCTAAAGCCACGTGGCTGAGATGCCAATTCTTTTCCAATTAGGAAAAAAGGGTCTACCAAGGACCCAGAAGGGGATGCGGGGTGTGTGTGTGTCTGCATTGAGTGTAATAGAGTTGATATGTTGCCTTTCATGGGGTAAAATGATTTTTTTTTTTTTGGAAAAAAATAAGTTTCAGTAGTATGATTTTTAATTGTTATTTTCTTTAAAACACCTGCCCCAATTGTACTGCTGAATTCCAGCCCCTCTTCATTCCTCTTGCATGGAGAACCCAGCTTTGGGCTTAAGAGGGGCTGAATCCTGACCCTGAGCTGCAACATCATCGGGGCTAGCCCGGGTGTGTTGCTGTAGGTCTTGCCTCCACCTGATGGACCAGTGGGGGGCGGGGGCTACTTAGAAATGCAAAAGGACCAGCATCAATTGACCTGAAAGAAATCCATTACTTATTGTCTGCCAGATAATAGTTCTGTTTTAAAAACCACATTATGTTATTGCATTCAGAGGTTTATCCCACTGCCAACATTTCCTGAAGTGGCTAAGGAATTGGGTGGGTTCTGCAGAAGCTGAGGCAGGCTCAACCTTCATGGCCTTCTTGCATCTGCCAAGGGAGACCAGGTCTGAACTGAGCCAACACCAGTGTGCTGTTCATCCCCTCTGACCCCTCCTCCATTTCTGGCCAGGCAGGCACTAGATGGCACTGCTGCCTCAAGAACACGTGCAGGCGAAATGGGGAGGGGTCTGACTGCAGAGGAGCCCCTGTGAAGGTGCTCATGCCCAGAAGCTTCCTGTTGCTGCTGCTGCTGCTGTTTGGGTGGGGATGGGAAGAATAACTCAGCTAGGCTGGAGCAAAAGACACCTGGGGGGGGGGGGCTCCTCCCAATCCCTCGTGTTTTCTGTAGATCCATAGGAGCTCTTTGAGAGCCATTTGGATTTACTGCTGCTGTTGAGGAGGCCCGGTGCTTCCTTTCTCTCCCATTACACAGGGCAATAATAATTTTCTCCTGAGCCGTCTCAAACAGGGTTCACCTTAACCATTTCAGCTGGTGCAGAATGTGCATTTCCAGAACAGCGCATGCTACGCCTCTGGTCCACGAGTTGTACTGGTTGCCAGTTTGATTCCAGGTCCAATTCAAGGTGCTGGTTTGATCTTTAAAACCCTTCATAACATAGAACCAGATTACTTGTGGAACCATCCTCTCCCCATTAAGTCAGCCTGTCCTGCCTGGTCTGGTAGGGGCCTGCCGTGGGTCCTTGGCAGGTCCCAGGGGGTGGGGGCCTTCCTTGCCATGGCTTTATGGAATATTCTCTCCCCCCTCCCAAAGTGAAGTTAGTTCCATCCCTGCTGATGTTCAGGGGGTCCCCCGAGACCCAGCTGTGTCACCAGGCCTAGGGGTGCCAGGGGACTGGTGAAACATTACAATGGCTTCATCACTGTGGCTGATACTGGCTCTCGCTTATGCTGTATGGTTTTTTAAAATAATGACTGTGTTAAATTTTAACAATGACTGATTTTTTTTACATTTATTGTTTCTAATCTTGTACACTGTCCAAAATAACTGTTTGTGAGATGGACAGTTATATAAATTTGGTAGGTAGGTAGGTAAACTAATCAGAGCAGACAGTTGCCTTTCAGTAAATGCTGGAGGGGAGGGCAAACCCAACGGGATGGCAAAATACAGGAGGAGGATGGGTCCATGGCAGAGTTAATTACATCTGGGTGAAAAGGAAAAGCAGCTTTTCATCTCCTTTCCTAAAAACTAGATTTATTTATTTAATTTTATTTATTTAAAAGATTTGTATGGCTGCTCATCTAAAGCAACTCTGAGCAGCTCCCAACAACAATGGCATGGTGTAAAGGCCTTCCTTTATATGTATGGACCAGCTGATGTCTTTCGTTGTGAAATGCGTGTGTTCAAAAGCACAAATTAATTAAGGGTGATGATAATAGCCTGGAATAAAAAAGAGGGGAGTGAATGTCTTGTGGCTGGCTGATGGTGTGAAGAGCCCGGGCAATCAAAGTGATGCCAGTTCACCTAAAGGGGGATAATTTCTGGTTAATTTGGTGGATAGAAAAAACATCTACTCTCCCTTCTTGCTCAAAAAACGTGGAACTGATGCTCTTCCGGGAAACCCTCCAATGTCAAGGCCATTTCATGGGAAGAGTTGGCTTTGGCCTGCTTTCTTTTCCAAACCAGAAGGAAACCCTCCCTATTCCTCCTGATCTGGACTCTGTGGGGAATCTATGTCTGTGGGTCTGAATTCCCCACAGGGAGCATTGTGGTACTCATTGACCTTTGGCCTTTCGCAGAAATGTTCCTAGACCAGCGTTTCTCAACCTCACCAACCTTCAGATACATGGACTTCAACTCCCAGAATTCCCCAGCCAGCATAGGGAATTCTGAAAAAAGAAGTCCATCTGTACATCTTGAAGTTGTTGAGGCTGAGAAACATTGTCCTCGTCTATTTCACATGTTGGCTGAAGGGGATGAACGAGGAAGAGGCAGGGGGCCTATATTGCTTTCCCCAACTTCAGGAAGTTTCTTGCCATTAAGAAAATTACTTTTCTTTAGACCCAGAAGGCAAATTTGGAAAAAGGAAGTGCAGCTTCTAGTGACCTTTGGCTCCCCCAAATTGAAGTGACTTATTAGATACGGCAGCTGCTAAGCTTTTGGCTCCCCTGTCTCACATTTCTGCTTAGCCTACAGCTAGAATGGCAGTTTTCTACAGAACGGAGGAGAGGCAAAGCCCTGCCCTGTTTATTCCACTAGGCTCCTCCCGCGTTGTAGACGTCCCGTGGCTGGGTTGAGGAAGGAGAGCTCCTGTTAAAGATGCCAGGGCAGCCCTGCTGCATCAGGGCAAGGCCCATCTTGGTCCAGGATTGTTTTTTCCAGTGGCCAGCCTCATGTCTCCGGGGGCTCCACAAGCAGAAGATGGAGGCCTCTCCCTTTCTTGTTCCCTAGCAAGCTGCCGCCTCCAGCCTTGGAGTAACAATTATGAAATCCATCTCCCATCTTTTAAAGTTGTCCAGGTCATGATCTTTATCACATCTTGTGGCAATGATGTCGTTTTGTGCTTCATGAGAAATCCATCTGAGTGGACCTCCAAAGTTCCTTCTAGCTTTTCTGCTATGCATGTTTAAGAAAATACTGAAAGTGTTATACTCTGCAATGCTGTAATGCCGTGAGCCGTGCTCGGTGGCTTTGGTAGGAATTGAGAGCATCCGGTGGACACCAGATTACCTGTTTCTGATGCTGTTTTTTTTACAATTTAAGAAATACCTGGTTGCAAGGGGGGGGGGCAAATGCAGTTACTTTGCGAGATGACACAGGCTCTTCTGAGCTCCAGGCTGCCCATTGGCCGGATGCGCCAGGAGGTGCCCAGTTTCCTCCTCAACATCCAGCCTCCCAAGGAGGGGCAGTCGGGGTCCCGCACTGGTCTCCCGCTGCAGGTCAGAGTGGCCTCTTTTCTCCTCCCTTTGGTTCATACGCCCCGAGGGGAGCTGGATGCAGCTGATGGGGGCCTGGGGTCTGGGTAGTTTGGCTGACTGCGCCCCACTGAATGGGCGTTGAGGCACCCTGGATGCTCCGTGTGGCCGAGGAGCATTGCCAAATACATTTTCCACAATGCTCCTCAGAGCCGAGAGTGGCTTTTCACCCCAGAATGCCTGCCTTGGTGCTTAGAGGCAGCCGGAAGGAGGCTTTCTCTGCTGAGGTTAATCTTCTCCGGCACAAATCCCTGGATGGAGTTTATCCGCCGGCACAGCGGCAGCAGGAGCTGCCGCCTCTCGGTAGCTTTGCACAATGCCTCCTCGGTTTCTTTCTCTTTGGGTGTCTCCCATTCTTCCCCGCTCGCCCTTTCCCACCCCACCTTCCTCTCCTTGTTTTTTGTTGTGCTTTTTTTTTTAACTTTGTCTCCCGATTTCCATCTCTCTGCCTTGGTGCCACACCCCTCAGCAGCCTCTCCCTCCCTCCCTCCCTCCCTCCCTCCCTCCTGCTGCCACCACCGCCTCTGCCTCTGTCTGGCTCTGGCTTTCTCTCTGCCGGGGGAGCCCTCCCATTACCTCATATTTGGAGAGAAGCCGCTGCAGCCAATCGCGTCTCTGGCTGCTTTTGGGTCAAGTGATTTCTGAACTGCAGTGAGGTGCTTTGAATGTCTCTCCCTTCAGCTCCCAGCCTCGTAAGATGGCTGTCTGAAAACGGCAGCGGCTCAGCAGGAGGAGCATCTCGATGTGCGGGTGTGTGTTCGTATTCAAGTGTGAGCGTGCTTGCAGTTGTGTGCATTTTTCAAATGGGCACCTAATCTGATGAAGCAGCTGCAGGGATTTCTCCAGGAGGCCGGTGGCAGCGTCGCTGCATTGCCACTGGAGCCCTGCGCACCACGGAGATGGGAAACATTCTGGGTTGTGTCAAAGAGCTGAAAGAGCCAGCCAGGGAGGTGGGGAACGCTCCCCTTTCCCCCCAGAGGAAAGCTCGCTTCAGGCGGAAGGGGAAGGGAAAGAAGCCGATGGCCCCGGAGACGCCTGATCCAGGAACAGAGAGACGCTCCTCACAGGCTGAGACGGCTGAGCAGCAGGAGGAGAAGGAGGCATCAAAGAAATTCAGAGGGTCTCCTCCTCTGGAGCAGGAGGGAAGGGCTGGAGGCTCCCACCCAAGCACTGCTTCCTACAGGGAGGCTTGGCCACATTTGAAGATGGAGAGTCTGGAGCAAGGACACATCGTGCAGGTGAGGGAGAGGTTTCAGGGGACTCTGGAGCGAGTTCACCTGGTGACAGACAAGACCTTCTCCCTACCTGGAAGCCCAGGAGACTTTCTTGAAGAGGGAGCCACATTCATTGCTCACCTGCTAGACAACCCAGCAGAGCAGAACTGTGAGAAGGTGGCAAGCCAACTGGTGGTTCTTCAGAGGCCGGTGGGTTTGGGCAACAGCCGAGCAGTTCTGGTGCCACTGCCCACGGAGGCTGTGCCTGAAGTACCTGGGGAGAATCGCTTGGGAGACCTGGCAGGGGTGGGCTCTTGGGCTCAGCCAAAGTTGGAAGTCCTACAACAGCAACAAGGAGTGACAACGACGGTGGAAGAGTCTTACAAGAACTGGAGTAGTGAAGAAGGAAATGAGAGTCTATCGAGCACTATTTGGGGAGCTTCTTATACGGCAGAGAAGGGCACAGTCTCAGAGCTGTCCACGCCATCACCTATGGTGGATCAGGTGGAGCTCAAAGGGATGGAGAATCCTCTGCAACCTCCATCTCCGCCAGAAACACCTGTTGTCAGGAGAAAAGATGGCATCAGCACAAAGTTCCCAGCCTCCCAAAGTAGGGTCTCTTTCAGTGGGTCAGCCTCCAGTGCTTTCCAGTCCTCTTCGGGATATGGCAGTGACTCGACGCATCAGCTGGTAAAGACGACTGGGGCTTCATTCTGCAGAGAGAGATGCCCTGCCTCTGGGAGAACGGATGGACCCAATGGGAGAAGAGCCACCAAGGAAAGCCGCAAGCCAGCCAAAGGAGGGGTCAGTGCAGTTTTCCTTTTCCAACTCTTTGAGACTAGGGCAGGACAGAGCAAACCTGAGGTGTTGCAACCATCATGGAAGTCATATATTGGGATTCGGGATGGGATGGGATTCAGCTCCTAGAGTGGGTTTTAACAGCTCGCAGTCTGGATAAATTGGAAGAGCCCCTTCCCGGGCTCTCATTGGGAAGGATAATAAGAGGGAATAATTTGCAAAGTTGCACAATTTCAGCTGTCTGGAATAATTGTAGGAAATCAGTGTGGAAGTAAAAGCAATTCACAAAAGTTTATTTGAGAGATTTTGTTTGGTCTTTTGATCCAGGGCTCAGACCTGGCTTAGATAGTGAGCTCCAGAGAGACCAAATGTGAAGTAAGTCCCCATCTTCTCTTAAAGATGTGGGATGATACACTTCACTGACCATCTCACAGGGTGGCAGTTCCAGACTTCTCTGTCTCCTTAGGAGAGAGATGTGTAGTCTCTTCAACTCAGATCTGTTTGAGGGGGGCATCTTGTGATGGAACATCTTCTAATTTTTAGGGAAATGGGGATATGCTGGGCTGAGCCCTGCTGCTTAGAAAAGTTCTGAAATAAATGCCGATGCAGGAAGGAAGGTTACCTTGCTTGGTCTGACTCTCTACAACAAAGATATTCAGCCTTGTGTCCTTCTGATGTTCTCGGATTTGCTTTCCATCTGCCCCCACCTGCACAGCCAGGGGCTGGAGATGGCAAGAGAGGTCTGGAGGCTCACAGCTGGCTCTGAGGAGCAGAGCTAAGGCCATTCCAGGCTCTCATTGTGACTGTTGCCAAACTGGCCGCTTCTATTGACTTTCTCTCATGTGCGAGCATGCTGGAAACCCCCCTTCAAGTCTTAAAGCAGGCGTCTTCATTCCCAGAGAGTGATAATTGAAAATTTCCAGTGGGGAAAAAAATGGGGGATGATGGGGCAGAGAGCGGTGGAGCCAGTCTAGAAGCACATCATCAGCGTAGATAACCCAGCTGATATGTGCTTTTCAAGAATAATGCCATTTAAAAAAGAATAATAGGACACATTCCTTGTTAGATGGAATTTAAACTCAAAAAATGTTATTGTAGGGCAAATAGAGAGTAGACATATGGGGCTGGAGGTTTTCTTGTAGACCAGAATTCACTTAACGCCCAACAGTTCTTTATCTAAATCAAAAGAAGACTCAGATATTAAGCTTGTCCCCTTTGATCCCAGGCCCCTCCCACCCAACCCTTTCAACCAGTATGGAGGATTGGAGAAGTCATTGGCCAGGCCCAGGAAGACCCAGATTCCTGTCCCACACCATCATAGAAGCTAACTGGGTGACTTTGGCTATCCATTCCCTCTCCATCTCATCTACTACACATGTTTGTTTGATTTTTAAGCTCCCCTATGCTTTTGAGAAAGCTGGGTTGCTTAGAGTCTGGTCTGTTTCACCATTTCAATAGGGTGAACATACCTGGATGGCTGGTAAGAGTCCTTCCTTCCTCACTGGCTTTTTTCCATTTATCTATCCAACACTGATAACCAGGTAAAGTAGATCAGAGAAAGGAGAAATGCTATCAAATTTTAGGGCTGTTCCTCTTTCCCCATGACTCCTTGGTATCATCCAAAACAGCTTTCCAGTTCTTCCTCCTCTCAGCTTCCTACCCCTTGCCATTCACAAGTTTGCTACTGGGCATTTCTGAAGAGATGTAAACATCATCCAGCAGAGAGAAGAGGCTGTTCTCATGTCCATATTCTGGGGAAGCCAAAGGTCTCTAGGGATTTGTTTTGTGAAGGAACAGGCCTGTTAGGAAAGCTTTCTTGGAGACCCACAATGGATGACTTCTGTCCTCCTACAGGTGCTGTTTGGTGTGGGTGCGGGTAGAGGTTAAGGATTTGGGATCGTGGTGTTTGACTGCCAGCCTGTGTTCGTGGATCAACAGTGACTTCGGCTGTCACTGGGCTGGTTTGCTTGGTCACACAACCAGTAAGGGCCAAAGTAGTGTTGCAGGATGGTCCTGCTTAGTCCAGGTAGCAATTGTGTGTGAGCAATACAGTCTCAAGGCTGGGAAAAGGACAGTCCCAATGGGCCTGCTGACTCAAAAAAGCAGGAGGAAGAGGTTTAAGATTTAAACCTTGAGTCTTAAGATAGAGGGCTTGAAGAAGTTGGTAGTGGATGGCTTGGCCTGCCTGTTTGGACAAGACTAGAAAACAGCTTGGTGACGTTTTAACTTTTGCTTTTTGATCTGTGACAAGTTCTGGGCGAGGGAGATCCGAATGCCAGGCTCTCTTCAGACTCTGTTGAAATGGGCAGCTCTGAGACATTTGAGCCTCAGCAAGACAGGAGCTCTTATGCAAGCAGACCCAGCTTCCTTCTCACTCGCCGTCCCCGCTTTGTCTGTGGTTCTTCAAGGGGAGAGAAGGTACCTGCTTATGAGCCGCAGTCTAGCTTTTTATTCAAGAATAAAGGCTAGGATTGTACAGTGGACAGGAAGGAGGGAAGCAAGAAATTGCCCGTCAAGAGACAGTTCTGTTTATCTCATCAATGACAGCTTAGGTCAGGTAGAAGGAAACCTGGGAAGGACTGTTTCAAATCACTCAGATGAGTGCAGAGCATTCCTTTTGCGGTTTCCAAGACTCTGCCTTTACCCCAGTCTAACATTAAAGAGATCTTTCTAAAATCTGAGTAATTCTTGCTTCCTTGAGTTTGATCAGTTGGGTAGGCTTGGTAGGATTTTTGTATCATAGTGCATCACGTATTCTCCTCCTCCAGATGACAATTCTCTCTCGTTTTGTTGGGTTTTGTGAAGAAAACTGCCCCAAAGAGCCACATCACATGAATCCATCTCATTTTTTTTCCCCTTGAAACCCAACACAAACCACCTGCTTCACAACCTCAGGAGTCCTCTTGTCTCAGTGCCTGGCTGGGCCTCCTCTGCTACTGGAACATGGGCTGCTCTGTGGGTGTCCACCTAATGGCCTTGCGGACCTGTTTGTTATCTTTCAGATCTCTGACATCTACATCAGCGGAGAGTCAGGGGACATGTCCGCTAAAGAAAAGCTCCTTTTGTGGTCACAGAAAGTAACGGCTGGTTACGTGGGAATCAAGTGCACCAACTTCTCTTCCTGTTGGAGCGACGGGAAGATGTTCAACGCTGTCATCCATAGATATCGGTAGGTAGAAGCCCTCTCCTCCGTCTCAACCACGTAAGGGAAATTTGTCCAAAATAGGCGACACTTCTAATGCTGGAATGAGCCTGATTTGTATTTTGCAACTGGATATGTCCAGGGTGTCAATGAGCTCCTAAGCCACTTTTTCTGACTAATTGATTTCATTGAATTCAACCTTTTGTTGAATTTTATTTTTTTCAACCTTTATTGAAAGATTTTTTTGTGTGTGCAACCAGAAGCAGCCTGGAAGCACATTAAAAAGCTGCCGGCTCACTTGCCTTTTTTTGCTGCCGTACGCTTAACCCAGCTCTGTGTAGAGGCCATAAAGAATTTGGGATCAAAACCCTACAGCCAGTCAGACCCCAGGATGTCTCTGGAGTGTCACCGAGGGGCTTCCTTCTGTAGTGGCGTCCCCACCTCTTCACCCCTCCAGTTCCCAAAGCTTTTCTTGTAAGAAGACCTCTCCCTTCACCCAACCCTTCTCGGTACCAAAGCCAGATGAATGGTTTAATTTCTGGGGTGTTTTCCCATCACCCCTTTTCACTCTGAATAACAGTGATGTGCTGGCTGGGTTTGATTTATTGTTTTTGTGTCTTTCCCAAACCACTTAGAGACAGTTTGTTTAAAAAAACCTCTTAGAAAATACACTAAATAATGCTAGTAATTTATTAGTAGCCAATGCGAGTGCCTCTACTAGTAATAATAATAACCGTTTAAGAGCACCCACAGAGCTTTCTCTGAATGCCAAACAAGACCAACAACCCTAAAAAAAAGGTGAGTGGCCCCACCTGAATGCACAGGCAGCCACTCTGAGATGTGATTCTGCAGCTTCTTCTGATTCTTGAGAGGTTCACAGGGGCGAGGCAACCTCCACTGAGTAGGGAAAGGGAAGTTTCAGTGATATCCACAAACCCCCATCATTGCAGCTCATCATATTAGGACGAGAAGAGATTAGCTTGCCAGCAACGAAACATTTGGGCTTGCTTTGTTTTCAGGCTCTGGGCCAAAATCCCAGAACCACCAGTCAACACCACTGAGAATATAACAGTGAAAAGAAAATGGATGTAGTTTTCATAGGCAAATTTTGGTTAGAATCCCTCCATACTGAGAAACTTTAGAGTGATTCCACCTTAAGAGAGGCTTTAGGTTTGGAAACGGTTCTGATTGCAGGGAGTTGGGAGGTGGGTGCTTAAGAAATCAGATAACTTTTGTATGAAGAGGTAAGAGGGTCCCACAGACCTTCCCCAAAAGGAGGATGGAGCTGCCTTTGCACAAGGAGGGCTTCCCTGATAGAGAAGGACGCCATCGGCACCCTGGCCTTCTCAGCACGCCCTCCTCAGAAGTTAACCATTGACGGATGTCCCTTCGCAAATCATCTACATTCACAGAGGCCTTCTGGTAACGTCTGTGTCCCCAGGTGGAGAATGGGATGAGGCTGTTCCTTCTCTTCTTTAGCAGATGTGTATTGCTTGCTTGCAAGTGCTGAATCATCATAGTTTGGTTTATCGGTTTCCTACAGACCAGATCTTGTGGACATGGAGAGAGTGTACATTCAAGGCAACCGAGAGAATCTGGAGCAGGCCTTTGAGATTGCTGAACGGCTGGGGGTCACCAGGTTGCTGGATGCAGAAGGTGATTGAGGGAACAGTGGCGGGAGGTTGTATCTGGTGGAGATAAGTTAAGAAAGTTGGGCCCTGGAAGACAAGAGAGTTTAGATGTGGAAGTGACCAAACCAACTAGGTTTACAACACTGGCAGCATGTCAGGTAGGACCCTCCTTCACTTCTCAGCATCCTGGTGTAGCTTGAGAAGTTTAACCAGGGCCTCCTCCACAGCCTGAGCTACCCCCGTGTGGTTGCTTAACAACGGCAGTGGGCTAGGGAGCTGGGATTGTAGCTGTTGAGTGAAATGGTCATAGTGGTGCCTTGCATAACGAAGCAATGTCTTATGACCCAAATTGTAGGCTCAATTGTGGTCATATGTTGAGGACCGCTTATATTACTATTATCTAGCATTACTGATTTCCAAAGCACTTTTAAGAATTTGCTTCCATTAAAAAGCCAACATTGCCCCAAGAGGCATCTAGGCCTCTGGGCTTTCTGGAGACACTTAATTGATTAAAATAGATCTGCACTGATTCTTGTAGAGCAGTGGTTCCCAAGCGGGAGTGGGAGATGATATTCTAGGGAGTGCGAAAACTTGGGTTTTCAAAATTATCGTGTTTATGTATAATTTGTTCCTGTTATTTCAAATGTTTGTAAAGGCTGTGAGAATATATGAGAAGCGTTCTAGGGGTGTGGGGTATAGAAAAGGTTGGGAACCGCTGCTGTAGAGCTGAAGTTTACATTTAGTCCCAGTCTGAACAGTGCATCATATAGCTTCTTGTGAACTGTGCAACTTGAGATTACAGATGGAAAGAACTCTTTCTTAATTATTTTGCTGAAGAAGGAGAGAGAATGTTATTCATTGTAGGTAAAAAATCACCACTTCAGGGCAGAAGAGAGAAAAGAATATCTTCTTGGTTCATAAGAGAATTTATATTCCATGGTGGAGCACACCATAATCTTGAGTCCCTTATATGAAATGTGAAATAATGCTGTCATGAAAAAGCTTTAGAAACAAGTCATTGTTTCTTTTTTTCAGATGTTGATGTCCCTTCACCAGATGAAAAATCTGTTATAACTTACGTGTCTTCAATTTATGATGCCTTCCCCAAAGTCCCGGAGGGAGGAGAAGGAATTAGTGCCACTGTAAGTTTTGCTACTCTTTGTTCAGCCTGGAGGGTTCACTCAACATTTTGCTTTTCTTAGCACTGTTGTTTCCAAGTGAATGATGTCACTGTGTACCTATGCGGGCAAAGGCAATGAACTGATGTGGTAATATGGACTTGTGCAGTAAAAGAGCTGTTTTGAATTCTTTAAGAGCTGAGTTGAAGATAATTGGAAAAGTTGCTGTCCAGCTTCAACTTTCTCATCTTTATATTATGTGTGAGATGTGTTGGGAGAGAATTGACAGTTGTGGCCTGGGTCATCTGGCAGATGTCAGGTTAGAAAGTCAGCTGTGTTTCTATGTGATCCTCTTCCTTGCTGCCTCTTGGTGGAAACTCAGCTTTTAGGAAGTGAGGATTGTTCTTCGGCTTCCTCTCCTGCATTGAGAGGCAGGCACTGAGATCCCATCTTGCCCAGCTGTTCCTTGGCTGCACTGGAACCTTGGCGCTGGCCTTGGGCCATTTTGCAGAGTGAACAGAAAGTGTGCATTTCAGTGTTTATTTTTTTTTCCCCATTTTGATGGTTCTTCTTCAGCAGGATGTTTTTACTTGGTGTTTCCTTTCCTGTCAGTGTCACTTGATTGTCCTTGATTTTCCCTTTTTCTTGTAGGAAGTAGACACAAAGTGGTTAGAATATCAAACCTGTGTGGACACACTCATCAGCTGGACCAAGCAGCATACGATACAGATGTCTGACAAATCTTTTCCCCAAAACCCTGTAAAGCTCAAGGTAAGTTCTGGCCAGTTTTCCTCTTATCAAATCTGGAATAGCTCCTGATTTTGTTGCTGCACCGTCATTTGTGGAAGCTCCCTTCTGTCCAAAATACAAACCTGGTTGATTCTGTGGCTTTGGTTGAGCTTAGTTGTGGATCACATCCCAACTCAGAGGGTCGGTTATCTGGGGTTGAGGACACCAGACTGGAAACCAGAAGACAGTGAGCTCCAGTCCCTCCTTAGGCCAGTCCCTCTCTCTGAGCCTAGCCCACCTCACATGCTTGTTGTTGAGAGCAAAGTAAGAGGAGGAAAGTATTGGGTATGTTTGTTATTTAATAAAAGTAATAAAGGGATAATAATTTTATTTTAAAAAACTGAAGGCCCAATCACCACAGCCCCTGAAGTAACATGATGCTTTTTGTTTTGGAGAGGGTCTTAGAAATAGTTTCTTTTTATCTCTGTTTTCTGATGTGCAATCTCTATTTGGGCTCCGGCCTGGGGACAACCGGGAGTGCTCCCAATTAGAGGCAGCACAGTCTCTGGAGTAGCAGAAAGAAGAGGAAAACATTTGGCCACAAGGGAGAAGACTTCTGGTTGTTTGCTGCTATTGGAACTGAGGTTGGGGGGAGGCAGGGAATTGGTCCTCCTCTAGGAGTGATGGTGTCTTGCGAGGCTGCTGTTGTGGAGGGGAACAACTTCTCGCCTCCCCTTTCCTTTGGGGCAGAGAGATGAAACGGTGAGAGGAAGCAGGATTAGTTGTTTGTTGGGAACAGGAAGAAGGGGAATGTGTGTGTTTTTTTTGGGGGGGGTCATCCTTCTGCTCCTCTTGGCAACTGAAGTGGAATGAAAGACTCTGAGAAGCATTTGGCTGCCTGGCTTTTCCTGCTTTAGCTAAGTGCGAGGAAAGAGGCTTGCTCTGGTTATTTATTTTATATGCCACTACAGTCCACAGACTTTAGGGGATGCACGATGTCATCTAAAGCCCACCTTAAAATATCGGAATGGATAAAACAGAAGGTTGTCCACAATACCTCATTGAAAGGCCCTTTGGAGGGGGAAAAAAAAAGATTTTTAGCACCTCTGAAATGTCAGAAGGGGAGGACATTAATCCACCATATGAGGACCATTACAGAAAATGTCTTTTTGTGGGGATGGGAATCTCTTAGCTATCTGGACTGGGCGGGCAGCCTCGGACATAATAAGGCAGATTCTGATGTACCCTGGCAGTAGGCCATGGGTGGCTGTATCGTCATTATTTTGATTGAATCCTGAAAATTACTGGTAACTGGTACAACAATGGGCATCCCTCTGCGTGAGCTGATTTTTCCAGCTGCATTAACGGCAGCCCCTTAACTGCATTAAGGGCAGCCTCACTTAAAGAGTGTTGCAGTAGTCTGCTTATGTGATGATCAGGATGTGAGTTCTTGTGGATTTAGAGTCAGGAACAAGAATGATCCAGAGGAACGTAACAAAGAATAGACAGGCCGCAGGATTGCAGGAAAGAAACTAACAGTTGGAAAAGGATTGAACAGAAGGTCCTGGGAAGCTGCCTTCTGCTGAATGAGGCATCAGCCTGGCTCTCTGTGAGAGACTGAGGAGGCCAGGAAAGGATTGAAAGTCAACACAGGCCCAAATAATCAAGAGGCAGAGCCAGCATTGGCAGCGAGAAGGGAGCTGTAGGGAAGCTACCCTTTATGATCTCACTTCTGGCTTCTAAGAACTTTCTGCAGATCAAAATATGATGCATCTCGCCTTCTTCAAGAAACATGATTCATGGATAAATCCCTCTGATTTTGCAGGCACTTTATAATCAATATATCCACTTTAAAGAAACAGAAATCCCAGCAAAACAGTTAGAAAAAAGAAGCATTGAAGAGTTATACAAATTGCTGGAGGTAAGAAACTTCCATAGATGTATTTTTTTCCCCATATATTTTATTGATTTTTTTAAACATAAATCACTTAATAGTTGGTAAACAGTGTGTTTGCTGGGTTTACATTTGTAAAGAAAAATCATTAACAATTGGTTTCTAGAATCCATAATCCACATAGTACATTTAGTTGATTTCCCCTTTCCCCCAAAATGTCTTCTTTGCAAACCTTGAATTAAGGCTTTCCCCAAGACGAATGGAACGACCGCCGTCATTCCAGAGTCGCGGGGGAACCCTTCTTTCTTCGCCGCCTCTCCAGGGCAGCCTGGACCCATTAGGGTCTCCAGGCAGGATGAAAATTAGCCACGGGTGCGGCGGTTCGCAAGCCCGTGACCAGTCGCTACCGCGCAAAACCAGAAGTTTCCAGATTTGCATAGATGTATTGGGGTATCTTATAACAAGGGTTGCAAATTACCACTGTGATTTGGTAATTTTTGACTTTTAATGGATGGCCCAGAATTTCAGTTCTGCGTTCCCTTAAATCTGGCACATGCGTCTCAGTTACAAGTAAGCATTGAGTTCAGCTTTGCACACAATTCTCCCAGGGAAATTTTATAGCATGAACCGAGTCTCTGTTCTAATTCTCTGTAGTACTAAATATGCAGGGCCAGGAGCAGTTTTCCTGGGAAGACCATTTTAGGGGAGCGTGGAAGATTAAGGAAGGTGGTGGATCAGGCCCTTCTTCTTCCCCAAGTAGGCTGCTGCCAAATTCTGGGGCCACAACTATATCTCCCTCTCTTAGCCTGACCTCTGGCTGCTGCTCCCTAATTGTTTTCCATGACTGAAATTTAGTTCAAACTCAGCTTGGTGAATTTAGACCATACCTACTATCCCTTAAGTTATTTAAGACTTTTCTTACCTGCTAAATTTTGTCCAAACAGTATTGTTGGGCAAGATACAATTGTTGCAGAGGAGAATTTCCTGGTAGGTAATTCTCATTATCTCCAAGAAACAATGGATGGAAACTAATCAAGGAGAGAAGCAGCCTGGAATTAAGAAGAAACTTCCTAACAGTGAAGACAATTAACCAGTGGAACAGCTTCCCTCCAGAGGGTTGTTGGTGCTTCATCACTGGAGGTTTTTAAGAAGAGACTGGACAGTCACTTGTCTGAGATGGTATAGGATCTTCTGCTTGAGCAGGGGGCTGGACTAGTTGATCTCCAAGGTTCCTTCCAGCTCTATTCTGATTGATTGATTTGCTGCACCTCATCCTAGACAAAAGAATGCATAATTTGGGTCTCAAAGCCCAGGAGAGGACCTCTTTCTACTGGATGTGTCCCTGGTCAGGCTCAGGAGAAACTGCTGCTCCTCCTCTGTTGTGTTTTCCAGGCCTGGATTGAATTTGGCCGTCTGAAGCTGCCGCAGGGCTACCACCCCAACGACGTGGAGGAAGAATGGGGAAAGCTGATCATAGAGATGCTGGAGCGCGAGAAGCTGCTTCGACCGGCTGTGGAAAGGTGAGCCCCGTGCTGGGCAGTGTGAGGGCTGGGAAAGTTTCTTCTCTATGTTGCGAAGCCTGCTTAAGTTAAACTCTTGTCTTGCAAGAAAACAAAAATAAACATAAAGTAAACATTTTTTTACTTAGAGAAAGAAGTGGCTCATCCATTCTCTTAGAAATAGCGACTGATGCTTATTTTGCAGACTGGAGCTGCTGCTGCAGAGAGCAAACAAGATTCAGAATGGGACCCTCAGCTGTGAGGAAAAACTCACCTTGGCCCGGAACACGCTGCAGGCCGTAAGTCTCTGCTCTGGGCCTCCCTGTGGCCCTTCTTCACTCCCTCCCTTGCAGCCACTGGGGGTGGCCTCCCCTTTGGTCTCTCGGGGCCACGGACCTTCCTTTCTGGCCTTTGAAACAGTCTCCCATGTTCTTGGAGTCTGTCATTAGAAAAACAGAGCTAGGGAACCAGCTGCTAATTAAGTGTGCCAGACATTTCACCATTTGTAGCTGGAAGTTGCTTTGTCTGCCTGCAGTCGCTTCCTGCTTGTAGGACCTCCTCTTGCTCTGTCCGTGGCCCCTGTGCTTTCCTTAGGCTCCCATACGTTGCTTCTTGCTCCCTTCCATCTTCTGGTTATCTCCTCCTCCTCCTCCTCCTCCTGTTTCACTGTCTCTCCTGTTCCACCGGCCCTTTCTTCTCTTGCCTTTATCAAGCATTGCAGCCTTTCTTGCTCCATGTGCGGAAATGCTCTGGTCTTTGACAACCCTTCAGAGAAGCCATCCCGCATCACACTGTACTCTCGGCTGACACCTTTTTAAAGATCGGTTCCCTTTCATGACTTCAGAGTTCCTCTGCCAGAGGTTTTGGGCATCTTCCTCGAAGAGAGAATAACCTTGAATTATCTCTTGCCAGGATGAAACACACTTGGAGTCGGGCCAGCCAGTGCAGTATGAATCCGACGTCATCATGTACCTCCAAGAGTGTGAGGGACTCCTCCGACTGCTACAGACGGATGTTCAGATACTCCGGGATGAGAATTATTACCAGTTGGAGGAGCTGGTCTTCAAGTGAGTGATGTTTGTGGACAGCTGAACTTAGAAAGGAGCATTTAAGAGCACGTAGAACAGTACAGAAATAAAGTTTCATTTCAAGTCTGGGGAAAGGGTGGGTCCTCCATCTTCCAAAGGACACTTGGGGACCTTGTAATGCTTGGACAGGCCCCGTAACATTCCAGCTGACCGATTCATACTGAATTTATACTGTGCTGCACTCTCATGGGAATCATTTCATACAAGTATAAATGTTATGATATCTGCAGCCCAATGAAACCCAAAAACATAAAGCACACAAACTGGGATACGTCTGGTCACATAATGCCTCGATTTACAACTACAACTTATGACCATAATTCTGGGCTTAATCATGGTCATGTCAAGGGCTTTTTCATTTTTAACAATCTGTTATATTTTAATAGTGATTTTATGTATAGTTGTTTTATTGATTGTTGTACTCCACCTAGAGAGACCTTTTGTGAGATGGATGGCCATATAAATGGGATTAATAAATAGAGAGTCAGGAAGTTTCCAGCACTCTGTTTGCAGTTTTGTGTGTATATGTGATTCTCTGCCCACCTTGCCTCTTCAATGAACCAATCAGAATAGAGCTGGAAGAGACCTTGGAGGTCTTCTAGTCCAACCCCCTGCTCAAGTCAGAGACCCTAAACCATTTCAGACAGTCTCTTCTTAAAAACCTCCAGTGATGAAGCACCCACAATGTCTGAAGGCAAGCTGTTCCATTGGTTAATTGTAATTGTTAATTACTGTTAGGAAGTTTTCCTTAATTCCAGATTGCTTCTCTCCTTGTTTATTTCCATCCATTGTTTTTTGTCTTGCCTTCTGGTGCCCTGGAAAATAAGTTGACCCCCTCCTCTTTGTGGCAGCCTCTCAGATACTGGAATACTGCTATAATGTCCCCCCCAGTCCTTCTTTTCTCTAGACAAGCCAAACCCAAATCCTGCAACCGTTCTTCATATGTTTTAGTCTCCAGGCCCTTAATCATCTTAGTTGTTCTTCTCTGCACTTTTTACTTCTTTTTTGTAATGCGATGACCAAAACTGGATGCTGCATTCCAGGTGTGGTCTTACTAAGGCTTTATAAAGTGGTACTAATACTTCACGTGCCTCTGTTTATATGCAACCAAGGATTGTATTAGCTTTTTTGGCTGCTGTTGCACACTGCTGGCTCATATTTAAGTGATTGCCCACTAGCACTCCAAGGTCTCTCTCACAGTTACGGTTTTTGAGCTGGGTTTTGCCTAATCTGTACTTGTACTTTTGGGGTTTTTTGCATAAGGGTAAAAAGTTTTCTCCCTATTAAATTTCATTTTGTTGGATAGGGCCCATTGTTCAAGTCTGCCAAGATCCATTTGGATCCTAAGCTTGTCTTCTGGGTGTTGGATATTCCTGCCAGCTTAGTGTCATCTGCAAATTTGATGACTTCTCCTTCTATTCCCTCAGATAAGTTATTTATGAAGATACTGAAGACTACTGGGCCTAAGACAGAAGCTTGTGCTACCCCACTGCTTAGTTCCCTCCATGTAGATATAGTAACATTAAGGACTACTAATTGAGTACAGTTTGTCAGCCAGTTACAAACCTATCTGGTGGTGGTGATGTCTATCTTGCCTGATTCTCTCCCAGGATTGTGCGGCTTCAAGATGAATTGGTAACTTTGAGGCTGGAATGTACCAATCTTTACCGGAAAGGTCACTTCTCCTCCCCCTCCTCCTTGGACTTGGCACAGCCTTCCTCCTTGAGCACTAGACACTTGAAGGCGGAACCTTTGCTAAAAGGAACGATTGCCACTCCTGCCTCTACCTCCTGGATTCGGAAGCCAATGACTCGTGTGGAGTTGGTGGCCATTTCATCCTCTGAAGATGAGGGCAACCTCCGCTTTGTGTATGAGCTGCTCTCTTGGGTAGAAGAAATACAGGTGCGTGGCATGATGGGAAGGACATCAGGTGATTGGTCTGATGGTATTCAGACAAAGTGCTGAACTAGGTCAGTTACTGCCCTTGTGCACCATGCTAAGTTGGCTAATGTTGAACTTGATTAGATTTTGGGGGGGGGGCTTAGTTTGTTGTATGAACACAGTTCGTGTCTAGTATGGTATGTCATTACAAACTTAGAAAATAGGTTTCTTCAATCACCAGATTAGGTATGTTGTATGAATCCAATCTGTGGGTGTAACCATTTGAAAAAAAAAAAGTTAATCACATTCTAAGATTCCATGAATAGATTTTTAAATGGTTTGATTATTTATTTTGTTTATACACTCTAGATTATGGAAGTATAATAAAGGTTATTTTGTGTCATTAACAAAAACTTCATACAAAGTAAAGAGAAAATTTTCTGGACAGCAGAATCTATATACTATAAACTCTCCTGTTTGTCTGTGTGTAATCTTTATCAGGGTGAAACATTGCATTGTAGGGCAATAATTTTGAACCCTTGTATCTCAAATGGGCTAACTTTCAGATTGCATCCAAAACCCAGAACCCATGACCCCCCCTGAACTGAAATTTAGCCAATTTTATAAAACATGTTATGACATAATACAAAATGTTATATTTCCTATGGTGAAGTCTTGATGCTTGACTGTGCTATACAGTACAATACTTTCAAGGCAGACACATCTCTGAATATCTCCCTGAATCTTTAAGAACTTTTCCAGTACATTTAAAGCTCTGCTATTGTTGTAAGCATTGAAAATTCTGATAAAGAACTATCTCTGAAATGATGACCCAGCGGTTGGGTCACAGGTTGTCTTGTTGCTCTTAAAAGTGATCTGACTTTTGGAGCTTCTCTTTTTATAAGCCCCAGAGAGATCGGGGAAAGAACAAAGAGAAGGTACAGTGAGGGGATTTTTGTTTGCACTGCTACAATAAACTTGGTACACAACACAAGTAGGCCAGTTTGCCTTGAAAAACATTATTTGGCCAATTTATTGTAAAAGTTAGGCAAATTTGGGAAAGATTTCCACTGACTTTCTTTCTGTTGCCCAATGTTCTAAATGTATTGAGAGGTGGCTCCTTTTGATGGCCTTTCAGATGAAGCTGGAACGATCTGAATGGGGGAATGACTTGCCCAGCGTGGAAGCCCAGCTGGAGGTTCAGTGCCAAGTTCACAGTAGTGTGGAAGGCATGGGCTCCAGCGTGAAGGAGGCCAGGATGTACGAGGTGAGCAGACCCATCTGAGCCATTCAAGACTGCTTTGAAGACACTGAGAGGCACCCAGATTGGACAAAGTGGGATTATGTTTGCCCCATTTTCAGAGCTGAGGACATTTCTAATTGGGTTGATTTTCTCTAGAACTTGATAACTTTTTTCTTGGTCTATACTATTGTATTCACCTCACTTCAACTTATTCCTCCAGATAAAATTGATGGCCAATGCAACAACTGCAAAAGATATTTATCGCTATGTATTATGCTTGGCTTTTCACTATGAGACTACAGTTGGAAACCAGGTGTTTTCGTAGGCCATCTCTCCTTCTTACAGCAGGGCCTCTGAGTAGGCAAGTCTAGTAGTAGGGCCACCATTATGTCACTTTTGTGTCCATCTGTTATCGGGCAAACATCCAAAGTATCTTGCCCTTTCCCGTGTCTGTTTAATGTTCTTTTTGATAGCATCTTTGAAGCTAGTCCATCATTAATATAACTTCTGATCTGATCTCTTGAGTTCTTGCTTTTAAGCATTTGTCTTTCTATTGCCTGTTGCATCACTTGGAGCTTTTCTGCATCTGCATTCTATTCTTCACTTTATTCTGAATTTAGTTATATAAAGAATGCAGGTCTAGTTACAGGAATACATGAGTTTTTCTGGGCCCTGCTTTGCCTTTGATCTCTGTGCGGCCAAAAGCTCCCTCCCCAAAGATTGGGGGCGGGAGGGGAGCTAAAGTCATTCATTGGTATTTAAATGTATTTGAAACAAAATCTAGCGAATGTGATTACTGTCTAATCCTAAGTTTAGCCATTTCCCCCTTCTGTCATATTAAACATTTCAAAGTGATGGGGACGTTCTGAGGGCTGTGCTCTGAGGAAGCAGGCTGTGCACAGATGCTCCGCTCTTGGACCCGGCGGGTGAGACGGGTTCCGCTAGCATCACCCAAAGGACATCTGAGAGTCTGTCTTTCCACGAGAGTCATTCTTCATGCCTGGGAAGAGGGAGGGAGTGGCCCTCTTCCAGAATTGGCTGGACCTTTCCCCCTCCAAAGTAATCTGTTGAGTTACTAACTGGGTTTGTCCAATAATCTAGGCCAGAGGTAGGCAACTTTGGCTCTTTTATGACTCGTGGACATCAACTCCCAGAATTCCTGAGCCAGAGCCAAGGTTGCCTACCCCTGATCTAGGCCCAAAGGAGGTGTGATGGTTTCTGGTTCCCGCATGTGGTGGGAACTCAGCCATTCTCTTTGCATGTTGAAAGGAAAAATGAGAACAAGTAGGAAGGCTTTCTAGTTGATTCTGCTGCCTTTGAGCTGGAAAAGGAGACCATGCATTAAAAGGCAAGTCTTCCTACCTGGCCTATCTTTATTCCAGGTCCTTATCTCAAGGGCAGAGAAGACACAAAGCAGCTGGGACTTATCCTCAAAGAAAGAATCAAGAAAATAAATGGTTTACTTTTTCATAGTGTAAATTGGTCTCTAGAGCAGGGAAGGATCGTTATTTTCCTCTGCTTTTTTTTTCTTTAATGTTTTTCTGAACCTCATGAGGGCTAGGATCACAGAATCACCGCCGGGTGACCATCAGAGTGAGTAGCACCACAACATTGGGCCAATTAAAAACAATTTATAAGTTTGCTTATTTCTTTACAAACTCTGAAAGGTGTTTGTTTTAACACCTACCTCAATATTCAAATACAACTTGAGTATTTAAGAAGGCAAAAATGAAAAAGCAACCTATATTGCTGAAATAAGTGGTTTTGATGGCTGATCCTGAAAGACATTCTGGGCTTTGCAAAAATTGGTCCAGGGTTTGCGTGTGGGCTGCAGATTGCCCACTTCTGCCCTGACTGGACTTGAGCTGCATTGTCTATTAAATTATGTTGAGCCCATTGTGTGTAATTTTGAAAAGAGGAGGGAAGAAAGAAATTCAAAGAAGCCATCACGTCTAACACATGCATTTCCAATCAGCCCTTTTTGTCCTCTTCTCCGTTTAGGGTAAAATGTCTCCAAATTTCCGAGCCAGCTACACTGAGACCCTGGGGAAACTGGAGATGCAGTACTGCAAACTGATGGTGAGTATCTTTGGCAGTTTCTTTCCGGGGCCAAAAGGATATCTGAAAATGTTGTTTTGCAACATTTTTTGAAGCTCTAACAGAAGTGCCAGGGCCAATAGAGGAGAATCTCTGTGGCTCAAGGTTGAGCTGGGGAGTCCTTGGTGCTCTCCAAGCTTGATTGTTTTCTTTCAGACATTTCATTATACAAGTGGGCAACATGCAACCCGAAACAAGTAGGTCATGTGAGAGCCGGCTGGGTGACTTTGGGCCAGTAACTCTCTCAGTCCAACTTACCTCACAGAGAGGAGGAAAGAGTATTAGGTGTGTTTGCTGCTTTGAGTAATTGTAAAGTAATAAAGATAGCATAAAAATCAAAAAAATAAACATGAAATAAATAAATAAACAATAGACCAAGCCAAATCTAAAACTGCTAGAGAATTTCTGGAAGTCTGGTGCTCTGCCAAATTGGCCATCAATAGACACATAGACATAAACACTGTCTACATACTGTGCAAAAGAGACAATCAACAAAGCAAAAAGGGGACAAAAAGACCCAAACCCCTCCCCACCAGCAATTAACGCCCGGATGAGCATAGATTGACCCGTGATTAACATCAGACCAACAATCAAGGAGTAAGCAATGTCCCAATTAAGGAACTGCCAAGCAAGCCAGTAGTAAACTGCCCAATCAAAAAGCCTCTAAGACCACCGCAGCCAACACTGGCAGGGCGGCCACTAGAACGTGAAGTGAGAGCAACCCCCCTCCTTCCTTCCTAGCACTGATGAGGTCCCCTAGTTTGGGTAACGAATCATCTGCAGGAAAACAGCCAAGCTGGGAGAGCACCAAGGACAATTCCTCCTCTGCCCTGAGCTACAAATATTTTCCTTTATCGAAAAACGTCCTCAAGCGCCAGCTGTCTTTCTAGGGCTCCTTATAGCACTAAAGATGTCACCTAGTCGGGTAACGAATCATCTGCAGGAAAACAGCCAAGCCCAGAGAGCACCAGGAATGCCACGGAAATGCCAGCTTCTCCTTCCTTCAAAGGGCACCTCCGTGTGCGCCATTTGTCTTGCCACCAGAACAGATTCCTTCTTAGCTGCCCTCCTCTCATCCCCTCTAGTGATAAGGGACCAGCTTCTTATTTTGATGCATTTCACCATCAAGTTGGGCAAAGAAATTCCACACAAAAACCAGATGCATTTTTGCATGCATTTGTATTTACTTTTCCCCAAATATGGCATTTCTGAACATCTTTTTTCTAGTACGTGTTCATGTGTCCGTATTTTTTCACATCACGTGGCAAACCACATTGCACATTTCTGCAATTTTCAAAAATTTTGCAGCAAAGTTGAAAAAAATTGGTGCCTTTTTGTTTTCATGGTTTAAGGAGGATAGTGAGCAAAGTGAACACCTTGTTGGATTCTATGTATTTTCTGGTTTATAAACCAGTTCTTAGCAATTATTTTCTGTGCTCACAAATAAGACATCTAAGAGCAGAAATCGCTTGAATATCAGAAGTGTGACAAAATATGTCATTTTTATGCAGGAGACGTCCAGCTTCCGACTACGCCACCTCCAGAGTTTGTATGAGTTTGTATCACAAGCGACAACTGAATTAATTTGGCTAAATGAAAAGGAGGAGGAAGAGCTCGCCTATGACTGGAGTGACAACAACCCTAACCTGACAGCAAAGAAGAATTACTTTTCAGTGAGTAGAAGACCTCGTAGCAGGTTGAGGTTGCCTGGCCTCTATTAGATCTTCTGGAAGTCAAGAGAGGAGACCAGTGAGGGAGGCTTTGTAATCACAATTTCATATTTTTCAGTGTAGATATTGTAAGAGAGTGTGTTAGCCAAAAATCAGAGTCTAGTAGTCTGGTATTATTATCAGTCAAAGGCTTTGAGGGGTAGCATGTTGCTGACAGTAAAATTTCTTAGTTTTAAACATGCTACCAGACCCTTCCTGACATTCCTCTGTGAATTTAGTAGTTAGAAAAAGTTATATTTCAGTGTGGTCTTCCAAAAATTCCTTATTTTGTTTTGACCTCCAGATGATGCTTCCTAACTTGCTCTTTCAGACTTCATACAGGCTGAAATTTTTGGGGCCAAATCAATATTAAATTATTTGTCTAGTCTTGTTGTTTCCACCATATCAGTTGATCCTAAACTCTGATAATCTCACCGAGCTGCAGAAACCCTTTGCCACGGCATTTCCTAGACAGAATCATCCTGCTTCTCTTAAAAACCTCCAAAGAGTCTAGAATCTCTTGAGACGGCTGTTCTGAATTTGGATATCTCTTATCACTAGGACACTTTCCTTGATTTCCAGTAATCTGGGCCTCCAAGTCACTTGGAAATATGTTGAACGGCACAAGGCATGGAAAGGATCCCTGTGGAGCGCCCCTCCTCCTTTCCTCCACTTGACCGGGGCCTTTGGTGCACATTTATGGCATGCATTGCTGACTCAGCTTGCTACCAACTTAGCCTTGTAGTCTGGACTCTCTTATGCCACTCCTTTGCTCGAATCTCATGGAAGACTTTGCTGAATTGAAGGGGTTCTACGCCATCAACAGTTTAATAATAATCAACTGAACTGATCACTCATTGATGATAATCAGTGATGATATCCCTGAAAATCATTAACCCAATGCTAATTTTTGTTTTATCTTAGTATTTTTCCCATCACATTTATGAATGATTCTAGTGGTTTTCACCCTGCATAGTATTTCTTTTTTTTAAATGAGGAAAACAAGAGTGCCCACTATTTTTTTAAATGTTCAAGATATTGTTCATTTTTTCCCTAAAAATTATTAAGGATGTGAAAAATTATCTTATTGAATGATACGTAATTTAGATGTTGAAAATTGTCCTTGCCTGCCTCATCCTTAATCTTATAGCTGCACCCTTTTGGGAGTACAGCCTCAGCCCACCCCTAAAAGACAAGTATGATCCTCAACATTAAAATCCAGGCCCTCCTGCTCAATTCCCCAATGGTGTGTTGCCATCTTTCTAAATTTCTCCACGTGCCTGACTTGTCTTTGGCCAAGAGGTACCCTCCTCCATCTGCTTCGGCAATGGAATCACCCAAGCCCTTCGTGTGTCCCCCACCCAGGAGTTGACAGCGGAACTGGAGGAGAAGCAGGAGATCTTCCATGCTCTGCAAGATTCTGCTGAGCTGCTCTCGTTGGAAAATCATCCTGCCAAGCAAACAGTGGAGGTAGGACATGGCTGGGAGGGGCTCTTATTGGCTCTTGCTTGGGAATGTTCTGGGAGGATGTTAGGCCAGGCTAAGCCTTAGGATGACTGGGTGTGTGTGTGTGTGTGTGTGTGTGTGTGTGTGTGTGTGTGTGTGTCCATCCTTTTGGGGGAGCCATTGCCATCTTTCATTCCCATGTGAATACATGTTTGATCCATGGATGAGTTTTAATATTAGTGCCCATATAATAAAGCAATATATTGGAGGCCCTGTGTATCATGTAATGTACTCACAATTTAAACAGAAATATAAATCAATTGTCTTGTGTTCTGGAAGAGTTTCCTTTCTGGAACTTAGCATATAGTTGTGGGAAGTCTTTGCTTGAAACAGCTGTTTCTTTGGTTTTTCCCAGCTTCTGCTGGGCTGGGCAGTCTGGTCTTCAGCACAGCTTTGGTTGTCTCTTCCAGGCCTACAGTGCTGCAGTTCAGACGCAGTGGCACTGGATCAAGCAGCTGTGCTTGTGTGTGGATCAGCACTTGAGGGAGAACACCGCCTACTTCCAGGTAGGGCAGCCCAGGGAGGGCTGGGAATCCCCAGTCAATTCACCAGTGACACTGGAGTAGCCAGAGGCACTTCCACAGCACGACCTCAGTGGTAGTGAAGAGATGAGCTGATTTATTTCTGGCTCTGCTGTTGTGTAGCTGAAACTGCTGGGAAGCTGGCATCGGAGTGCCGTTCCCACCCCCCCCCCCTTAGAAAGCCTCCTCTTTCTCTTCAGCTGCAAAAGGCTGGTGGGCTACTGCTGCTTTTTCTGGGGAGCGGGGAGATTTTTGCTCCTTGAGAATCTAGACACAGCACAAGGAAGAGGAACCCAGAGGTGGGGGTGATTAGAGCTGGTGGAGATGCACAGGAACTCCTTTCCGCTCATAGTTGAAATGTTGGATTGGCAAAGGTAATTTCTAGACATATCAGCACAGGCTTGAGCAACCGTTCCTGAACCTCTTTCAGAAAGTGGCCAAAGGAGGAAGAAGTGCTTCTCCACCATGGCAACTTTAGGATGTATGTACTTCCCAGAATTTCCAGCCAGCATGCATCTTAAAGCTGCCACGGTTGAGAAATGCTTCCCTAAAGGACCCGTCCTTCTCACCTCTGAGAAGAGGGTCAGAAGAATTATTCTCCCCTGCAGTCTGGCCCACTGTTGCCATGGATGCAGACGTGTTCGGGCAAATGAAAGACTTCTTTATATCCTTCCAGTTCTTTGGTGACGCCCGGGAATCTGAGACGTTCTTGAAGAACCTCCAGGACAGCATCAAAAGGAAGTATTCTTGTGACCGCAATACCAGCCTGACCCGCCTGGAGGACCTGCTTCAGGATTCCATGGTGGGTGCTTTTGGGGCTAGTCGGACGGTATCCTGTAGACCCAGAGACCTCCTGAACTTCTACAATTCCCCAACCATTGCTAACTGTGCTGCTTGCGTGAATTCTGGTGGAGTCTCCCCCCTCCCTCAGTTGCCTTCTTTGATGCTCTGGAAATGGATGAATTTGACTAGACTGGACCCTGACTCTGCTAACAGCTCTGTGCTTTAAAGGCAAATAAGGAATATGCATGCATGTTAAAGCTCTTGGTTTTCTTGTTGGTCATTCCCAGACCTGCCTTACTGCTGTTCTCTTGTGTTTGATGAGCACCCACCTCCTATGTATCTGTGAAGTGCTCCCTCTTTGTGGTCTCCAGCATGCTATTTATTTTCAGCTCGCTGAAGTGGGTGGCTGCTGCTGGGGAGCAGAGGGTGACGTGAAATTCTGAGTCGGGCCAAAGCTCGTCTCCCTTGATGGGGAGCAGTCCTGTGGGTTCTTGAGGAAAAGAAAAAGCTTCCCATGGTGCTGCTGACAGACAGATGCTGCATAGTGTAAACTCTGTCACTAAATTGGCTTCTCCCCCCTTCCTGACTGGCTGGCAGACGCACATTGTCCTCTTAGGCCTGAGCAGCTCTGGGCCTACTGGCCTTGAATCAGAGGTGGAACAATCATGTCTTCTAGCTGTATCTTCTGAATTGCTTGGACTTCAACACCAGTGATTCCCACCTGTGGTTCATAGAAATTAGGAGAGGGGCAGAAAAGTAAGTTCCTGACAAGAGTGAGCTTCTTGAGCTGATAATGAGAAATGGGGGGGGGGGTTTGCTGGTGAGACTTGTATTAAAATGTGGGTCTTTGGCTAAGAAAAGGAGGCTTGCAGTGTGGCCGAGGGAGACCGCTTGGAAAGCAAGACAGAGAAAGATGGAGGTCAGTGTGAAAGATGGGAGGGGCGGAGAAGGAGGGTCACTGGAAGCCTCCTCCTGGGGGGGAGCTTTGTGCTTGTGACTGGCCAGCCTCCCTCCGTCTTGGCTCGTACCAATGTTTTTGGCCTGGCCAGCCTTCTGGAGGAGACAGGGAAGGAGGGAGGGCCCTTTGGGGCAGTCAGGTGAGGCAGCCCTCCAGCTGTTTGGAGGGGAAAGTTGAAGGACCCAAGAAGAGAAACTGCAGAGAAATGGAGGGGCTGCTGCAAAACAACCCAATGAAGGCTTGTTGCTGTTCGAGGGCTACAAGGAAGGCACCTGCCTGGGGCCAAAGTAGATGCCTAATGATCATAATGAATGAGTTACCGTTGTATTTCTTCCAACCATGCTCCCCTGGGACAGGCACAGGTAGCTCATTTTTAAGCTCTATCTATCTATCTATCTATCTATCTATCTATCTATCTATCTATCTATCTATCTATCTATCTATCTATCTCTTTATCTCTTTCAACTATCTTCTTATCTATCAGCATTTCCCCAGCATTGTCTCAGCCAGATTTTAAGCTGCTTTCAATCAAACTTCCTGAACAATCTTTCTGCCACTGCTTCCATTTTTTTATTTTACAAAAATCGAGCCATTTTTCTTTTCAGTAAAGACTTGCTCTTATTGCCCTGCTCACTGCTCCTCTCGTAGTCTCGTCTTCGGGTTCTGGGATGTGCTCCGAGGCTGGTGAGCGAAGGGGCCTTGGAGCGTGAGTAGCCAGCAGAGCCTCTTGCCGGAAGAGGGGGTGGCTGGGGGCTCCTTGCCTGCCTCTGCTCGTGGGAGGACATGCCCCCTTTCACTCCTTCCCCTGGCAAAATGCTCACCCCAGATTTTGGGGGGGGGTGCAGGGCCTGTGTAGGAGCTTGGTGTCTTTTGGGGGGTCCCCTTGCTGTCGCTGCGTCTCTCGGTCAGTCTCCTCATCACCATCCCCTCGCTTTTATTTTGAGCAGGACGAGAAGGAGCAGCTCATCCGGTCCAAGAGCTCGGTGGGCAGCTTAGTGGGAAGGTCCAAAAGCATCGTCCAGCTGAAGCCCAGAAACCCCGAGTGTCCTCTGAAGAGCACCATCTCCGTGAAGGCGGCCTGCGATTACCACCAAATCGAGGTGAGCGAGAGCAGCTGAAGGAAAACCGGGGAGTGCCTGCGAATTTCCCGAGTGAGAACTGTGTGGGTCGGTCTTCAGAATCCCTGTGTCCAGAATTTCAGAATCTCAGGTTTCTAAGTCGGGGTCTGCCGGTGCCGGCCATTGCTCCTCCCTGTCACGAGCGACTTGAATCCAAAGGCTTCTCACTGTAATCGGTCAGGCCCTTTTGCTGCCTTCTTAATTGTGACTTCAAATAATGATAGTCCTCGACTTATGATCACAGTTGGGACCGAACTTCTGTTGCTGAAAGAGACCGTAGTTCAGTGAGTCGCCCCCAATTTTATAATATTTTTTGCTAGTGTTTTTAGGCAAATCACGTAGTTATTAAGCAAATCCAGTTTTCCCCATTGACTTTGCTTGTCAGAAGAGAGCTGCAAATAGTCACATGACCTGGGTTGTCCCAGCCATCACAAATATATGGTAATCGCCGTGTGCCCAAATTTTGGTCATGTGACCATGGGGACGCTGTGGCAGTTGTTAAGTATGACGACTGACCATAACTCCAGTGCCGCTGTAACTTTGAAAAGTCACTAAATGAACAGTTGTAAGCCGAGGACTACTTGTTGATGTTTCAGAGGCAGTTTTTGATTAGCCTCTTTTTTGCTTCTCCAAATCTGCTGAGCTGTTACTTTGCAAAGCAAAATGTTGTTGAAGAACTAGCACCAGCCTAGAGCTTTCCGGAACTTTAGCTTGTTCCTAAACCACAAATACCGCTGTTGTTTGGGATTCCCCCGATTAATTCACACTTGGGCTTTCGTGCAGCTTTCTAATATGGCTATTTGGGTCCAGGATATCGTTTTGCCAGGACAAGGGGGCAAATCAGTATTTGAGAGTGAAACGTTTGGTAAATTTGAGGCATGCATTTTCGGGAAGGCTGAGAGAGAGAGAAATAACCAAAGCACACATTCCAGCAGAGCGCAGTTCTCTGAGGTTGGGCTCCAGCACGAGTCTGAAAGCTCGAAGAGTAAACCTCTGTCCCAATGACCAACCCAAATTTGATTTTGCGGAAAAATAGCCCCATGTTGGCAAAGCTTTATTTGCAGTTTGCTATGTCATCACTGATTAAAGCTGCCAGGAAATGTTGCAGTTGCTTTTCCTAGAGAGTGCAGAGAAATGCTGGGGAAAGTATCACTTAGCCTGTTTAAGATGGAGGGAGGCCAGTTTGGCCCCAAATTCAGAGGGTCACTTAATGGGGAAAGAAGAAACGTCTGCTGGACTACAGAAACACCTTGGTTACCTCCACAGATCACAATCTGCCGCAATGACGAGTGTGTGCTGAAAGATAATGCTCAGCGAACCAAATGGAAAGTGATCAGTCCTGCTGGGAATGAGGCCACGGTGCCCTCCGTCTGCTTCTTGGTTCCCCCTCCCAACAGAGAGGCCATTGAAATGGCCAGCAGGTAAAGTGACCAAGGTCAGGATCCTGGGCAGATCCCTGTAGCAGCTTTGCAGAGTTCTCCACAACCTGTGGTGGACAAAAAAAGCTTCAAAGGAATTCTGGGCAGGGTGTTTGGCCAAAGAAGATATTGGCTTCCAAAACATTGAGTCTGAACTTTTCTGTTTGTTTCTTTGTTTAGATTTTGCAATATTTTCTCAACTGTTTTCCGTTTTGCTTTGTTTTGATTTAACTTGAATTTTCGGATGCTTTTACTACTTTGAAGATGGGTATGAAGAGCATTAGGGCAAAGTTCTCTTCCCTGACTGTGGTGAGAGGCAGCCTCCGAGGAGCGAGGCGTAGATCCGTCTCTTTTCAGGCCATCTCGGTCCCAGAGGTCCTCATTTATAAAGTCTCTGCCAAACTACAAATAAACATTTAAAATACCTATAAAAAGTTACATTTATTTTTCATAGATTTTCAGAAAATATGTATTTTGTATCCATTTCATCCTTGTACAAACACCTTTTTTGCATTTCAACTTGAAATGCACATTTTTAAATGGATATTTGAGCTGAGATCTCAAATAAAATACAGACATATGCAAGGCAGCCACAAATGTTCATATCTCGCTAAACTTGATCCATCTCAGAAGCTAAGCAAGAGGCAGACGGTTGGAACAACAGAACAGACTAACAGAGCTGGAAGGGACCTTGGTGATCTTCTAGTGATCTAGTCCAACCCCCTGCTCATTCCACTGATTAATGGAAATGGCAAACTGTTGGCCAGACTGGGAACCTGAGAAATGTCCCAGATAAAAGCAGGAGCAAACTAATTAAGTAACCATGCCATAACAATGGCAAAGACTTGTTCGTGAAGAGCCAGGAGGAAACATGGACAGTCAAAGGAGAAATGTAAAATAATAGAATAGAATAGAGCTGGAAGGGACCTTGGAGGTCTTCTAGTCCAGCCCCCTGCTCAAGCAGGAGAACCTATACCATCTCAGACAAGTGACTGTTTAGTCTCTTCTTAAAAATCTCCAGTGATGGAGTGCCCATGATTTCTAGGGGCAAGCTGTTCCACTGGTGAATTGTCCTCACTGTCAGGAACTTTCTCCTTAATTCCAGATTGCTTCTCTCCTTGATCAGTTTCCATCCGTTGTTTCTTGTCCTGCCCTCTGGTGCTTTGGAGAATAATTTGACCCCCTTTTCTTCAGCCCCTCAAATAGTGGGAGACTGCTATCAGTAATGGCAAGGAAATCAGCTCCTGCAAAGATTCAAAGTGCTTAAAATCCTTGGCCATCCTTTGCTGAGCTCCTTGTCATCATGAGCCAGGTGCTTATTCGAAGATCAGATACTGGGCTTCATTGCATGTAGGTGCTGCTCAGTCATGGTGCTCCCTTGAGGAGGAGCTGAGAAACCCTTGCTGTGCCTTCTTCTTATAGAGTGGAGCAGCTCTACCAGAAGGTGATGTCCTTGTGGCACCAGCTGCATGTCAACATGAAAAGCCTGGTCGCCTGGAACTATTTGAGGAAGGATATCACTTTGGTGCAAAGTTGGAACCGGGAGAAGGTAATGATGTAGATCTCTGGAAAATTGGTTGTGGCATTTTGAGTAACAAAGGAAGGATGAGCAGTTGAAAATTGTGGGTGAAATGCAGCCTTGTGAGTGGGCAGGGCTGGAACAGGACCTGAGGTGGCATCTGCTCCAAGATGAAAATTTGGCAGCAGCAGCAGATTGGCAGAACGGGGAATTCAAGAGTCACCTTGCAACCAAAGATTTCATAATCAAATTTAACTGATTAAAAATAGGTTGTGCTCGACTTATGACCATAATTGAGCCTGGAATTATGATCTTAAATCATGGTGGGGATTCAGTGGGTTACTGTGTGATTGTGCCCGATTTTACCGGTGGTCATTAAGTGATCCACGTACATGTACTCGTTAAACAAACCCATACTAGCAAATGGGCATTTTTGGCTGGGAATGGGAAGCAAATGCCGGTTTCCATCGAAGAATGCTGAACATCAGGATCACGTTACCCTGGGGAGGCTGCCCACGGCCGTAAAGGTGGACTGGTTGCCTGGCACCCTCAATGCAATCATGTGATGGAGGCGCAGCCAGTGAATCTCTGGGGACCGGTCATAAATCGAGGACTCCCTTTATTTACATGATGTTATCAATATAAAGGCATTTTGTTGGATAATAATAATAATAATAATAATAATAATAATAATAATAATAATAATAATGTTGGAAGGGACCTTGGAGGTCATCTAGTCCAACCCCCTGCTCAGGCAGGAAACCCTATACCATTTCGGACAAATGGCTGTCCAGTTTCTTCTTAAAAACCTCCAGTGTTGGTGCATTCACCGCTTCTGGAGACAGGTTGTTCCACTGGTTAATTGTTCTAACTGTCAGGAAGTTTCTCCTCAGTTCTAGGTTGCTTTTCTCCTTGATTAAGCAAAGGAGACAGTTCCCTGCCCCAATAAGCTTAAATAAAATTTTGCATTAGGTTAGATATTTATGAAACATCACTGTCTTCTTAACAAGTTAATGTTCTTTCCCCAATTAGTCACCTTCCCAAGCAATGTGTAGCCATATCGTAGAAACCTTGGCCAGTGTACACACTCACTGTGAAACTGTCTGGGAAAATAAGTTGCTTAAAACCATTTGGCTGAAGATTCCACCTGCCTGGCAGATGGAGTGGTGCATGGGGCCTTTGGGCCAGCCTCGACTGCCCTGTTTGGTGCCACGATCCTCATGCAGCTGTGCCCTTTGTGTTCCTTGTGACTCACAGCTGCGGGTTCTGGCCCCAGGAGAATGCCACCATGCCATGAAGAACCTGCAGATGCACTTTGCAGACTTCTTGGAGGACAGCCGAAACTCAGAGATCTTCTCCCTGGCAGACCAGCTGCACCTCGAGGAAGAGGTCGACTCGTGCAAAGAGCATTTTCAGCAGCTTTTGCAGTCCGTGGAAAATGGTGAGCCTACTGCAATGTTCAGAGCAGTCCCTAGAGCTGGGAGTGCAACATATTTGTGTGGTATTCAAGGCTGTTTGGTAGTTTTATGTCTGATCTGTTTGTATGGATTTTTTTGGGGGGGGGGGTGTGTGCCACCTGAAGTTCATTGGAATTGGAGAGTTTAATTGTGGTGATTGTATTTGAGATTATTTTCATGGTTTACTTGTGAAGGTCTCCAGTCTGTTGTGAGGAAAAGAGTGTTATAGAAAGCAAGAAATAATAAATTTGGCAGAAAGTTCAAAGAAATAAGAAACACATTGTTCAAATATTGTGTGAGATGTCCCTGCCCAGGTTTATTCTGCCCTCAACCAGCGGAGCAGGACAGCCAGAGCAGGTAGCCCAGTTCAGTGGGCCCCTGTGTCCCCAGCAGAGAATTATCATTGTGGGCTTGGCTGCTGCTTTAAGAGGTTTGTCTCTGCCTCTGGACTGTGCTTGCCTTTCTTAGCAAAAAGACGAAGGTCCCCTGACAACCAGAAGCAATTAGCTCAGCAATCAAGCGTGCCCTCCTGAGGCTCTGGGCTCAGGCTCAGCTCTACTTGCTGCCATGAGCAGTGATGTTTCCAGCCTGGTTGTCTGTGGCTCTTTTAACCAGAGATGGTGGGGGTGTAAATATAAATCTGCAGGCTGTGAATTAAAAACAGGCATGCTGCCCTAAATCTATAAAATATTTGAGTTCACCATTTAACTTCTTTTATATGTGAGCAGAGGATAAAGATGAGACTGCTTCTCAGACTTACCTCTCTGAGCTCAAGAACATCCGGCTTCACCTGGAGGAATGTGAGCAGCGGCTGGTGGGCACCATCCGGACACCAAGCAGCACCAGAACCGACGGGGATGCTCTGCAGGAAAACACTTTCCGAATGGCTGAGCAGGAGGTTGGCATTTCTGGATGACTGGGGTGGTGGTGGTATGCCTTAAAAATTGCCCAGGCTGCATTCTCTTTAGGTAAGAGGCAGGACAGAGAATCCAGAGGTCACGGATCGTGCTGTCATCCTGCACTCGTGTGGAATTTAAGAGAAATCCTTGTACTTATTCCTCACAAAATGAACTCCTATTTTGTTTCTTAATTTCCTGCAAATTGCAGCAGCAGCTTCTGAGGGAGACCCCGAACTGTGAAGTCCTTCAGTTCTTTGTTTTGCTTCTTCTTCATCTTACCAATTGGAAGAAGCAAATTCATTCAAAATCTTTCTCTGAGTTGCCGCTTTCCAGTACAAACTCACCAGAGAGAGTTTGTGTTGCTTTGATGCATAATCTTGCTTTCAAGTTTTGTACAACTCTATGTTTGCTTGAAATGCTCATCAGCCCTTTCTAAATCTCAGGGTGAGACTGCTTTTGTTATTATGCTTATTTTCTATCCCTCTTTCTTCCCCAAATGTTAGCACGTAGTATCTTCCTAATATATACTGAACATTATATTCACACATTTAAAGAAAATGTCAAATCACCAGCATAATCCAGACTGGGGGAAAAATCTGGTGGCACAGAAGAGGGTTCTGTAAAGATTGAGACCAGATATGCACAATCTCGATTCTGCCAGCGGCATCTCTTCCAAAAAGATCCTTCCTTAAATACTTGATCACCAGATACCTGATTGGATGAGGTCATCATGATCCCAGGCCGCTCAGTCCTGCTTCTAGTCGCCAAGGAGGCCTCGGGATTCTGCTTGTGCTCACAATTTGTGATTATTTCTGCAGCGCCTGAAGGGAGATTTGCACCAGTTGAGAGTCGACATGGATCAACTGACTGAGAGATGCAACATTTTTTTGCACAAGTCTCCCACGGGATCAAGTACCCCACAGCTTCGTTCTGAGCTGAACCTGCTGGTGGAAAAGATGGATCAGGTCAATGGGCTCTCTGCAGTCTACCTGGACAAGTGAGTGACTGGCATTTTCCCTGTACATTCCAATAGGGGAACTATGGTCTCGCCATAGAAGAGAAAGCAGAACACCAGACTCTTGGCCCCTCTACCTTGGGATGTTTTGTACTATTAAAAAGAAAGTTTGCGGAAATAGAGCCTTCCTAGTAGATTTGGGCTACCTATCAATAAAATGTAGCCTACAGAAGGCTGTTTGATTGTGGGGTGAACTGATGAGTTCATGCAATCACAGAGTATCATTTTTGTAGGGCCATCAGGAAAAATCTCTTGAATCCAATTTCTTGAAGGCAACAAATAATCTCTGATTGCATTTTAAAAAATAGCTGGAGACGAAGACAGATTGTCTCTTTTGCTTTGCTATAAATGTATGAAATTGTAAGTCACTTTGTAGGATGCTCTGCAGTTATTCCAGGAACTGTGGGTACACTGCAAAAGATAGGCAGCATTCGCATAAACAGCCCAAATTTAAGAGTCATGTTAACTGTTTAAAAACATAGAGGAGATGTACCCTTCTGTCTGATACACAAAATAAACATCCTGTAATGCACACAAATGTATAAAGGAGAAGTCTGAATGCTGGCTAGATTCCCCGGGTGCTCAGCGTTCATGGGTCGTCGGTCTCAGACTCCTTTTGACTGAGATCCAGGCATCTGCAGAGAGCCATAAATTGTACAGGCAGCTAATTTTTCTGTCTCTCCCATGCCCTCTCCTGCCATAAAGTGCCAGCACTCAGATTGCTTTTTACAAAAATAAGCAGTGACCTAATTGTTTTCTATAGTGTTCGTGAAATGTTTATTAACCTTATACCACTGATGTGTCCGGCGCTGGTCCCTTCCTTATCTGTAAATGGTAGAGCTTTGCTGTGTACGTAACTTGGTGGTGTAGAGAAATTCAGTTCTGCTTTTGAAAGGAGAAGTTGGGAGAGATAAAAAGAGCGCCTTTACTCTGGAAAAGTGGAGTGCCTGAGAAAGAGATGAACAGCCCAGTCCTGACTGTGTTGTCCTTAAAAGGGGGCAGGGAAGCTTTCAAAATTCTGGCAATGGATTCTACAATGATAGTTGCATTTTTCGAATCTCCACAGGGTCTGTTTTGTGACCTGGCCCACCTCAAAGAGGGCTTTCAGAAGTGGCAATGGGCAAGAAGGGGATGGAGGGAAGGGAAAGACTCTGGATGTACTTTTACTGTTCAACAATGCAGTCCTGGCCTGGATGGCTTCTGGTTGGTTGTTCATGTTTCAGGAAATTACATTTTCCTTTTTTTCCCTCTGGTAGGCTAAAGATGGTTGACGTTATCATTCAGAATACGCAAGGAGCTGAATCCTTGGTCAAAGGCTATGAGGTGAAACTGAGTCAAGAGGAAGCTGTGCCTGCGGACCTCATCGCCATCCAGTCCCACCGAGCCACCTTGCAGGTTGGTAGCCCTGAGATGCTCTTGCAGAAGGCCACGGATCACGCCAGCTGCGCCCTTCTGTCTGCTGGGGAAATGCCAGCCTGTCTCTGCTCTTGCAGAATGGTTCTCTGGGCCAGGGGTAGGCAACCTTGGCTCTGTGGTGGAGGGGCATCTCCTGCCTTTGCCCGTGATTTCTTTGGTTCTGCACACAGCCCTCTTCCACCGGAAAGACCGCTAGGAGATGATCTGTCCAAATCCCAGGGCTTGGTGCTGGGAAGCTGAAAGGAAACATCCTTCCACAAGGCCTGGGGAAAGCAGAGGGGTCACGCGAGGCGTGGGCCAAAGTCTCGCCTCCAGAGGAGGGTTCCTTTCATGGACTGGCTCCACTTAAATCCTCACCCAGGCTCAGTCCCTTTTGCTTACCCCCCAGTTCAAGCTGTTTTGGAGGACAGTCGCACACAGGCCTCCCTCCAAGCAGGCCTGAAGAGTCCATGAATGCCAGAGGGTGAGATTTGGCTTTTGGGTGGGGAGGGGTTGTGCTGGAACCTCTTTTCCCCCAAGGTATCTTTCTCCAAATTCACTTTGTAAAAACAAACAAGAGGACAAACCTGCCTTCCTTACTCTGTTCACTGGGCCTTCTTGCTCATTATCATCAGCCACAAAGGAGGCACCTCTGTTTCTGAGGACCAAAGCGCTGCTTTTTTGGGCTAGTAGATGCATTTAATCCTGAATCCCTCACTGCCAGAATTATCCAGCAGAGAAAGATTACCAGCCCTTCAGCACTCAAAAAACAACAACAGGAAAAAAATATCAAGGTTTCTTTGGATGCACTTGCACACTTGTAGGTAACATTCCTGCAGAAGGTTCAGCAGCTGAGCAGGTTGTTGTCTTGGTCACCCTGCGAAGCAACCACCTGGACCTCCTCTTCTGAACACTCAGCCCACTGTGAGTAGGCTGGGGCAGCTGACGTGGCCGAGGTCCTCAGTGGCATCCAGGTCTCTCGGCCCAGCAGCAAAGGCTTGTGGGGCTGGTTGACCAGTGACTGGAGTTTCATGATCATGAAGAAGCCATTGAAGTCGGGTCCTCTGGAGCATTGTAGCAACACATTAATGCGTATTCACTATTGGGGCAGAAAAGCAGAGCAAAATTTGGAACGGGGCTGCACAAACCCCAGCTGTGAAAAATGAGCGGGAATAGGCTGGGAATGAAGCCACCGAGAAATGGCCTGTTTCCATATCCAGGATCGCTTGTCCATTAGTTTGGTCAATGGTAATGTTTGCTCCTTGTCCTTGTTGTATATCGTTCATATTCCAGCACTGGATCAGTGAAGTGAACACCAAGAATGCCGTCTTTGCAACCTTGGAGGATGACTTGGCAAGGGCCAAGGTGGTAGCGGAGCAGCTGTACCGCTTGAAGCAGGAGCGCAGCCTGGACCTGGAGCACTACCGGGAGAAGGGGGCTCAGCTGTGGGATCGCTGGCAAAGAGTCAGCCTGCAGATGGAGACTCGGTGAGGAGGGGCTGAGTGGAGGTTTTTGAGATTCTCTGCTTTAAATGTTCAGAATCAGCTTATCAGGTTTTGGTATCTCCAATTCGGCAACATTGTTCAAAGGTAATGGCAGAAACAGGGCAAACTGCTTATAGTGCTGGCCAAATTTTATTTTGATTACAATCCCTAGAAAATTGTGTCACATATGACATTTGGATCACTCTTAACATAAAGTTTTAATATATTCTCTTTTGATTAGTTGAATATGGATATTCCTAGATTAGACAAAACACTTTGTTAATATTTATATTGTATTTCACGATTTATGAGGAATGTATTTTCATGTTGTTTATGATCATGATTATCGCTATTACTTGTATGTACATTGAGAGCTTATGCACCGGAAACAAATTCGTTGTGTGTCCAATCACACTCGGCCAATAAATTCTATTCTATTCTAGTAAACTTTTATAGATTGCAAACCACCTCAGACAAGGGGTGTCCGGGGAGTGTGGTCAAAAAAGTCAAATTGGGAAGGACATAGGTATTTCATTGCATGTCATAGAATCATATTCACTATTTTAAAATCATAGTCTGTGGATGTCCCTGAAAAGTGTTTCCCTCTACTGTTCTATTATGCATGCACCGTGTTTGAAACATATTTTATCAGCTGACGTTCTCTCCTTTCCTCTACTTCATTTCCTCAATTTTGTGGCAGAAAATCTGAGCTGGAGAATATTGAGGATGTACTCAGGGATTATCGGAACTGTCACAGGGCCCTCGTACGGTGGATTGAGCAGACCACCGTCCAGCAGGAGCTGATGAAGCCTGGGCAAGCAGAGGACAGCCGGGTGCTCTCTGAGCAGCTCAGTCAACAGATGGTAAGGGGTGATGGAGAGATGTACCTTCTCTCTCTGGAACTACAATTTCCCTCATTCTTATCCAGGCTGAATCAACACGTGAGTGTCTTGGCACTTGGAAAAATAATGTCTCTAGCTTTGTGAGCACTGTGATTCTGCACTTTATCTTCTCTAGATCCGTCATAGTCTAAGTTCCCAAGCAACAGATGCCTCATTGCTCTTGCTGTCTGGGAAGAGAAAATCTATTTGATTTCAGTATCAACTACGTACACGCTAGACTTAATGGCTTTTTGGTCCAACATAGCTGGCCATCCCTTACATTATATATATCCTTCGAAGTAAGAGCTATAAATTGAAAAGGAAAGGTTGCCGCTTCTCCAAGAAAGACTGAAAACACAAGGGAAACACAAGACATGGCTTCATAATAAAGTCGGGGTATGGGAGATGCCATGTGGATAGGTCTCTCTTCTCCAAAACATGGATGGGGGGGGGGAAGCACAAAAGCATCCTGCTTGTAATTATGATTTTGACTTTTGCTTTTATTTTGAATTTAAGGCTCTGTTTGCTGAAATAGAAGCAAATCAAGCTAACCTGGACCAGTGTCAGAAGCTGTCTCAGCAATATTCAGCTGCTGTCAAGGTAACCTATTTCCTCTAGTTGTACAAAGAAACAGCAGGCATACAAAGACGAAGAATGTAGAACTAGCTGGGCAGAGTTTGGCAAACAACCAAAATAATAAAATAATAATAATATTATTATTATGAAATAATCCTGGGCATTTGGGAAAAGGTTGTTTCAGATAATAGACAAACCTTTTCCAGAAAGAACGTCTCAGTGCGTTGCTGGGGTGTGATGAACAGCAGGAAAGAAATTGCTAGTAATTCATTATGATTAAAACATTCAATAGTATTTCATATTATTAATTATATTATAAATGTATTATTATTATTAAATATTTTAAAGTGCAGATGTTTCATGTAATCTTCTGAAATATTTGTGCTGCCTTGTACTTTTTGAAAGAAATTGGATCAGACAGTTCCAATGGTCGCAGTCTGAATAGTTTATTACCATAGCTGGTAATTAATTAAGCTCTTTGCTTGCTTCAGAAGAGGGGTTTTGTTTTTTTGGGGGGGGGGTTGGTGGTGATGTCCAGTAACTGGCCCAGAGTGGGTACAGAAGCCACCTGACTCAGTAAATTGGTTGGGGCACAATTTACTTTGGGTTGGTAGGATGGTGACCTTTGAGAAAGAGTATCAGCTGTGGGAATATGGAATCAGCAAAATCCCTTTTGTCGTTTTCCCCTCTCAGGAGTATGAGTTGCAGCTCATGACCTACCGTGCATTTGTGGAATCTCAGCAAAAATCCCCTGTGAAGCGCCGGCGTGTTCTTTCCTCCTCCGATGCCATCACGCAAGAGGTGAGGCTCCTGCCAGCCTTGAGTTTTTCTCTGCAAGGCTTGGTGGGCAAGAGGATTTTCAGTTCTTGGCATTGGTCTTACAAGCTGCTTTCTTTTCAGATCATATTAACTTTTACCTTTAGAGAATAAAACCCTGATGAAAATTATCCAAGAAAGCCAGTCAAGTCGTTGGTCTTCCAAGCCATGCACATGGATACAAACTCTTGGTTCATGTGCTTAGTCACAATGATGGAAGGTTTTGTTAACTGGAACTCTTAGACACCAGACCACTGACTATGCTGCTAACAGGAAGAGCATAAGGATTGCTCTTTGCCACCTCTGGAAGGTTCCAGATCTTCTTCCAGATTCAGGGATTTCCCCCTTTCATCTCGAGGGTCAAAAGAGACATGCAAGGAAAGCTCTTGCCTTTCCCATCATACACACCACAATTCTTCTCGCAGCTACTTTGAGAAATGCTTGTCTCATCCCTGAGACTGATTGTGAATCATCCCCTCCTCTTTGCCTTCCTTTTTGTTCCTTTTTGTGGGGAGGGGGAGTATCTTGCTTCTGAGGTTTCTCCCTTGGCTTTTGCAGTGAGGGACAACTTTCTGTACTCTCCTGAATGAGATCCATTTTACATGATGTTTCATTGTTGTTGGCTTTAATGGGTGTGTGCTTCTCGTACTTGTAGTTCATGGATTTACGGACACACTATACAGCCTTGGTCACATTGACTACGCAACATGTGAAGTACATAAGTGATGCTCTCCGGCGCCTGGAAGAGGAAGAAGTAAGGACAGAATTTATGTAATCTAGTATTTGCCTTGCGAATCCAGTTTGGCCCCCTGGAGTCTTGCACCAGGTTTTATCTCCTAGGATCACGAGAAGTTGGTTACTCTTCTTAGGGAGGCACCAGGATTGCCCCTGGGTAGAGGGGAGGGTCTTGAGGAAATTCTCACTAAAGGGAGGTCTGAACTCCTCCTCTGGAACTGGTCCCTCAAGGGGAGGACCCACCTCTATATCCTCCAGGCTGGCCAGCTTAGCACCCAAGACAAAGGACCTTAGCAGAACCGTGTCCTCTTTGCATTCAAAGACTTTTAATTTCATGTCATCTTTGTGCGTTGTTTCACCTTTCCCGACACACTGGAGAGGAGCTCTCCAGTCTCCTGAGTTCACTTCCTCTTCAGCGTTGTTCTCTTAGCCCTGGGAAGCCCACAGGCAGGTGTACATTCACTCACCTTAGAAGATGACATCAACTACATTCTGGTTCTAGCACACTGATCACATGTGGTTTGATATTGTTTTGCCTGTAAGAAGCACTGCAGGTGTCAGTGACATTGGTGCATGTATTATGTATCAACATTCCATTTTTTTCAGAAAGTTGTTGAGGAAGAGAAGCAGGAACACCTGGACAAGGTGAAAGGACTCCTGGGCTGGGTCACAAGCTTCAAGCAGAGTCCACTATTCAGAAGCATCTCACCCACAAAGAGGAAAATGCTGGGAGATATTGAGAAGTCCATTTTGGAGCAGCAGGTGCCTGCGTGGGTTGAAGGCCCACATTTCCTTTTACGTTTCTTTCTCATTATAGACCATGGGCCAGGTCACACGAGTCGTGCTTAATTTATGTTTCCAGTGCGATCCACCTCTATCTGAGCTTTTTCTTGTGCTCATTTTTTGGGAAATGTATCATTTGAAATTTCCCTTCTCTTTCTTCTTTTCAGGTCTTGAATGAAGAATTGGCTGCAAAGAAGGAGGAAGTTTCAGAAGCTATAAAAACTACTCAAATATTTCTTGCAAAGCATAGCAACAAGTAAGTTGAGAAAATAACATGATTCCGGAAAGTTGGATTGCGGGAAGCCTGCAAAGCAGACTCGAGAATAATTTTTAATGAAACTTCGGCAGATCACCAAATTGTACAAGTTATTTGCATTTTTACTGGAAATCTCATGATTTTGACCTTTTTCTGGGAAAAAATTGTGTAAAGGATACTCTGAATAATTCTCCATAAACATAATGGAACAAGATCAAATTTGAAAAATGTCCCCTAGAAGACGCTGATCCAGGAGAGGCCCTTGGGCTGTGACTCGGGGCTTTAGACCACTCCATTCTTAAGGCCTCTCCAGGAGATTTGCATGGGTGGTAAAAGAAGTCATGATGGTGTTTGCATTGATGCAGTCAACACACATAGAAGCCATATGGAACTTTGACCTGGACTTCTTATCATACTCTTTGTAATGAATTTTTATTCCATTTGGAGGTCTCCAGAAGACCTTGATGATGGAGGTAGTGGTCCACTTAAAGAAAAAGGTTGGGCGTTGCTGCCGTAGTAAGTTATTCCATCTTCCTATATCCAAGTCACATCTTGGATATAAAAGTGGTATCAGTATTGACTTACTAAATAAACACAAATTCCTGCTCATAGAGTATTTATAAACCAGTCACCCACCATTCACATTTGAGGCCTTGGGAAAGTGTGGTTCATTGATGTTTGAGGGTTTTGGCCAGGATGACCGTTTGCATGGGCAACTTTGTGTATTGAAATGCAGAATCTCCACCAGTTGCTGCTGCTGCTTGGCTGCCCACTGGCTGTGTTTCTGTTCCAACGGTCTTCCTTCCCACACTGCAGGCTTTCTGATCAGGAGAAGGTGCAGATTTCAGTCCAGCTGGATGCTCTCAAAGAAACTTATGACCAGCTCTGCTGTGATTCCACAGAACAGCTTCAGCAGCTGCAGAAACACATGGCTCAGGAGATGGCACATAAGGTAGCTCTTTTCCCATTCCCTTTCCCCCCACATTTGTGGCCTTCTTTCCCCAGCGGTAGAAGAGACGGTCCATGCTTAGAAGCACCCTGAAAAACTGTGAAAGTTCGTACAGGCAAACCCCCCCCCCCTGTTCCAGTCTATGACAACACGAGGACGAAATTCTCAGTCTGTATGGATTACTGGAAGCAAGCTGAGAGGGTTTCATATAGCTGTTAGTACATGGTAGGCTAGGCCTGTCCCCTGGAGGGCTCCTCTTTCTTTCTCAGAGAGAAGGTGTACTTTTGTGCTCCCTCCAGTAACGTTTCTCTTAGACAGTTGTGAAAGGCCTGTCAAGGTCGGCCTCTCATCACCACCCACCCTTTGAAAATATATAAGGAAACATGGGGTAGGAAATGCCCAGGCCTGCTCCCATCTTACTATCAGCCCCTCTCCTGCATTTGGCTGTTTCTGCAAGACAAGAAGGGACCAAAACTTATGGGAACTACCCAAGGAGCCCTTAGCAGATCCTGTGTAGAAGAAGACAGTGAAGGTGGAGGGGAGGATTGTTCAGGAAACAAAGAACAAAAGTGAAAGTCACAGAAATAAGCCAGATGACCTACAAAGGGAAGGTAAGATTGTGGAATGAAACTGAAAAGGAGTAAAGCAGAGTTAATAACTTGGATGAAATAGGATTTATGCTTGTAATCCCAAAAGAGCAAGGAGAAATAATTTTTCTCTTCCCCTCTCGGTTGGCCCACGGAAAGACAGTATGCACAGCCAGTTCCCAAGCCTACAATGCTCTCCAGTCATAAAGGTGTCAGTGGTCAAAAATAGTCAATTTCTTCCTTCCGTCCTGTTTTTCTGCAGCCTTCTGCTACTTGGTGCCCTCTTTTCTTATACCCTTGGCCAAGTGTCTGAGCATCCGTCCCATCTTTGTTACTGCTTTGTTCATAAGTCCTATCTGGATATATCTGTATATCATTGTATATAAATGTGATGTTCATGTGTCCAATGCAACCTGTATATCTGTGTGAAGTTGTGTTTTTAATGCTTGAAGGATCCCTCTACTTTGAAGCATTGCAAACCAAAACAGCCAGATTTTTTTTTACGTGGGGCAGCTGTTTTAAATCCTGGCATCACCGCATGTCACAAAAATCATCAGCAGGTTCTTCTCCCAAGTACTGTAACCAGTGAATTTAGGATTCCTTTGCCAAATTCTCTTTTGTCCCAGCCTAGAAAAGCCCATGTATTTCTTCCTGTCCACTATGATTCTTCTTAGGAACAATGTATTAAGGACCAGCATCCCTTATAATTCTGGGTGCTGATGTGAAACGTCATCGGCTCTGGGGAAACGGAGGGAGAGGAATCTGAAGGGTATTTTTCAATTTCACATGAGAATAAGAATGAAGTTCTGAAGTTTGGTTTGGGTGCTTCGTGGTTGCATGGAACCTCTTAAACATTTCTGCTTCTGGAAAACCTCCAATCCTTGGGGGTAGAAGGATTGTTCAAGTTAAGGCAATGGGTGGAGCAGACAGAGCTGCACATCCAAAATACCAAAACTAGCAGAAGTCTCTGCATTGAGCATGATGATGTGTCCCTGTTGTTTTCCGTTTCATGTTTATTTACTAGTCTGAATAACTGCCATTTTTTTTTACAATTTTCTGTTATTGTTTTTGAGAAACTAACCTTCCTGAAGTTTGCACCAAAAATCTCACTCTAGAAATGTGGGGCAGTTGTACGGGTTGGGCTCTGTGTGGGTGTTCTTTCTACTTTTTGTGCAAAACAAACAGTCGCATGCCGGATGCTAACCCCCAGCTTTTACACTGTGTGTGCCGTACGGCTGAGCTGCTACCTAAAGGCTCTGTCTTTAACTGCTCACGGCCAAGTCCCCAACTCGGGTAAGTAAGAAGCCTTTTGACGCTTCTCCTTCTCTTTCCCTCTTGTCTTAATATCTGACTGGGCATGTCTGGCGTCGTGGCTGTGGTGCTAGCAGGCTTGGAAGGCCTTTGCAATTGAACGGCCATCCTGCCTCGCTTGTCCCAGGGAGCAGGAGGAGGTTCACAGGGTGCACTTCTGGCTTTGACAGAAGAATCTCTTGGCGGAAGAATGCTGCACAACTTTCTCACCCGCGGACCTGTAGTCTTAATGGTCCAGAACTTCCAAGATGTAAAGATTCACAGATTCTCTTCCTCCTTTCAGTTAATGCTGACTTGCTAGACCAAGAAAACACAGCATTCCATGAGAGGCACCAGTGGGAGAGAGGCTATCATCAGCTTAAGCCGCAGCGTTGTCGTTTGGATCACTTTGTAGAATTGTACTTGCAGTGGTCTTGGATCCAGTTCCCATGGGATTGAAAAGCATTTTATTGAACACATTTCTTCACAGTTGCTTGCAGGGGGGGATGGTTAGGGGTAAGCAAGTAATTTGGTCCTCCGAGGGCAGACCACACGTATTTATTTACTGTATTTAATAAGCGGCTTCATTGTCCCTTGGAATTGGGCTGCTCATAAATTCAAATAAAATATTTTGTACAACTCAATATAGAATTCTCCCTCTTCCCCGTGACTACAACAAACCTGTCACGGGCTGTGCCTGAGCCCAAAAGGAGGACTACATCTTATGATCTCTTGGTTTCTAGTCCAGCTCTTTCCATGGCTCCAACTGATTTCTTCCCAACATCACGCAATTTAGATTTTTCAATGTAAGTGAGGCTGGCTCATAAAGACTTTAGAAGAATTGCAGCGTCTTGAAATTAAGAAAGCCACATTTGGATAGTAGAAAGCACTTGGCTGCATCTCTTCCTCTAGGCCAGTGTTTCCCAAACTTGACAATTTTAAGGCATGAGGACTTCAACTCCCAGAATTCCACAGCCAGCAACGCTGGCTGTGGAATTCTGGGAGTTGAAGTCCACATGCCTTAAAATTGTCAAGTTTGGGAAACACTGCTCTAGGCTGCCACTCCCAAACCCATCAAAGGGACGTTGTGAAAGTTGCAAAGCAAAAAGGGAACCTGTTGCCTCTCTAGGGAACTGCATGCTCTCTCCTGCTCCCTTTTCTCTGGCCTACGTGGGTGAGCTGTGTTGTGGTCCTTCTGTGCTTCCTGTCTCCTCCTTTGAATAAAGGGGACCCCGAGGAGTGTATGGCTGTGGTTCTTAGTGTGCTTCTCTCCCTTTTTCTCTGTCTTTTTCCACTGGGGAAAGTGGCTGCAAGGATGCTCCTGCTGCTTTGCTGCTCTTGCTGGTGCCCAAAATGTCTCAGTAGTGCCTCACCTGCCTGGCTAAATTGAGCTCCAAACTGAAAACAGTTTGCAAGATCAAAATTGTGTTCCTGTGTTATGTGATACAATGTATAAATTACCAGCCTAATCAAGATCTGCTCTCTAGTTCAGTATTCACCATGCTTTAGATGACTGAGACATCTTGGACTGGGATGCATTTATAAGTCAACTTTTACTGTGATTCTGATATTTCTTTTCTCTTTCCTCTTCCTGCTCCCCTGCCCCAGGGAAATGAGGCTATTGCTGGAGTGCTAGATCTTGGCACAATGGAAGTCTCCTCTATTTTTGACGCCATGCAAAAAGGTCTCCTAGACCAAGAAACAGGTCTTCTGCTCTTGGAAGTTCAGGTGATCACAGCTGGTCTGATGGTTCCCAAAGCCAGTGAAAAGCTCTCACTGGCAGAAGGCCTGACAACAGACATAATAAATGGCAAGATCTACCAACATTTAGAGGAACTGCAGGATGCTGTCGAGCTGATCAAGAACGTGCAACTCAAAGGTAGCCCGTTTCATCCTGTTGTTGCTGCCATCGAAAATGGAATCATCAGTGAAACTGCTGGGCTAAAAATAGCACAAATACAGCTTCTCACTGGAAGCTTTATAGATCCTTCCAGCCATGAACAAATTGATTTAGAAGATGCTCTTCAAAAAGGCATCATTACCAATCATTTTCATGAAAAGTTGGTATCTTGCTTGAACTCTTGTGAGGCTTTGACTGACCCAAATTCAGCTGAGAACATTAGCTTCAATGATCTGATGCAGCAGTGTGTCCCTCACCAGGAGACAGGATTGAAATTGCTCCCAATAAAACAGGTGCCAGGTGGGGTGGTGAGCTTGCAGTCAGGTCAAGAAGCAAGCATCCTCTGTGCAGTTCACGAAGGACTAGTAGAAAAGGAAGTGGCAATGGGATTACTAGAAGCCCGTCTCTTTGCTGGTGGCCTTGAGGACCCCAAAAGTGGTTGCCAGTTAACTGTGGAAGACTCTGTAAGACATAATTTAATTAAACAAAATCTGGCTTGTGATCTTCTGGTCAGACAGCTGCAGACTGGTGGCATTATAGATACAGTTACCAGAGAGAGATTTTCATTAGACAGAGCGATAAAAGGAGGCCTGGTGAAATCAAGGCTTGCAGTGATGATCCTGGAATCCCTTCATTCATTTGTAGGACTTGTGAGGCCTGAGTCAGGAGAGGTTGTGCCTGTTATGGATTCTCTGGAGCAAGGTATCCTAACTTCTGAGCTGGCTGATAAAATTTTAAGAGACAGGCAAAATATCAAAGCACTTTTTATAGCAGAGACTAATGAAATCCTTTCGTGGAAGAAAGCTGTCGATTGTGGAATCTTGAATAAAGATCTTGCCAAAAAAATAAAATCAACCTGCCTCCCTGACTTCATTCCAGGGATGCCCCTTTCTGACTCCTCAAGTAGCTTCCAAAGCAGAAGCTCTTCCTCTGCTCCACCAGTAGATCATGGAGAACAAAACCAGGGTCCCTTAAGAAGCTGTGAAGAAAGGATGTTGCTCTATTTGATGACTCACAGCTGTGTAAACATCCACAATGGTGAAAAATTGCTTCTGGTAGATGGAGAGTTAAGCAGTCTATCCGAAATCCTTGTGCCAGCAGAAGAAAATGGCTCTAGCATTGACCCTTTAGAAGCCAGCAAAATGCAACCCCAAGAATGGCATGAGGATGTTGGCAGGAATGCCACAATTGAAGAAACTGGATCCTGCAGTGAAATAATTTTAAATAAACTTAATTCATCTGCATCAGAAAAGAAACAGGAACAAAATGTGCAACACCACATTTGTCTGCCTAGCAAAAGGATTGAACTGGAAATTGGAGATATAAATGAATGTGTGAATGTGAAGGAACAAGAAACAGAAGCTACTCTTGCAGGAGACTTAAAAAGTGAGATGGATGACCCGAGAAGAGAGCCAGGTTTGATGATGATACAGAACAAGAGTCACATGGAACTGCAGGAGTGCAAATCCAATTTTGAAACTGAATCTAGGAATAAAGAAGTCAAATGGGAAGAGGCAAAGCGTGAAAAACAACTACCAGAAGAGGAAAAGATGACGTTGGAAGAGCAAGAGAGAGAAATGGGAAAAGGGGATGTTAGGCAAGAAGTAGAGTTGACTGCTGATAGTTTGGAAAAGATGGGAAAAATTCACATTGTAATAGATAACGTTGTAGAAAAGGTGACTCTTGCAGCAGTAGATAGGAGGCCAGAGGCTACCAGCTGGTCAAGCATGGGGAAAGTGCAAAATGGATCAACAGATGGCCTTTTGAATCGAGCTGAAGGGAAACCTGTAGATGGACATATAAAGAGAAAGCAGCTGGCCACAGACAGAAGAGCAGCTCCTGCCTATCCAAGTGCTAGTTCTGTATTGCCAAAATTATCTGCAGAAGACAGCCCTCTGAATGTGTTGCTGACACAGCTGCAGGAAGGTGGCATAATTCATGAGCAGACAGGGAAGAAAATGCTCCTGGATGAGGCCATTGCCTGCGGAGCTGTGTCCAGCCATACGGCCATTAAAGTGATGGGTGAGATGAAAATGTTTAGTGGCTTCTTTGATGCAGAGACCTCTGAGTCATTAACCACTGAAGAAGTAATCAGTGCAGGATTGATGGATGAGAATCTTCTCCAGAAGGTATTAGCTTCAGATCAAGCCATAAGTGGTATTATTGACCCATGGAACAAAAGCATTTACTCCATCAAGGAGGCATCTGATTTGGGGCTATTGGATAAAGAAACTGCCACCAGAATTTTGGAGGCACAAATAGTTACTGGAGGAATTGTTGATTTCAAGCGTGGCAAAAAAATGTCAGTCACTTTGGCTTCCAACCTTGGCCTAATACACAGATCCACTCAAGAAAATCTTAAGAAACTGGAGAAAGCATATAAGGGCAAATATGCTGAAGACACAATTAAAGAAAAACTCATTACTCTACAGGCTGAAATAGGAGGTATCTTGGATCCTAAAACTAAAGAACCACTGACCATTATTCAGGCTGTAAAAAAGGGATATCTGAGTGAGGAAAAAGCCTTTAGACTCCTAACTAAACAGATAGCCAACGGAGGCATCCTTCACCACAAGACTGGCATGAGACTTTGCGTAGAGGATGCTATGGAACATGAATTGATTAATGAAAACCTCTACCAAGATCTCAAAAAGGCAGAAGACATATGCCTACACCATTCCATTTATCCTGAAATGAACAAAATTGTGTCCCTACCCCAGGCCATATCCCATGGATTAATCAGTTCAGATTTTCAAAGCAAAGTTCAAGAAATACAAGCCTCAACTGGAAGTATATTTGATCCTGTTGTTGGCCAGAAAATTACATTGGCTGAAGCTATTAAGAAAAAATTATTATCCAAATCAGTTGTGGGACAAGCAGTAATTGCCTCTGAAATGAAGGAAGCTATTCTTTATCCAGGAAGCTGTAGATTGGTCCCATATTCAGAATTTGTCAGAAGGAGCAAAATTGACATTGAGTCAGGGCATCGATATTTAGAAGTTACTCCCTTTGAAGACATAAGAGATGAGGTGACTGGGAATGTATTGTTGTGTTCTCAGGCAGTTAAACTTGGCAAAGTAGACCCCATGCTTGCTTTGAGATTGCTGCAGGCTCAGGCAGACACAAGTGGCATCCTGGAAACCTCCACTGGCCAAAGACTATCACTGGCATCTGCTGTGGAAAAAGAAGTGCTGGATGAAGATACAGCTAAAGTCATTGCTATGAATCAGATTTTGACTGGAGGGATTGTTAGTGCTGAGAGTGGAAAGCGGGTAACCTTGAAAGAGGCCACTGAAAAAGGGTTAATCAGCCCCAAATTAGCCAGTGCAATTCAAGAAGCTGATCCAATCACCAATGAATGTGGACGTGATTTAGAAGAACCTAAAGGCCCTGAGCCCCAGAGGTTGCTGCAAAATGCTGCCTCAAAGCCTAAAACATTGGCCCTTTGTAAATATGCTAATAGTGAAGAACAGAGGGCGCCAGCTGAAGCAATGGACTCTGGTGCTTCTGCCAATGCTGGCCTTGGCTCATTGAAGGCAGGTGGGAAGATGGTGACAGATGAACCTATTCCCCCTTCCCCTTCCCCTGTCTCAACTGCGGGCAGCTCATTCAGTGAGTTTTTAGAGGAGAACAAATTGGCACCTGAGCTTGCCTTCATGTTGGACCCAGTTGAAGACCTGAGACTAAAGACTCAGGAAAAAAATAGTAAGAAGAAAAATAAATTGAGGAAGAAAGAACTTTTTAGAGGAGAGCTAGAAAGGCAAACCAGAAGTAATCAAGAGGCTGAAAAGATACTGGAAGGAAATTTCCCTCTGGACAGTAGCACAGTTAACGGAGACCGGGAGCAAAAAGAAAAAACGTTTCAGCTGGAAGAAAGTGCTCGTGTATCCCTTGGCCTTGGAATGGCTGGTAGGACCCTGTGCATAGAACCTGCAGAGGGGCAGGCATCCAAAGAACTCAGTTCTGTCATTCAACAAAAGAAAGAAGACGGTGATATACATTTTCAAGGCTCTACCAAGATTATGTCCAAGAAGCAGGCTGATGACAAATTGCTTCGGGGTGCCAAAATGGGGCTACCAAGTCAAGATTCAGAATTAAAAGCTCATGAACTCAGCACTTTGGAAAGTATTGACTCAAAAAACATTAAGAAGAAGAAAGCAAAAAAGATTAAGAAACAGAGCGCTCCCTCGTCAAATTCCAGGGACACCACTACGACAAGAAGAATCAAGGTGGAGTTAATCCCTAGCGCTGCAGAATCCTTGCAGGAAAATCCATCTGGTGGGGTAACAAGCCCACTTAAAGAAGGTGAAGTTAAAAGGCAGGACCATCAGGTAAGCAGGAAAGAGAAGCAGCATGTTGGAGCTGAAGAGAACATTGTAGATGACAGGAAAGTGAATATTGCCCAAAAGAGAGAGGCATCAGAGAAGGTTTCTGAACAAAAGGCAAGACTTTACAAAAATTCTTTGATAGATACCATAGAAGAACAAATATTGCTTAAAAAAAAGCAAATTTCTTTTAGCTCAGAAGAGCAGGTACTCAAGGTAATGGACTATACAGAATCCTTTGGGTCTTCTGAGTCAAAACCAGAAGATCTTCAGAACAGAAAAAATTTAGAGGACAAGTTAAGTTCTTACTCCTCTGTGACATCATTCATACAAGAAGTGGTCAAAGAAGTACCTGGAAAAGATGAAAGCATTGGTCCTAAAGAGCTGTCCATGTCTTCAGAAGCAGAAGAGTCATGGCGAGAAAGTGGCGTTGTTGGACCAGAGGGACAAAGGCTACAAGACAGGGAGTTTCCAGAAAGTAAAAATGATTCTTCTGGAGAGTTATGCATGCAGCAGGAATCAGAAGGAATCAGAGAAGTTGAAAATGTTGATGCTTCTTCCTGCATGGTTGAAAATACAGAAGAGAAATGTCAAGATGCTTCCACATCCACCAAGGTAGGTAGTTTAAATCTTATGACTGCTCATGCTTATCTCGTGGGGTTAACTAGACAACTAGAGTTTCTGAAGACAAAATAGACACGTAGTGAAAGTTGTCTGAAAGCCACTTTAGTGTAGTGGTGAAGGGGCTTGGCTCGAAACTGGAGAACCCTGAGTTCTAGACCTGCCTTAGGCACAGATGGATGACCTTGGGCCAGTCTCTCTCTTTCAGCCCTAGGAAGCAGGCAATAGCAAACCACTTCCGAAATCCTGCGAAGAAAACTGCAGAAACAAATTCCGTAGTCTTCTCCTTGAACTGTCAAGGGGAGAACTATGCAGCTTTATAGCTGCTTTATTTTATTACTCATTTAACTATATTTACTTGCTGCCTCCTGTCTGGATCAAAATCCAGAGGACGGCTAACAAAATTGTACACGGTAAATCGGTTTGTAAATTATCTAGCATGAAGGGTAACATCTGCACTAAAATGTTTAAATTGAACAATAATACAGCTAAAAGGCTAGCCAGAATTTGATATGGCCAAATCCAAAAACTAGTTTAATACGATGTTGGAATATTGTCAGTGATGGGGATCGGTAAACATTTTTTGGAAAAGGTCTAACAAGGCGAGGACATTCCGGAGAAATGTTTGGTAGAGTTTTGAAAAAAGATGTTTAGCTTAAAAAAATGTGATGGAAAAAGAAGAAACGGGGGTATTTATAGAAAGAAGTAAAAATGAACAAATGTAGCACCGTGTTCCTCCGGTGCCAAGAGAGGCCTGCTCTGTCTTTCCTGCTCTTCCAGGCGCCATCGAGCAAAGGGCTTTGCCTGAACTGCGAGGAAAGGCTGGTTGCGCTGCTCTCCAGTGTGCGGAGCATTGAGATGCGCACGCAGAGGGTTCAGCTGATGGATCTGAACCTCCCAGAGCTGCAAGAGCTGCTTCGCCAGGCTGAGGTGAGAGAAGCAGGCCCACGTCGGCCGGCTTGAGGACACTGCTGGGTCGCCCCTCCGAGCCTGGCCAGATCAGGGGATTGACTCCACAGGGCGGCTAGACCTGCAGGCTCCAGTTTCCCCTCCCCTCCTCGCTCTTTCACCCCGGGGAGTCATGGAGGAGTCAGCCTGAGCCTCTTCCTGATGCTTTCTTCTTCTTTCCCAGGGCTTAAGGAATGATTTTTGCCCTTTCCGGTTTTGCCTCCAGGACCATTTTCATGGTTCTCTGCAGGCAGGATATGCCAGAGGAGAGCTATGCGGTCAACTGGGGCTGAGACTAGGAGCCATCTTGGTTTGGGCCTGTAGCTGCTCCTGTGAGCACAATACAGGGTTGGTTAAAGATTGGTTAAAGCAAGATGCCCTGCTTAATTTTCATTCTTCCTTTACTCTCTGGGCAACTGGGAACAGAGGACCTAAGGAAAACCAAGTGCTGTTCTGGGTAAAACAGCTTTGACCTGAGGGTTTATAATTCAGAGAAGAGACTCTGTTATTCCAGGGATGGAAGGATCCCTTGGCTCAAATTAGCAGCTTCCAAGCCCTGGAAATTTCCCCTGTGGATCCAAGCCCTTTCCAACTCCCCCTCGTAGCCCACTTCCCTCTGCCAGTTGGATGGAGTTGCCAGGCTTTGGCATGTATGTCTGAGACTAGAAAAATATGGTTCTGCCAAAAGTAGGTGAACTGGGTATGTTAGGGATGTATCCTTGCCTCAGTTTCCAAATGGTTAACAGCTCTTGACTATTCATGTCTGTCTGTGTTTCTTTCCTCCTCTTGCTTCTCAAAGTGCCTTCGTGTGCTTGAGTCCTAATGTCTACTGGGCCAAGAATGAAAAATGGGTGGACTCGGTAGCTAATCATAAAGATTTGGAATTACTCCTGGCTGAGTCCTGCTCTTGATGAATTGGGCTGGGAGAATGGAGTTGCTTCCTGCCTTGTCTGTGTATTTGGACTGGGCTCTAGATACTCTTGGAGCACATTGGTAACCGTCTCCAAAAATAAAAATTATGGAGAGAAAGATATAAAAGCCACATTGTGCCTTCTGATTCTTAGAGACCTCAGTTAAGAAGCACTCTTTAAGCCCAGCCTCCTCTAATTACATTTAATTATACTTTACATTTAATTATACTTTAGCCACGGAAAGAGGAGCTTTGTAGGAGGGGTTGGTTCAGCTGTTTGGCCCCAATTTAGCTTCATGCTCGGACAGTGATGCCAGTGCCGTAGCTGTGGGTCTTCTGCTTGGGCAGGGTTAGGCTGGCCTGGAATGGATAGGCAGAGGGAGTGTGAAGCCCAGGTTTATTCCAGATTTGGAAAACGCTTTCCTTTGCTTAGGTTTAACAGCATCCTCTTCATCTTAGGCCTTGGATGGGGAGCTGAAGGATCTGTCAGCGCCTGTGAATCAAGAGCTGGAAGCCGTGGAAGGGATTGTGGCCAGCTCTCCTCCAGAGATCCCGGAGCAATTATTGAGGGCTTTGGAGAAAGACGCCAAGAACCTTTTGAAGTCTTTTGACTCTGTCAATGACATCCTGACATCTTGGCAGCTAAACCTTCACACTGCAGTAGAAGCAGAAAAGGTATTGCCTTCTTTAAGGGCCAAACACATTCTTGGTGGGAACAATTTATCAAACACGGGATAGTTTTGGCACTCAGACTTTCCAGAAAAAGGTTGGATGAAAGTGAAAGATGATGGTTATCCCATGTGCTTTTTTTTTCTACACGTGACGCAGAGCAGTTGACCTGGGAAATTTTTTACATAAACCAAAAGTGGGCATTTGGAGCCCAACCTCTCTAAAGTCAGGTGGGTTTTAGAGGCCCTGCTGCAACAAAATATGTTGCAGTTTAGTTCATAAAGTAAGAAATGACTGTTAAAATAAACTTCCTGTTGTGGAATACTGCTGCTGTTTTTCATACATAGCATGTTGGTACAAGGAAATAGCATACATATATACTGAATGTGAGATGTGCAGTACTTAATTTGACAAATGTTTATATAATTATATATATATATATATATATATATATATATATATATATATATATATATATATATATATATATATGGTCTTTGGTTGTTCGGGTTTTCTCCCGCGTAAAATTGGAAGTGTCTTGGCGACGTTTCGACGAAGTCCCATTCGTCATCTTCAGGCTGGTGTTTTCAGCTTCGTGCTTTCGAGCAGCACCATGCTGCTCGGAAAAAACAAAGCACGAAGCTGAAAAACACCAGCCTGAAGATGATGAATGAGACTTCATCAAAACGTTGCCAAGACACTTCCAATTTGACGCGGAAGAAAACCCGAATAACCAAAGACCTACATACAAACATCCGCGAAAACCTCAGAAAACATATATATATATATATATATATATATATATATATATATATATATATATAATATAAATAAATTATTACACAAACACAAACATACACGCATTCTCACACTAACCTGATACTACAGCATTAAGGAGCTCGTTTGGTTAGAAGAGAGGAGCTTTATTTTGAAATGGAAAAAAGGTGGTTGACTGGAATTAATTCATTAATGGCTCCTGGGCTTCTCTGCTATTTGTTACTGTTGTGTTAAATGAAAGGTTATCTTGTTTGCTGCCAGATATTTTAGCCCCATTCCAAAAGGGAGGCAGCTGGGCCTTTCCCCACTCTCTTGGGTCACAGCCTTTTCCTCTGTGTCCCCATGATGGTGTGGTCTTCCCTGCCATCCACAGCCCAAATCACCCTTGGCTGCCCTGGGAAGGTCTCTCTTGAGGGAAGGTCCAGTTCCGGGAGGCAATTGGAGCCTCAACTGCACAGGGGCTCTTCTTCCAAATGAATGCCCTTGTCCGAGTTTATGACCAGCTCAAGGAGCTGCCTTTATTTGTGGGGGTCCATTCAAACCCTGATTTCTTTTCTTCTGCCCCACAGAAATTATTTATTTACTTATTTACTTATTTATGTGTATCCCACTTTTATTATTTTTACAAATAACTCAAGGGCCAAACATATCCAACATGCCTTCCTCCTCCTATTTTTCCCAGAACAACAACCCTGTGAGGTGGGTTGGACTAAGAGGGAGGGACTGGCCCAAAATCACCCATTTGGCTTTCATGGCTAAAGTAGAACTTGAACTCAAGGTCTCCCACTTTCTAGTCTGGTGCCTTTCTGCCTCTGTGGCAAAAGCCTTTTAAGAAAGGCACTCACAATTTTTCTCACAGTATAATACAGTTGTTTTTCTGCACTTTCTTAAAATGTATAACTAGCTTTGTGGCAGTTCTTTTGTGAGCCTGCTTACAAGAACAGTTCTGAGGGAAAGACTCCCGTTGTGGCATTAGTTTCATTTCAGAATTGTCCCATATCTTGAAAGGGTGACTGTCTTTAGTGCCTTTCATTAATCTTGGTTTGCTTTTGTGTTCACATAGCGGTTTTAATTCTGTAGTCTCTTTTTGTTCTAAGGCTAAAATCCAAATCCGGCATGGCGAACTCCATGGCAGATTGCAAGGGTTGCTAAAGTGGGTGACAGACACCACCCAGCAACTCAGTGGCCTTGAATCCCACGCTGTGACTGAGGCCGGCAGCTGGACCCCCTACCTTCAGAGATACAAGGTAGCCATAGCAACAGCCATGTTAAGGTTGTCTGAAAAAGCACAATGCAGTTTTGGGGATGGGGGGGTGGAATAAGTGGCGACATTTCATTAACCGTGCTGTCTTCATTTCTTGAGACCTCACCACCGTCATTCATTCTCCTGTTAGCTGTTTGAGCTTGCAAAATATCACAAGATGCGGAAGGCAGCTTTTTAAACATGGCTCTTCCAGCATTGCACATAACAGGCACTGACCTCCCAGATGCCCCTGGAGGATCTGATGGGAGATGCTTCCCAGGGGAAGGTCACAGGCCCTTGGCTGCTGGCATCTAATAGCCAGAATTGCCTTTCTGATTCTTGAAATTACGCTCTTTCTTTCCAGGCAAAAAGCTGTGTGTTTTTGTGCCGGTTTCCTTGTTCTCCCGCACAAAACCTGGAGTCATCCAGGTCTGTCCTCTCCCTTGGATGAACCTCTTCCCCCTCCTGGCAACTGGATCTTTTGGCCTGTCATTTGGGAGGGGGTGAGGGATGGATGAATGCTGGCTAGCTATTTATCATCCATGTGTTTAAATTTATAAATACTGCTTTGGGCCAGGACCCATTGTAATAGGCAGTGACTTGTTTGGGTTGTAACCATCTATAGTGATGAATTCTGCAGGCTCTTGATATGGGAATTCAGAGAAAGTTTCCTTTCTAGAGTATGATCATGGGTCCTGGATTTGTTCCCTTCCTCCCAAGACAGAGACATTTATGGCACGACTTTCACGAAAAGAGGGAGTCTCCTGCTTCAGCCAAATGCTGTGGGGCACGGCTTACTTCCCTGAACGGTGAAAAGAGCTCCAAAGCAATGCAGCAATTTATGGCTTAGTTTCCTTTAGAGAAAAGAGAGCAGCACTGGATCCCATTTTATTAAGGACTGTTGATTCTTTTTCTTTCTCTTGGTGGCAGAGAAAGGATTGAAAGCTGTAAGGTTAGCCTTTAATTAGCTGCAACCGAAATGTGGTTTGAATACAGGACTGCGCCATTAAAATTGTTAGTCTTATGACACATGGCAGGAAAATCGTTTCCAGTGCGCTTGCAGATATGGTGGTGCTCTAAAAGAGGAACGGCTAATTCATGATATATGTATCCTAACTGATGTAATTTAGCTCTGGAGGATGTCATGGAAAGACCCTGCCCTGTGGTATGCACCACCTTGATGATTTCAGAGGAAACAAACTCTTGGAATCTAACAGACCAGGGATATTGGTTTGTTGCTGGCCAGTGAGAACACAATGGAAGCTGACTTTCAGAGGAAAAAGAAATCCAATGAATTGAACCTAAGATGATGCTGTAATGTGGTTTCTTCCAGTTGAGTAATTTCTGCCCAGCCTTGGAATAATTTGCCCTGCTAACAGTTTCTCTTTCTGTTCTCTTCATATGGCCAGGAACTGGCAAAGCCCCTCACAGAGACTAAAACTCATCTTGATGAGATGGCCTTGAATATCCAGTTCTTCGTTTCTGAGCACGGGCAAGACTTGAATACTGAGCAAAGTGGGCAGCTGCTGAGGCTGCTGAATGACCTGCAGAGGTCTTTTCTGGAGTTGTCCAAGAGAGTGACCACCCGCACTGAAGTCCTGCAGGTCTGTCTCCAACCAACAGAGCTGATGGAGGAGATGACGGGGTGGACTGCCCTCTTCTGGGCTGCCTTGTCCATGACAGGGAGCAGTGTGGTTGTGGTTGTGTGTGCATGTGTGGCTTTTCCTCTAGAATCTAGACGGAGTAGTGGTGTTCCTGCTGGGCTTTGCAAAACCTTTAGGCTGGTCTCATTCAGGACATTGAGTGAGTGCAGAACAAAAAGGATTTCTTCTCTTGGCTTTGCTGATCAAGAAGGGCTGATGGACAGAACTGTCTTGGGCAAGGAAGACCAGTAGAATTTCTGGAGGGCTGAGAGGAGAGACAGGCAGGCAAGGGAGGTCACAACAGATAGAGTGCGTGACCCCAAGATTAGCTAGAGTCTTCGAAAAATGCAAATGCATGTGAGGGCAAGAGTCATCTTTTGGGCTGTCACTCAAGTGTGCTGGAATTTGTACATAATGTACATTAGCATGAGCTCCTCTAATATATTACATATGAAAAAAATTACATATGAAACAATCCCTAAAGGTAGCCAACCTAGATTAGGTGTCCCCAAACCTTTAAACTTGATGGGCACATTATGGATTTTGAGAGCAGGTCATTAGAGAAGACTTCTTCCAATTAAAGTATTGGATTTTGCTCCAAATGCACGTCTTTGAGTTTTCTCTGCTGAAAATCAAATTGCATTTTATGCACTGAAATAATTTAAAAATTAGTGCACCAAAATTCACTAAATGATTGTAATGCAATTATTACTTAGACACATCTCCAAATAAACTAAAAAATACTTTATTGAAATGTCTGTAAATATTTAAAATTAACTCAGCAATGTGCCTGTTCTTATACAATACTGCTTCTATTTTAGGAAAATATGGAAATAATTATTTTTTCTTTTAAAGGAGGCATGCATCCTCAGAGATTTTCTGAAAATTTTAACTCCAATCCTCAAATTGCCTAACTTTATTAATGATTCTTTATAAAAAATATAGCAGCACAAAATATTCTGGTTCCTCTCCTTGTTAGAGAGAAGCGGGGATAGGGATAGTTACATTTTTATATTAATTGTGGTGTTGTGTGTGTGTGTGTGTGTTTGTGTGTGTGTGTGCATACATGCATGCAGGGGATGTGGGGGAGGGAGGTTTTCATTCCCAATCTGAGGGAGAAGGTAACTTTTGCAAAGGCTGTGGTTGGAGATGGAAGAGGGAACCTTTCCCTGCTCAGATGCAGTGGCCCTGATCAAAATCTCTTTTCAGCTCTAATTTTGCCCCCAACGGAACTTCTGGATTTCACCCCAGCCTCCTCGGACCTTGACACCTTCTCCTTGGGCTGCCCACCTTCCTCCACGCTTCTGGACACAATTCTGTGTCTGCTGCTCACCCACCCTCTGCCTCCCCTGTTCAGGGAGGGGGTGTTTTGTTTAACAGTGGCCTCTGTCCCACAGTGCTGTTCTGCCTCTTGTCTCTCTGTGTGTATTAACCGATGTGCTTTGCCTTTTCAGATTGAATGTATCCCATCCCTAATGCAGAAGATCTCCTTATGCTGCCGAAGAGCACTTTTGAGGAGAGCTTCTCTTACTCCCTTTCTCAAACTGCTTTTGTCGTTTGGCTTAAGACTGACAGAGAAAGCAGGACAACTCCTTTGGCCCAAGGATCAGCAGGGGCCAAGCATTGAGAGGAGGATGGTCCAGGGTCACACATCATGCTCAATCACCTTAAAGTTACTCTGTGCCCAGAGCAGCCTCCCCCAACCCAGCACTCTCCAAGTGTGCTGGACCTCAACTCCCACAATCTCCAGCTTGCCTGGAGGGTCTGAATTGAAGTCCAACACCACTGGAAACCACTAGTTGGGGAAGGCTGGCCAAAAGATGTTTGTGTGGAATCTCTCTCTGTCTTGCTCTCCTTCACACACCCAAACACACCGGGCCTGTCTCAGGAATGACCTCTTGTAGGTCCCTGCAGTCGAGCAAAGGCATTCTACATGGCCTTTTTTCTTCTCAGACTGCAAACAAAAATTGACAGGTATTTTCTTAGGCTGGTGACAAACATTTGAATGCCTTCATCCATTTCTTCCCTCCCAACCTTCCCTCCTACAGTATGAGTTGAGTCCTATTGTAAAATTGACATGGAAGAGGAAAGGTGCAGGTGAGCAAGAGAGAGTAAGAGACAGATAATGCATCTTGTCCTCCAGCAACTTCTGTTTCTCTGTTTTACATTTTCTCTGACTTTGTTTTTTTATTCGTTTGATAAGCCTTAAAAAACTCCTTCATTTTTAAAAACTCAATCTTGCCATGTAGACACTGCAAGAACAACAAGCCATACGAGACCACAAGCTGCAGGAGATGTGCACCTGGATGGATCAGGCAGAGGCCCGTCTGCAGGGTTCCCAAGCAGCCACAGCAGGGGCATCGGGAGAAGACCTCTCTGCCCTGGAACACAGCCAGAAAGACGTGACCGTAAGCACGAAAGACCTTAGGGTGAAAGGCAGAACCTTTTCTGGGGGCCTGCGGGCCTGATGGGAGAGCTTTCATGAAACACTCTGGCTTCCCTCTTCCATCGTGCTCTCCATGAGGGAACCATCAAGACTTTAAGCAGTGTTTCTCAACCTTGGCAAATTTAAAATGTGTGAATTTCATCTCCCAGAACCACCCAGCCAGCAGTTAAAGTCCACACATGTTGACGTTGCCAAAGTTGAGAAACTCTATTTTAGAGGGCAAAGAAGATGACCTCAGTGGAGAGATGCAGGAATTATTCCTTAGGCAAAAGGGGCTTTTTCAAACTCAGAACTACAAGATAATATTTGGAAGTGGCTCAGGCAGCTGCCTCCCTGATGCACAAGAGGATAAGCGGGGGAAGGAGATACAGCTCAGTCAGACCTGCAAGATTTGGTTATTGTAGCCAATCCCAATAGCCTACCTGGGAAATTGATTTTCTGGTCTAGGCTGCCTGGTGGGTTGAATAAATAAATAAAATCAAAATGTAAAAGTAATGGTAAGTTTTGATAAATGTTTAGTGGGTGGCTCAAGAAATCTTTTTTGACTGAATCTGTTGAAAAAGATGATTGGAAGAGAGTTATAATGCCAGCCTTGAAAGTCAGTTCCTAGAACTTTGCAGAAGGGTTTGCTTATTGTTATCCAGGACTTGCGTTGGAGCCTACACAGCCAGACTGCTTCCTTTACGAGTGTCTTGAAGGCGACAGAGGACTTTCTGGAGGAGAACAGAATCAAGCTGCCCCCTGGAGAGCTGGAATCCCTGCAAGAAAAGCTCCATCAGGCTCAGGGGCAGTTTCTGTCTCTGCAGGAAAGGGTGGAGGCCGCCCAGAAGGAGCTTCAAAGTGCTGTGAGCTCTGTAATGCAACAACAGACAGAAAAGGTAGGACAGTGCTACGGGCTGGGTAATTTTATCTCTTTTATTGCTGGATGATCCCCCGTTAGATTCTGCACTGAGTAGGAGATTGGATGCCTCTCCTCCACCTCTACATCTGATTCAGTCACACATTTTAGGAGGAGATGCGGTTATATAACTGTATGTAAGTTGATTGTTGCAGAGTCTGTCAAAACTGCTATGGAAGGTGCTCAATCCTAGGGAAGGATTCCTGTCTTATCCTTGCTGCACAACCTGTTCAAAGCAGCCTGCTCCAGATGAAACAGTTTATTCATATCCAAGGAATTTTGCTACTTTGTCTCCTCTCAAAAATTTGTTCCCAGGTTAAAGTGATCAAAGACTTTGAAGAAAATCAGAGTAAGATTGAATCCCTTCTACATTGGGTGGCATCAGTGAAGAAGTCTAGAGGGGTCCCAGAAGATAAATTGTGGCCAGTGGGAAAAGATGGTGGAAGACATGGAGGTGGAGAAGTCCAAGATGCTCCTGATGGCCATTGGTTGGAAATTGTTGAAAAGAATCTTGATTTGCACTACACAAGTTTGAAGGTTGGTGCATCTATTCACTGAGTAACATCCTGGCTTGGCTATGAATTCATTTGTGTCATTTCATTTCTAGTCACTGCCTCCCAGATTCAGTTGTGTTGATTTTCGACATCTTGGCTCTAATCCTAACCTTGAATGCATCGTAGCCCTTTTCTGGAAACCAAATGTAAATCTTTAGGTTGGGTGAGAGTCCCAGAATTGGACATTCTGTCCCAGAGCACACTCAAAGCACACCTCTTTATCCATATTCATTAAAGAGGATTAACTGGCCTGGAAGTTTCTCTGAGAATAATGAATCAATTGCAGCATCAGCATCACGTAGATTGAAGGCTGAGAAGCAGGCTTCCATCTCACCTATTTCATAGTAGCCATCCTTGGCTTTCAGTTCATTCTTTAATACAGGTCAAAGTGCTGCAGTTGTCTGCATTAGTAGATAGTTTTGGGCATGGTTTCTCCAACTCCAGATCATCTATTTACTGAGGTGATTGTGAGGTTTGCCTCCAAGTGTCCCTCCTGACCCTTTTCATCAATGAGATTGATTGGCATCCACTGTTTGTTTGTATCACATTCCACTATGATGCATTCCATGTTGTTTGGAAGCAGCCATGGAAGGACTCCTGTGTATATGTATATAATAACTATACAACTAGAACAATCTTGGGCTCTCTCTGTTGGGAAGAAATGAGTCAAACCTGGGACATCTATAAGAACCAGATATTTCTCTTCCTGGCCCGCAGGGTCTGGCTTTGATTTTTCCATTGGTAGTTTGGTTTTGATATACTTTTGACATAGCTTTTATGTTTTCTTTCCAGCTCCACCACCAAGAGTTCCTTTCTCACCAGCAAGATGTCATTCTAGCCACGCAGTCAGCCCAGGCTTTCCTGGACAAACAAAGCCACAACCTTACACCTGAAGAGAAGCAGAATCTGCAAAGAAGGCTAGAAGAGCTGAAGGACCAGTATGCTGCTTCCTTGTCTCTCACGGAGGGGCAGCTCAAACAAGCGCAGACACTCCAGGATGAGCTGCAGAAGTTTTTGCGGGACCACCAAGAGTTTGCAGCCTGGCTGGAACAGGCTGAGCAAGACTTGGAGAAGATCTATGCAGGAGATGGCAGCCTGGAGTCCCTTCAGCCTGTGCTCCTCCAGCAGAGCAGCTTCTCTGAAGATGTGATTTCCCACAAGGGAGATTTACGTTTTGTCACGATGTCAGGGCAGAAAGTGCTGGATGCTGAGGAGGCTGTGATTGCTGCAAGTGGAGGGGAGCCGTGCCCTGAGATATTAGCCACCAGCACATTAGTGAAGAGCAAACTGGAAGACGCCAACAGGAGATATGGCAGCCTCCACTCTAAGGTACAAGAAACCTTTAAAGGGAAAGGGTTATTCTATCTGAGCAGCCCATTGTACCTGCTCCCCAGTTTCTTTTCATTTCTTCTGTGACATCCTCAAAGCCAGGGTAGGTGTTAGAATGTGGTTGTAGAAAAGTATTTGCCTCCTGGCAGATTGTCTGAATTTTTGCATATGCCAGTGAGGAAATGCAACTGTCCCCCCATTCAGTCTAATTAAAAGGATAACTGGGGCCAGTTGTTTCATTAGAGAGTCATGCTGATTCTCTTGCAGACTCAATGGTATTTCTTGCAGATATTCCTGTGCACCTTTGCTGCTTCTGTGCTGTGGTCTGTAGTCAGTCTGTGCGGTCTCCTTGCAGCAGCCAATCACTCAGCTTCCTCAGCTTCTTGCAGAGTTGCCACTTGCTGTCTGTTGCTATCTCCTCAATTCTGGATCTGTAATCCAAAACTGAAATTCATACAAATATGGTCGTAAATCTGAAATGAGAGTTGATGTTTAAAAGCCCTCAAGTATTGGCTCTCTACTGGGCCAAATTCCTATTCGGTGATAGGAGTGACAATTGATTATTGTAGAAAATAGCACTAGCAATAGACCTATGTACCACTTCACAGTGCTTTACAGCCCTCTCAGCGATTTTACAGAGATAGCCTCTTGCCCCCAATAATCTGGGTCCCCATTTGACTGACCTTGGAAGGTGGAGTCAACCGTGAGCCGGTCAGGAGGGAACTCCTGGCAGTGGACAGAGTTTGCTTGCAATGCGTTGTAAGCACTGCACCACCGAGCATCATTGCTTGGCAGTTATTGCAGCTAAAACAGGTATAACCAATTTGAAACTAAAACCAATCACTTTTGCACCCTCACGTATCACATGCTGGATAGCTTTATTTATGAAATAAATGAAATTAGTACTGTGCTTGGTTCCATGTGGTCCCTCAATATTTTACATATTTCAATAGGACCCACAGGAAACTCTGATAATATACAGCTGCAAACGTGCAAAAATTCAGAAAACCAGAAAGGACCAAATACTTTTTTCCAAAATGACAAATACCCTTAGGGTTAAGGATGGCTTTTCTAGAACCATCTCCCTCTCTGTAGTTAACTGGGGGGCATTCTGTATGGGGGTAACTTCTGCCTCTGTGGGGAAAGCTCGCTTTACTAGTTCTTGCTTTTATTAATAGAGATGTGTATATCCCTCATTTTATCCCAGTTTCCTGGGATAAATAGCAATGGGTCTTACTACTGATATCTTTCTACCAATAGCAAATAACTTTAATTCTGAGCTAATAGCTTTGATTTTCTTATTTAATTTGATTTTATGGATGTTTAAATACATTTTTAAAAGAGTCAGTTTGGCTTATTGGTGAAGGCATTGGGCTACAGTCAGGGAGAAGAGCGTGAGTTCTAGTCCTGCCTTGGCTGGGAAGCTACGGTAGCCAGGTGACCTTGGGCCAATCGCCCTCTCTCAGCACTAAGGAGGTAAGGACAAGCTGCTTCTGAAAAACCTTGCCCAGGAAAATGCAGGTGCTTGTTCTGGCAGTTTCCACAATTGAACAGAAGGAAAAAGATACCATTTTGGTGGTATTTTATGTAACAATTGTTTTGAGGTCATTTTGGAGGTATCTCAATTTGTTCCTTATGCAGTTTCGGGTTTATTTAGGACAGGGCTTTTCAACCGGTGGTACGCGTACCACTGGAGGTACGTCGGCACCTGGCAGGTGGTACGCGTATGACGGGTTGAAAAGCACTGCAAAAAAAGTGTAAAAAAAAGTGTAAAAGTGGATGAGGTGAAACGGCGGCAGCACCACACAGGCTTGTGGGAAAGTCAGCTGGAGCTGCGCTGAGAGCCCAGGATCAGCGCGCGCAGCTCCAGCTGATTGGCGGCAGCCTTGGGGGTGACAGGCAGCACCATGCAGTCGTCAGGCGGAGATTCAAACAGAAAAAGTGTTATTGGGGGGGGATGTTTTTAGAAAAGCCCCACCCGGTCTTTCCTCCTGTTTGCAGTGCTCTGCTCTCGGCCTCCACCTGAACCTCCTGCTGGATCGCTCCCAGCAGTTCCAGGATGTAGCAGGATCTCTCCGGTCGTGGCTGCAAGAGAGCGAAGAGGCTGTGACCCGCCTCCTGCTGGAGCCCATCTCCTCTGATCCGGCCATTTTGCAAAGGCAACTGGTTAGCGCCAAAGTAAGTTACTCCTCAGCTTTAATCTTTTGCGGACTTTTTGCCTGTAACTTCAGCTGGAAAAGCCTGGGCCACACTACACAAGCCTGCATTTTTATTGGCTGGGCATTTTGGCAGGGGGCAGTGGGGGGAGAGAGCTTTCTTTCAGAAGCCTCAGTGGGAACTGGCATCTTCCCCCTCCTGCCTTATGTAATGGAGGGCACCAGTATGGTTCTCAGGTGAAAGAAAACCAGAAATAACCGTTCCAGATCATACCTTTCTAAGGGGGTTCTACATAGGCTTGAGCCTCAGAACCTCTTTTTAAAGACATGAACTTCTTTAGTCCAGTTCTGGTATTTCTTCCTGCCTTGAATCCTGCCTCCTTTCTGTTGCTTCTAACAGCACCTGCAGGAGGACCTTGCAGAGCATCAGGTGCCTGTAGAAAAGCTTGAAAAAGCTGCCCAGTCCCTCTTGGAAATACGGGAAGCCCCAGTTCCTGACCACAGAGGCATCCAGCAGATCACAGGTAAACCTGGGGGGGGGAAAGGTCTAAGGAAGCTGTTCTTACTTGGTGCACTCCAAGTCTATTAGTCTGCAATTCAGCATGACCAATGCTTGAGGATGGCGGGGGGGGGGGCATTAAAGCGAGGAAGAATGTCTTTGGAGTATTTGTTCTCAAGGACTGCGTTGAAATTTACGGCTTTAAACCCCTCCTCAGCCCTCCTAGGCAGTTTCTTATAATGTTGCAGAACCTTGAATGCTTTGATCCCAGGCCATTGGAATTGAATCAGAATCAAACTAGAGCTAGAAGGGACCTTGGAGGTCTTCTAGTCCAGCCCCCTGCTCAAGCAGGAGAGCCTATACCATTTCAGACAAGTGTCTGTCCAGCCTCTTCTTAAAAGCCTCCAGTGATGGAGCACCCACGATTTCTGGGGGCAAGCTGTTCCACTGGTTAATTGTCCTCACTGTTAGGAACTTTCTCCTTAATTCCAGGTTGCTTCTCTCTTTGATCAGTTTCCAACCATTGTTTCTTGTCCTGCCCTCTGGTGCTTTGATGAATAAAGTGACCCCCTCTTCTTGGTGGCAACCTCTCAAATACTGGAATACTGCTATCATGTCACCCCTATTGCTTCTTTTCTTTTCTTTAGACTAGCCAGACCCAAATCCTGCAGCCACTCTTCATATGTTTTAGTCTCCAGGCCTTTGATCATCTTAGTCTTCTCTGAATTTTTTTCAAAGCCTCAACATCTTTATTGTAGTATGGTGACCAAAATTGACTGCAGTATTCCAGGTGTGGTCTTACTAAGGTTTTATAAAGTGGTACTAATACTTGATCTTGAGTCTATGCCTCTGTTTATACAACCCAGGATTGTATTAGCTTTTTTGGCTGCTGCACACTGCTAGCTCGTAGTCAAGTGATCGTCCACTAGGACTCCAAGGTCCCTCTCACAGTTATTGTTTTTGAGCCAGGTCTCGCACAATTTGTACTTCTACCTTTGATTTGTCCTGCCTAAATGTAAAACTTTGCTTTTCTCCACATTAAAACTCATTTTGTTGGATAGGGCCCATTGTTCAAGTTTGTCAAGATCTTTTTGGATCCTGAGCTTGTCTTCTGGAGTGTTGGCTACTCCTGCCAGCTTAGTGTCATCTGCAAATTTGATGAGGAATTCTTTGGCCATTTTAATTTCCCCCTGCAATTCATTTGATTCTTGCACAGATTCCACTGTGAGCCGATTCCAGAGCCTTTTGTGTCGGATGGCCGAGCGCTCAGATCTTTTGCAGAAGTCCATTGCTCAATCTCAGAGTGTCCAAGAGGCGTTGGAGAGCCTCCTTCAGTCCATGGCTGAGATTGAGGAAACTCTCAAACAGGAGGATGGGTCTGTATTCTCCTCCATTTCCATCCAGGAGGCACTTGCTACAAACACGGTAAGATATTTCACTTAGCTTTCTGACTGTACTCTTGTTCCAGAATTTAAAAAAGATGGGGACTTTTTGAACACCGAAAATGTCTCTGAACAACCGGGACTTTCCTTGTCTTTATCATTATTAATTTTATCCAAATCCAATTTTGAAAATGATTGAACCATAGATGTTGCTTTCAGTACAAAGGTTTGCTATATGGCACCTGATCGGTGATCAAAGCTACTCCCTGAGCATATGCAGAGTGTTATTTCAGTTGGTGGACAGCCATAATTAGCAGACTGAGTATCTGAGATCAAAATGGAGATCCGGTTGAATGTGGAATACAGAACATGTTGCTCCTTAGGAGTAGATTGGAACACTTTTCACCCAAAGTCTCCAGAAAGGAGTTATGAATAAAATAGTAGTTTCCAAAGTTTATTATAAATTAAGCAGAGTTCTTTCCCACGGGGAGAGCTGGAATCTGGAGTGATTCCAAACTTCTGGGTTGTTTCTATCCAGTCTTCAGTCTCAGAGAACCTGCATCCTTTCCCACCGCAAGGAGCAGCCAGCCAGGCGTTAGCACTGAGCAGAGCCCCGGGGGACAGAAGGGGGGAGAGTGACAGAAGCTTTTACAAAGGCCTCAGAACAGCCCAGTCCAGGCAGGTGGCCTTGTGCTGCCGCTGCACTGCTATAACCAAAAGCGTTAAAAAAACACCCCACGGCACACCCTGGATTTCCTTTGATTCGAAAGACAGCTTCGATTCTTGTTTGTTAAAGGAAAGGCTAGTCCAGAATCCAGCTTCGATGTAAGCTGTGTTCAGTGGGAGAGCACATCCCTTCTACATCACCAGCAGACCAGACTTCTTTTGACTCCCTCTTGTTAGCTGTGCTTCTGTATTTTGTGGGCCTTGAGACTCGGTGGATGGAACAGAAGGAAACTCTGTAGTGGGGTGAGCTGTGACTAATAGGAGAGTCTGCATTGTTTCCATTGGTGCAAAATGGTTCCCTGTTGATTGAGCTGGTTTGGGCTGAGAGTTGGATTTGTCTCATGGAGCTCTTTGGTTTATGGAATCTCTGACCCTGAAGCAGCAACTGGCAGAGACTTCCAAACATGGAGAAAAGCTTCTTTGTTGCGAGAAGTTTAGTTCCTGGGCTCATGGCAGATTCTCCCTGGCAGCAAGCAGTTCTTCTGTTCTGGGTATATGCAAAATATATATCCTTCTCGTTGCAGAAGCTCAAACAAGACATTGCCAGGCAAAAGAGCAGCTTGGAAGCCACCCGTGAAATGGTGACCCAATTTATGCAAACAGCTGACAGCACCACCGCTGCCACCCTCCAGAGCAAGCTGGCGGAGGTGACCCAGTGCTTTAGCCGCCTGTGGCAGCAGCAGCAGGAGAAGGAGGACACCTGGAAGAAGGTCCTCCCCCAGGTGGAACAGTACGAGCAGCTCTCGGAGAAGCTGAAACAATTCATGGAGAGCCGAGGGCGGATGCTGGCCTTGGGAAACCAACCTGAGCGGGACATTACTCACTTCGCCCAGCAGATCCAGGTGAGAAGGCTCAGGATTGGAGGACACCTGGTTCCTGGTCCCTGGGCTTGGCTCTGGCATCTCCAGGAAGAGGCTGTGGCCTGTTGGGGTTTTATTAGAGGTGGCAAGCTCAAACCAGGAAATAAAAGGGAGAGGAGTAGCAAAAATCCCTCTAACAAGCTATGCAAAGTAAATAAATAAATAAATGTATTCACCACACTCCCTTTGAGAACAGGCTTGGACTGCTGCTTCTCTGGATTCTCACCTAGGGTTAGGTTATGTCACCATGAACTCGGAGAGTAAAATGGACATTGCCAACAAATTCGGAGTGCTTGGATATAGTTAGAAAGGCATTGACTTTTCTAGCCTGCCCTATCTCTTTCGTGGTAAAATACATGGGAAAATCCCACTGGAGGAAAATTCCACTTACGTTCCTGTGAAGGGAGGGTGCTTCCATAAGCCACCCTCTGCTAGGCTACCCACAAGCCCCTGAATGCATTTGGATTTCAGGATTTTGCTTCCTGGCTCTTGTCCAGCTTCGGGTCCTTCTGTTTATAGAGACGAGGTTAAGCAAGTGCAGGAGATTTACAATGAAGCTGAAGAGATGGCAGAATAGAATTCTCGCAAGTCAGAAAACAAGAGCTCTGGACCCTGCACAGTTGCATAATTGGGATTTTGCATTTTCATATTCTTTTTCAGGACAAGCCTTGCCCACAGAAATTTGGGGGTCGTTTATCCATAATTATAATTTTAAAGTTCAAATTCATTGAAAAGGATGATCATGATCAAGGTTGATCAAGAATAACCTTGTCAGTAGACCCAGGAAACAGTGCAGCAGCCTAAGGGTGTTTCAGGGAGATGCTGAATCCAAGGTGTTTCACAGCCCTGATCCAGTTGCCTTTGGAGACCAGTCATGTCTGTTCTAATTATCCTAACATAATTTGTAGGCAGGGATTGTTATTGCTATCCAACATGACTTCCAGGGACCAGGGTGAACTCAAGGCTTTTCCTTATGGCAAAACCCTTTAAATTTTGGACTGAGTTATAGATGCTCTTCACTTCAACCCTATCTATCCTGTGTCTCCCCACACCTTCACCCTGTTTCCTGATGTTTCCAGGAACTGAATTCAGAGATGAAGCAGCGCTATGAGGATCTGGACAAACTGGAACATTTAACTACAGAGATAAGCTCTTGTGGGCTGGTGTGGACTGGCTTCTCCTCACACCAAGAAAAGGTGCGCAGTTTGCGGAAAGAGTTCACTCAGCTGCAAAAAGCCACAAAGGAAAGGTGAGAAGGGATTCTCCCAGCCAGAGGAGAGGAAATTTGTGGGAGATTGAATAATTGTAATTCTTTGACTGTATCCCAATTGCTTTGTGCTGGGAAAAGGTGGGAGGCAGAGAAATGAAGGCCATGAGCAATCTCTGCTGCTATAGTTTGTAATCTTTCCCAATTTTTCTCACCTGGTAAATGTTTTGCAGTTTTGAATTCTTAGAAGACTTGAAGAGCTTTTTGACCAAAGAGATAGTTGAATAAAATGCATGCTTCACCAAAAGTAAAGCATTTCCCAAAGTATTCCCAGCTTTTACAGAAAGGTTTCCCTGTCTCCAGACTCAGGAAATAATCTCCTTCTCTCCAGAATATTGTTTTTGATGTTAGGGTGAGGAAGACACCTGCCCATATTGTGGACAACTGCCATGAGGAAAAACTGTGGGTTAACTATGGGATAAATAGCCTAGGAGGCTATTTAAGTTCACCAAAGAGAACAGCCCTTTCTTTAGCTATCTGAATGTCCAGGAATCTTTACCTTAGGATAAGTGTCTGAACACAAAGCCTTAAAACAATTCAACGCATTCTGGAGCTATTTTATACCCAGACAATGAATTCCCTTAATGCCTGCAGTGTTCACCTTACAACTGCTACATCTGCTTAAGAACTGCCAGAAAAGGGTCATAATATTGTGTCGGTCACATGGATGCCTTGACTTATGCCCATCATGACATACAACAGAAATTCCAGGGTCCATTACGGTTATAAGTCAGGGATTTCTGAATCTTAGAAAAAACAGCCTTATCTTCAGTCTCTCCCCATCCACTGTTGAATTGTCTTCTGAAACTTGATAAACTTCTCCCAAACCATGGCAAAGCAGAGAAAAAAGGGGGAGCACCCACATTTTGTTTTATGTTCTATTCTCGTATTCCTTGCCTATAAAGACAACAGGGGAGAAATCTGCAACTTTCTGCTTCTGGAGCAAGTGAACTGTGGAATGGGTTCAAAGCTTAAAATTTGGCTCCATCCCACGATATCCCCTCCCCCCTCCGCTGCCCTTTAAGATGAGTGTGCTCTCCTTCTCAGGGTCTACCCGGTCACATGAAAAACTCTCACCCATTCAGACGGGCCTTTGGTGCATGCAGAGGATGGTTATCTTTAAAAACTCTGCCCTATTTGTTCTGGCAACAAATATTATCTGCCCAGAGTAACTTTGCAGAATGAGAGGGCAGCATGTAAATTTATAAATAAATATTATCTTCTTCAGTGTCCTATTTGTTACATGTATTGTAATTTATGTGCTGGTAGACACAATTCCATACATCAACTGGCAATTTATATCCTTCAATCTTATTTGGCATTGTGAAATCCTGGGAAAAGTCACAACTACTTTAAAGAGTTACATACATGTACTTCATTGCCATTTCTATGTACACCAAAACACCTTTCTGGAATCAGATCTGAAACATTGCACAACCATATTAGGAATTGGTGTAGGTATAATTTTTTGCAGGATGCTTCTTTCCTCTATTTGCCACTGCAATTTACTAAGAAGATTGAAATAGATAAATCAATCTTTTATTATTGATGTTGTTGAAAATCATTAATGTAATTAATTGTGGCACTTTTAGTTGATCCAGGAAAGTATGTCAAAGGAGTAAAGCAAGAATGAATCAGAGGTCCATGGTGCTTCATTCTGCACCCAGTTTGTTTAAAGACTTAAACTGCATTGGAAAGAAAAACAAGATATGAAATGGCCCTTACTCTTATGAAGAAGTGATAATTGTGAGATTCTCCAAGTGGTTTCAGACATTTTGGGGCCAGGCTGTCCTCTGTGACTTGCATGTACCTAGTTCATTGATGCTTCTCAAAATGCTTTCCCATATATAAAATTAATAACCAGCCCAAATACTTAGAATGGCAGTTTGCCAATTTTGCATGGCTCAGAGCAACCAGGCAGGTCAATGGGGTGGTCCAGTAGATACCTGTGGCAAACAGAGAGAACTGGTAGGTGCAGGTTGTCTCTTTGGCCAACAGCTTATAAGAGGTATCCTGCATGGCTTCCCCTTCCTCCTCTGTTTGTGATTGTGCTTGCCAGACAGTGTGTAAGCCTTTCATTTTTTTTAATCCATTCCCAGGGAAAAAGGAGCTTCGTCTTGTCAAGAACAGTTGGATGTATTCCGAAAACTGGTTCGGTCGCTCAGGCAATGGCTGGAAGAAACAGAGAGGACTATCCCAGCTACTGAGACTTCTTTGGGCACACATGAATTGGAGAAGCGGAGGCAGCAAACAGAGGTGGGCAGAGAAATGCATCCAGAAGACATTTTATAAGCAAATTCATGAAAAAAGTGGAGGATATGGCTTCATCACTGTAGTTTGGCAGATATCCTGACAAGGAACTGCTACTTTGTGCAAAAAGCTCTTTGAAAGGTGAAAGCCCCAGGTGATGTGGCAAAGTCCACCTTATATGTGGTTCAGCCTCCTGGTAGGCAGGTAGCTGCCCCTCATCCTACCCTCTTTGCTGAAAACCTCCATCCACACAGATTTACAGAGTCATGTTGGAAGTGAGCTGCTGCAGAGGCCACTTTCGTTGTCATGGCAGACAGGCTCTTGTCCACCGTGGCAAAAGGTTATAGAGGGCAGCTGCCCAGATGTCCTGCTTTGAAGAGGTGTGTCCCCCTTCTCTAGGGCTCTTTCAGAGGGAGGGAACAGGCTGGCTTTGGCCTGCTAAAAAGCTGTGGAAAAGGGCCCATGTGGGAGGGCCAGGACCACATGCAGTTCCCAAAGCTTTCAGGGTATCCTCAGAATTTCCCCCAACGTGGTGGTGATTTTTATTGTGACAGAAGACAAAATAATTGTGGGAAGGAATGTTCAATGTGTTAAATTGCCATGAAGTCTTGTGACCTTTCTCTGTTCTGTTTTCAGGTCTTTGTGGAAGAATGGATAGCAAAAGGGGTTCTTGTGGAGGAGATAAACCAACGGGGGACAGCCTTGGAGAATTTAATCATTGAGATTACAGCTCCAGATGCACAATCCAAGACAGGTAGGAGACTGAGAGATGCACTCTTTTCTACTCTTACCGGCCTCTCTTTAAACTGCCATTCTGGTCTCGAAATTCTGCCTAAGCAGGATTTACACACTGATTAAATCCTTGGACCCTTTTTAATGGCATTTCATGTTGATAGTTTGGAAACGGCGTGCCTTAGCAGTGTTTTTTTTTTTAGTAAGATAAAAATAATGCAGAAGTGATTCTACTACCTTAAAGGGGCTAATGACAATCTAGCTCAGTGGTTCTCAACCTTTTTAATGCCGTGACCCCATAATACAGTTCCCCATGTTGTGGTGACCCCCAAGTGGGTGTGGCCACCAATAAGAGGGAGTAGGACAGCTAGGGAAAAGGGAAAAAAATGGCGGACAGCGTGGTTTGGCGACCCCCATGAAATGGTCGTTTGACCCCAAATGGGGTCCCGACCCACAGGTTGAGAACCACTGATCTAGCTCAATGTTTCTCAACTTCGGCAATTTTAAATATGGCTGGTTGGGGAATTCTGGGAGTTGAACACACTTCTTAAGTTGCAAAAGTTGAAAAACACTGAACCAGCTAGTTTATAGCAGCATGAATGGATGTTAGTTGTGCACCAGCTGCGAAGGACACAACCTTTGTGTCTTTTCCCAAATATTACACTACCATGTCATTATGTCTGCCTCCTTATGACTTTTCTCAGGTGCTGTGCTCCCTGCTGGTGGTAGTTCAACAGGCAGTGTAAATGGATATCACACCTGCAAAGGTGAGGCAGTTCAGTTAATTGTGCATACTTCTGGAAGTGTGTGTCTCTACGTTACTTTAGTTGGGCCTATCAATAGCAATTTTTTCAAAGCAAAGAGAGTAAGTTGCTTTGACTCTTGCAGTTTCTTTCTTTATGAATTGGGCCGTATGGATGGAGTAAAACTGGAAGGTTCTTTCCCGCTCTTTCCCAAGCCTTCCTGTTGCTCACCTCAGGTTATTTCAAACTTTTTAACTAAGTGCAAATCATAAATGCATCCAGAATTTAAAGCTTTTTTATGGCTCTCTAAGCAAAATTGGCAGGAGACGAAGCAACTGCTGATTCTTGGAAAGGGAATAGTTTAAAAGCTGCACCCCTGTCGTAGAGGGTCAGATTCTGGAAATTCTGAAGTCTCCCTTCTTCTATCATCTCTTTTCTTAAGAAAAGGGGAGCCTGAGTGCGCAGAATAGGGTCTTTCACCCTTTGAGGTCGTTCATGCATGTTGTTTATTACACTGAACATGTGTAGACTCTTATATCTTTCTCTGTTACATTGAGGCCTTATATCTATAACCATAAGCAAATTAATTAATTTCTCTAATTTCAGTTTCTTTTTCTGCCTTAGATCTGACGGAGATCCAGTGTGACATGTCAGATGTGAACCTACAGTACAGAGTGCTGGGTGCTGCTTTACGGGGGCGCCTGGAGCAGCTCTCGGCCGTGTTGGACAAGATGAGGGAGGCCCAGGAGGAGGTGAACTCTGTGCTGACATGGTTGGAGGAGAAGGAGCAGGCTTTGAAAGTCCTGGAAGCTTCCTCTTCACCTACAAAATCAGAAACAATGAGAGCTCAGGCAGAGCATAACAAGGTCTCATTTTCATCTATAAATAAAATTCTGTTCCTTGCTTTTTTAAGACCACCCATAATAATGTTGTTCAGCGAAGCATATGGCAAGTTTCTTCTTTTGTAGCCTTTTCCCAGGAGAACAATTCTCTATTTGAGGCTGATTTGAAGCATCAAACTGAGTTTATAAACCCCTTTCCATGCCTCCCACAAAAATGTAACGTAGTTATTCAAATGGTTGAAATGCCATTTTAACGAGATTTTGTTGTTGTGGGTTCTCTGTAATATATTCTGGCGTTACTATTGCAAATGCTGCCTGGGGAGTGTTCCTTCAAAGAGCAGCCTAAATCCTTTTCAAATACTGACAGGGGTTTAGTTCAATCATTGCGAACTGGGCCCTCCGTCCAGATGCTCAGGCTTTCCATCCAGTGAAGGGCCAGACTCAAAATGTGCAGAGCATGGGTGCCTTCCAAGTGCTGTGTGCAAACGCCCTTTTTGTGGGTTCATGGGCCCCCTGGACTTTTGGGCACCATTTTTTTCCAGCCCAAGTAAGAAGCACAACGAATGCCTTGAGATTTGCATTTTACCCACTGGGACTCCTCCAGCTTCTCATCTGAGTGGCTGATACTTCTGATTTGGAGAAAGTTTAAGGCTGCCTTTTCACAAAGCCCAAAATAGGCTGAAAACACTGTTCCTCGCGACTTTGGTCGCATCATCCCTCTTGCAGCAACTGCTATCCTCAGAGGGGAGAAGAAATCAAGAGGGGGAGGCTTCTCCAGGAAAACCTTTCCTGCCTTTAACTCACTCTCAATCACCCCCGTCTGACACTCTCCTCCTTTCTAAATAGGCATTTCTGGGGGATTTGGAGCAGAACGCTGTGAAGGTCCAGGCAGCCACGGAATCGCTCTCTGGACTTCTGGAGAAATACCCTGACTCTCCAGAAGCAAGAAACTGGAAGAGGATGTTGGAAGACTTAAGTACGTGGCCTGGGAATCTTGGAGAAACTCTGCAGGGGCTAATTAAAAATTCAGAACATTTCTCCTCTGGCTGCCTTTCATTGTGTAAACCGGGTGGGGGGGGAGTGACAGCCTCAGGAGCAGTGAAGAATCCATGGGACAAGGGAGCAAAATGGGAAGCACACAACATGCTTCATAGAACATGCTTCTATGAAATAACTGTTATGGAGCAAATATACCATGTTACTGATACCGGTATCTTTATATGTCTTCTGTTTTGAACACGGTATATGTGCTCCATAACATTTTTGGTAGCAGCATATTCACCTTCAGCCGAGGTGGGCAGCATGTAAGTTTTATATATAAATAAATAATAAATATTCCCCAAATTAAACCAAACATAATAACTGCAATAGTAATAATAATGTGGTTTTTCTTAATCTTGCAAGTTCCCCCAATCATCTTGTCCCATGAGGTCTTGGAGATGAGCTTGTTGAAATACCACAAGATTTGGTGCAGAGGAAAAGCCCATTGAGGCTCAGTGACAGCCTGGGAAATAAATAAATAAATTCCCATTTATCAGGAACATTGCCTGCAGGGTAGCCCTTGTTGCTAGTGAGCATCTCCTTCCACACGCAGACAGTTATAAGAGTCGAATCTTCTAGAAGGTAGCAAAGGACATGGTGCTGCAGAGCAGGCTGCACCTTGCAGAGTGGATGTCTTCTCTGTACACAAGCAGGAAAGAATCCTCAGGGTGGAGAGAGAAGGCTCTTGGGCAGTGAATTTTGGTGTGTGAAAAGGAAGCAAGAAGCAAGGACGGCTATATAGGTGTGCCTATTTTCATCTGCGAAATGTGCGTGTAAGATGAGTCTCTGTAAGTGAGGACAAAGAACTTTGATGTAGATATTGGTTTAGGCAGGATCTATTCTTGTTTTCCATGGCTTGGCTCCTCTTTAGCCAGTGGCTGTTGTAAAAATATATATTTCACTTTTGCATTATGTTGCCAATATCCCCAACCATGGTGTTTTCGATGTTCAGATTCCAGGTGGACACATGCCAAGCAGGTGACAGAGGAACGGCAGCAGAAGCTAGAAAAATCAGCCAATGAACTGGCAAGTTTTCAGGAAGCGGAAGGCCAGCTGAGGCCCTGGCTGATGGAGAAGGAGCTTATGATGAGTGTGCTGGGACCACTGTCCATTGATCCTAATATGCTGAATGCCCAAAAACAGCAGGTTCAGGTGAGTCGAGCAAAAGTCTTGGTTTCTGCCTTTTTGTGAGTTTGGACTGAATGCAGAGAAGTCAGTGTGGATGGAGTTGGGGACTGAAGAGGCCGAATGGCCTTTCAGTTTGCTTGATCAAAAAACCTCCAATTTCACTTCAAGTCCTCACAGGCTCATTTACAAATGTTTGGTTTATTTAACATCTTGCTCATATTTAATTTGTCTCCCTCTTTTTTTGAAGTAATAAATCATATTGCTAAGAAATCGGTAGCCAATCAACCAAGAGGGGGGAAAAACTGTTCTTGATACTTTTCTGCCACTTGTTTATATGTTCTGGAGTAGCAGCAGGACAAATGAGGCAGAGGACTGGAATGCCTTAGGAATGCCATCATCCTCCCTAGCATTTTTGAAAAGCTGAGATGTATTAAAAGCTCAGCCCCTGCAGTTTCTATGCAACACTTCCAGAAACTCCATGTTCGGGTGCTTTAGAGCTGCCAAACGTGCTATTGGCTCTGTTGTCAGCCAGTTGAAACTCCTACTTTTTATGACTAACTTATTTGGCTCTTCATTGATTTGTTAGTTAGTGTTATACATGTTTTACACCTCGTTAAATGTTCCTTCTGAATGAACCTGAAGATGACGTAGTTAATTAATGATATAAATATTGCCCTTTGTTGCTTCGACCCTGAAAGTTCTTGGAAGAAGATGTTCCTTGGACCTGTTATGGCAGGGCAGTTTGGCTCTCAAGAGTGGTCTCCCTGCGTAGGTCGCTTCCCATGCCACCCAGTCCTGGTCCATGTGGCTGGAGTTGCTTCTTTGGTCATGGTACTTGGAAAGTAGGAGGTTGCAGTTCAACACATTGTGAAAGACATATTGAGGGGATCCTAGGGCATCCTCATAATTGTCAATACCCTAACAGCAGTACCCAATCAAGGAAGCAATATTCACACAGAATGTCAATAATGAGGATGAATACTAGGAAAAATGGGATTCATTTATGGAATCTTAGAAGTTAGAGAAATAGACTCCAGTCGTCACTTATTACTCATTACACTAAGATGAGATCTCTGAGGATTATGGGATTTCTTTCTCACTGATTCCCTAATGGTGGGGCTGATGTGACATTAGAGAGATAAGGCTGAAATGTCTGTGCTCCTCGTGTGCCACGTTTTGAAAACCTCCCTTTTCCTTCCCAGACTCCCAAATATTTCCTTCCCCACATTTCATAAAGCAAAAGCTCAGCCTAGAATGTTTTTCAGAATCCTTTGCAATGTGTGGAAGTTCATTTTCATGTTAATCCATATAACGATGAATCCTCAAGGGCAGAATACTTGAAAACCACCAGTTTATTTTACAGAAAAAGGCATCTTGATTATTTTAGTGGAATTTGGGAAGGCAGTGCGTTTGTGGCTGACTTTATGGGTTTCTGAGGTTTTAAAATGGTGACCCCCATTATAGTGAAGCTAATAGCAACCATCCTTCCCCTCTTTCTTCACCTTTACCTTTGTTTTCATTGAATCGCCCTAGTCCGTCACACGCATATTTGTGTTGCAGTTCATGCTGAAGGAATTTGAAGCTCGGAAGCACCAATATGACCAGCTGAATGAGGCAGCCCGGGGAATCCCCACCGGCCCTGGTGAAAAGTCTCCATCCCACAGCCACGTGCAGGAGGAGCTCCAGGCTATCAACAGGAAGTGGACCAAGCTTATGGAACGTCTCAACTCTCGTTCCAGTCAAATTGACCAGGCTGTGGTCAAGGGCACCCAGTTCCAAGAGCTGCTCCAGGGATTGTCTGAGAAAGTGAAAGCTGCTGGACAGCGCCTGAGCACCCAGCCTGCCATCAGCACCCAGCCAGAGGCTGTGAAGCAGCAGCTGGAGGAAACCAGCGAAATCCGGTCTGAGCTGGAGCAGCTGGAAGAGGAGATCACAGAGGCTCAAGCCCTGTGCGAGCAGCTCTCGGTTCTCATTGGAGAGCAGTACCTTAAAGATGAACTCAGGAAGCGCCTGGAAACGGTCGCCTTGCCTCTCAAAGGGCTGGAGGATTTAGCAGGTATAACGTACATAGATTCTGAAGTGAACGGTACCATTTAATTGAGAAGCAGGCTCAAAGCGTAGGGAGATGGTCGTGTGCAGTTGGGCCCAGTAGCCTCTAATGTGCCCATTTCGGTGGCATTAAAATCAGCAGGTCATTAGCACATGCCAAGCCATTGTGAATGCTCTCCTAGGAAGGAACCGGTTGCTCATGTCAATGCTGTAAATATGGTACCCAAACACTCCGATCTGCATGGTGGTCCAGGAGAAAATGCTGGTTCTTCTGTCCTTGTAGTCTCACAAAGAAAGAAAACCACACTCCATTATGGTTCAGTGTGCTGTAAATACCCAGCTAGAGAGGGAAAGAGAGAGAATTCTCACTTCTCCAGGATTGCTCACCCACACAATGAGTAATGTTACATCTCCCCAAAGATAGCGTAAAGGACTGGCACAATGTGTCCTAAAATTCCCATAGTTGAAAGGTTCTCTATTTTCAAACTCAGAAAAATGTTTTTTAAATCTACAATAATTAGAACTAAAAATAATTATATATGAGTGTCCAGCAGAAAAAGGAAGAAGATAATTGGGCGTAAGTCCTTTACGTTTACGCGAAAAAAAAACACAGAGTGGCAGCCAATCCCATCTCATTTCACATGCTTCTATTTCCTAGAGTAGCTTGCTTCAGATGTGTATATTTTTTCCCCCTGGGACAAGTTCAAAGATTGGTATTTGAGTTTGTGCATTAAAAAAAAAGTCTGTGTTGTGAAGCACATTTTCAGCCATGCATCCCTTCCCATATCTAGGTGACCGGCTGAATCGTTTGCAGACGGCGCTCGCCAGCTCCCAGCAGTTCCAGCAGATGTTTGATGAGCTCCACGCTTGGCTAGAAGGCAGACTGAATCAGCAGGCACAGAGTGGGCCAATCTCAGCCAAGCTGGAGAGGCTGCAGTTCCAGATTCAGGAGCAGGAAGAATCCCAAAAGAGCCTGAACCAACACAGTGGCTCCTATGAAATGATTGTGGCCGAGGAGGAATCTTTGCTTCTCTCTGTTCGTCCTGGGACAGAGAAGGCAACCTTGCAAAGCCAGGTGGTTAGCTTGAAAACAAACTGGGAGGAGCTGAGCAAACAAATTGCGAGCCGGCACGCCAAACTTAAGGACTGCTTGCAGAAGGCCCAGAAATATCAGCGCCATGTGGAAGACCTTTTCCCTTGGGTGGAGGATTGTAGGTCAAAGATGTTAGAGTTAGAAGTCACTCTGGATCCAGTGCAACTGGAAGCTGCTCTTCTAAGGTCAAAGGCCATGTTGAGTGATGTAGCAAAACGACGCTCCCTTCTGGAGATGCTGAATAGTGCTGCTGATCTCCTCATTGATGCATCAGAAATGGATGAAGATGACATTAGAGACGAGAAAGCAGAGATCAACCAGAATATGGATGCTATAACAGAAGAGCTCCAAGCCAAGACCGAGTCCCTTGAAGAGATGTCTCAAAGGCTTAAGGAGTTCCAGGAAAGCTTTAGGAACATTGAAAAGAAATTAGAAGGGACAAAGCACCAGCTGGAGATCTATGAAGCTCTTGGCCCTCAGGCCTGCAGCAGTAAAAATTTGGAAAAACTGAGAGCTCAACAGGAGGCTCTTCAGGCCTTGGAAGCCCAAGTGGATTACCTCGGGAACTTCACTCGGGGTCTCGTGGAAGATACTCCACATGGATCAGACTCTTCCCACCTCTTACGCCAAGCTGAAATTGTCCAGCAAGATTTCAAGGGGGTGAAGCAAAAAGTCAATGAATGTTGTAAAATCATGGAAAGCAAGCTTGAAGGAATAGGACTGTTTAACAATCATGTTCGGGAAATGTTTTCTCAACTGACTGACCTAGATGATGAGTTGGACAGCATGGGCTCTGTTGGGAGGGACATGGACAGCCTCCAGTCCCAAGCAGATGATGCCCATGAATTTCTGGGCAAACTTCAACGGTTAAGATTGGATATCCAAGCTTCTGAAGAGAAATGTAGACAGATGTTGGACGATGAAGGGAGTCCTGATCTCATAGGGCTGAAACGTGAACTGGAGACCTTAAAGAAGCAATGCATCAAATTGACTGAAAGGGGGAAAAGCCGCTTGGAGCAGGTGGATACCACACTGGCTCGTGTGAAAGACTTTTACAACAAACTGAAGGAGCTAAACTACATGACCACTGCAGCAGAAGAGGGTGAAGCCCTGCAGTGGGTAGTTGGGACCGAGGTGGAGGTGATCAACCAGCAGCTGGCAGATTTCAAGGTAAGAGCCTTTCCATCCTAAAGGTGTTTCTTGTTCATACTGAATCCAGTCCTGATTGTGTGTGCGACTTTTCTGAGTTGCGTATCGTCTTCTTGGAATTTACCAGGATACGTCAGTGGCTGTAAGGTAAAGTAAGGCAGAAAAAAATTAGCTTGTGCCTTGTCATTCACCAGGGATGAATTTGCCTTTTAAATCGGTATCCATTTGGGCAGTTTTAGGAAAATTGGATATTCGAGGTGCATTATTTAGAATACTTGTGTTTGTGTACTTGTGTACTTGTTTGTGTACTCTAAACATTGATGTTTGACACATTCTATGTAATAAAAGAAAAACAGCTAAATGTTTGGTGAAAAATAGTTACACCAATACATGTTTTAAGAGAGGCAAGATGGCCCTCACTTGAGGATGCTGTAATTTGTGTTCCTACTTAGTACAGGATTGGGCCTGATGGCTTCAGTCAATCCTTCCAACTCTTGGATTCTATGATTTGAGTCAGATTCTGGTCCAGATTTTGGAGGTCTTTCTAGCTCCATATAAGGAACCTTGGGATACAACTGTGCTAGGTTTTCCTCGGGTTTTTCCAAGCTTTGAACTGTTGTACAGGCAAACGTTTCAGCTGATTTAGAATAGAATAGAGCTGGAAGGGACCTTGGAGGTCTTCTAGTCCAGCCTCCTGTTCAAGCGGGAGAACCTACACCATCTCAAACAGGTGAATGTCCAGTCTCCTCTTAAAAATCTCCAGTGATGGAGCACCCACAATTTCTGGGGATAAGCTATTCCACTGGTTGATTGTCTTCACTGTCAGGAAGTTTCTCCTTAATTCCAGGTTGCTTCTCTCTTTGATCGATTTCCAACCATTGTTTCTCATCCTTCCCTCTGGTGCTTTGGTGAACAACCTGGCCCCCTCTGCCCTGTGGCAGCCCCTCAGATATTGGAACACTGCTGTCATGTCTCCCCTATTTCTTCTTTTCTTTAGATAGCCAAACCCAAGTCCTGTAGCTGTTCTTCGTATGTCTTAGTCTCCAGGCCTTTGTTCATCTTAGTTGTTCTTCTTTGAATTTTTTCCAAACTCTCAACATCTTTTTCGTGATATGGTGACCAAAATTGGCTGCAATATTCCAGGCGTGGTCTCACTAGGGTTTTATAAAGCGGTACTAACCCTTCGTGTGATCTTGATTATATGCCTCTGTTTATACAGCCCTGGATTGTATTAGCTTTTTTGATTGCTGCTGCACACAGCTGGCTCATAGTCAAGCGATCGTCCACCAGGATTCCAAGGTCCCTCTTTCTGAGTCAGGTCTCGCCTAATATGTATTTGTACCTTTGGTTTTTCGTGCCTAAATGTAAGACTTTGCTTTTCTACACATTGAAACTCATTTTGTTGGATAGAGCCCATTGTTCCAGTTTGTCAAGATCTTTTTGGATCCTGAGTTTGTCTTCTAGGGTGTTGGCTACTCCTGTCAGTTTGGTGTCATCTGCAAATTTGATGAGTTCCCCTTCAATTCCCTCATCTAAGTCATTTATGAAGATATTGAAGAGTACTGGGCTTAAAATGGAACCTTGTGGTTCCCCACTGTTTATGTCTCTGCATGATTTCATTCTGAGGAAATACAAGGGAAGTAAGAGGCTTTTAACTGGGCCTCTTTTAGTAATAACCACCTTGGATTCTCCATGCTATACAAGTACAGAAATCTCCTCAAGTACTGAGCACAATTTACATACCCATCCCAAATAAATGTAATGGTGTCATTATAGGAAATCCACTCCTCAAAGTTTGGTGTGAAAATGGAAGAATATTATATGAGAGCCCAAGACTTTGGGTAGATTTTGAGATTCTTCCCTGGAGTATCCAAATATCTCACGCAGGAATGTTGAGTTTATGAAATTCGGGGCACTGGGAAGAATTTTGAGTGTAGATGTTCTTCATTTGCTATTGGGGAATATTATGAGTTCTAATCTGAGCTCTTTCTCAAAACTGCAGATACTAAGGAAGATGAAATTTCACTTTCAGGATGCAGGTTTGTCAAAGACTGATAAGTAGAGAAAAGATCTGTAGGATTTTGATGGATTACAAGTAAAAGTCAATGCTTAGTTATTTGCAAATCATATGATTATTTGTTTTGTAATTCTGCAATTAAGCAAATCTGCCTTATTGAAATGTTGTTCTTGTGAATGGGTATTAATTGGTTACCGTGAGTATATTTTAAGTACTTAGGTTGACATAGTCTTGGAAGAATCAAGGCATAGATTGGTTCTAAGGATAGAGCCCAGGACTCCCTTAATGGGACGGGAAAATCCCTCCGAGGTTCACCAGCTTGGGATGGCGGCTCTTTCCCATCCAGACAGAAAGAAGCAGCCCAGGGAAGGAAACGGTGAAGCAGGAACTTCCATTGGCCTGTGTGTGTGATCAGGTTGCGGGACTTTCTTGTGATGTTGTCATGCTTCAGCTGACGCTTGGCTGGAGCTGAAGGGAGGTCGAGACAATGGAAGGAACAAATATGGGTTGACTTTGCACCTCGGAGGGTTCAGTGAGTGGAAATCCTGAGCAGAACTGAGCATTTTCATGACTTGGGTTGGGAGGAGCTCAGGGTCATGGCTTGCGAAGCTTAGGCTGTTGTGGTGTTGTTCAATCCAAATTCCTCTGTTGCTCTTTTAAAGGGAAACTTGTGTGGGTTTGAACAAGCCAGGATGAAGGCACATTGGCTTCTGGTTCCACTGAGCCTGTTTTGCGGGGGAGAATTGCATATTGTAGAAGGAGGTGTTAGGAAGGAAGGGGGGAACGGGCTGTCTTGGAGGCAAGCTGCAGTTTTTTCAGAACTATCAAAATAGTGAAATCCTCTCTGCACTTGGGGCTAGAGCAGGTGCTGGGTGGGTGGGTGGCCAAAGGAATGCCCCGGATCTTCCTCCAAGGATCTTCCTCCAAGGCCCTCGGCTGCTCAGTTTTTCCAGTCCTGCAGAGAACCCCACTTTTCTCAGGGGATGCAACTTAAAAGATCTCTCCATGCCATTGAATGGGCTCCAGCGTTAAACTTCCAGGCAGAGCTTTTCAAAAACCTTCACATGCAGTTTTTGGGACACGTGGCTGCCCTCTCTTCCAGCCAGCCGTGGGCTCTGGTCTCCGCAAAGGGGGGAGGCAGCGCTTGGGTGGAGCAGAGAGAGCGGGAGGGGGGCATTTGGAAAGCAGCAGCTGGAACGATTTGCACTTAGGGAGGAAGGGAGGAAAAAACTTTGCATCCTGCTTTGGTGAGAGTTTAAAACGTGGTTTAAAATGTTGGCAGGAGAAAAGCTCCTGCTTCATAATCCACAGCTACTGCAGCTGACACGAGTGCTTTGCCTTCTGCTGAGGGTGTAATCTGAGTTTTGCTTAGTGCAGTGTGTAAACTCAGCCTCTAGTTGATAGCTCAGTCTTATGGGTAAACCTTGCCATTAGGATGGTTAGGAAAGAAACAAGCAAAGGTATGAAGTTTTTTCTCCAATTTCTCCCTGTTTGGAAGAATTTATTGTTTATAATAATTATTTGGGGAATAATATGACATTTTCATTCTGCTTCTAAACTGAAAGTGCCAGGGAATAATGTGATGTTAGTGTGCTTGGGCTGCAAAGGTTGCTCCAGGCTGCCCTGTGGCCTTAGAGATGCAGGCTATGGACACCCGTCTCTCCTCTTCCTTTGCCAGCAGCCCCATTGGAAAGGGAAGCCTTCTGACCCACTATATCTTTTTTATAGTGTGGTAACCAAAACTGGATACAGTATTCTAGGGGTTGTCTTACTAAGGCTTTATAGAGTGGTACTGGTACCTCACGTGATCTTGATTCAGTCCCTCTGTTAATGCAATTTAGGATTGCATTGGCTTTTTTGACTGCAAATCGCAGACGGTTGGCTCATATTTAAGTGACTGCCCATTAGGACTCCAAGATCCCTCCCACAGTTGCTGCTATTAAGCCAGGTTTCACCTAGAGATACATACACTTACCTCTTGTCCCCTGGCCCCTATCTTAAGATTCCGAGCCCTGTTCTCTCTGATCATGTGGAGCTCCCACACCATCCACACAGATTGCAACCCCACCAGGAAGGACCAACACCAGCCAGAAATGCTTGTGGAGGAAGCGACAATCATTTCCTGTGTGAGAGCTTGTCTGTCTAACAACAGCCGTCTTTGTTGCAAAAGAAAGAAGGAAGGTCCTGTCTGAAAGCCATTCGGCAACCACACTGACCCCAGCCCAAGCCCTCTCCTCCTCCTCCTCCTCCTCCTCCTCAAGGCTGCTCAGTTGCCATCCTTTGCCAGCTTTGTCTCAAAGTCGAAGAAACAAAGGCCAATAGCCAGAAGGGGGATGAAAGGGAAGGCAGCTTTTTCCAGGTGGCTTCATTTAGCCAGGAAGCTGACAAACACCTGCCTGCTCTTGGCAGAACAGGAGCCGGGCAAACAATGGACTCCTTGAGTGGAGGCGGACGGGGGGGGGGGGGAGGCAGGAGGAAGGAAGGGTTGCTTCAGAGCTTCCTCCCCTTGCCTGCCCACCCCCTAGGCAGGCTCTGGGGCGGGCGGGCGGGGGAGATTCTTCTGAATGGTTCCAGCGCTCTTCTCATTTCTGTAAAAAATAAGGCTGTCTGTGCATTATGCAAAGGCTGTTGACAGAGAGCACCAAAGTGGGATCTTTGCTAAGGCTGGCCCTTTCACACAAAACTTCTTTCCTTCTGCTTTTCCTTCTCCCTCTCCCTTCCTCCCTGCCCTTTTGGTTAAATATTCCCAATACTTTTAAAAAAAAAATAGAAGGATAAATTTCCACAAGAACCCTAAGAGACAACCTGAGGAGATAAGAGGAGTCATGACTGTGACCCACAGAAGCTTCTGCAGTAATTTTTAAGGTGCCACCAGATTCTGCCATTTTCCCTATCAAAAGTTCACTTGAGAACTCCCTCTGGAAATGAGTAGAAGTCCCACAAAATCTCTTTTCATATGTTTCCCCAGAGGTGGAACTGCACAGTTCTATTTGCCATCCACATT